CTTCGAAAATTGTTTGATTAAATTCTTTTTCATCTGGATCAAATTACGCGATTAACGGAGCAGCAAATTTCAGCGTGATTTACTCTGCAACCATTCGCTCAATAGGTCAGCGCAAACTACATCTCTCGAAAGCTGAAAATTTCATCTTTCGAGTGTTGACGAGCAACGTTTGCGCGAAAATTGAAGTGATTCATGCATAAAAAGCAAATATTTATTGTGATTTTGTGAATTCTACCATTTTGGATGCCAATATCTTGCTGCAGGTTTGACTTACATGTATATTCACTTTAGGAACTATGTCACATATAAATTGAACAAAAAGATATTTGATATCATTTTGTAGTCACCTTTTGTCGAACCACCACTCCCAAACTGAAAAGTTGTCATATACCATAAATTTCAGCTCTACTCTACCCTTGTGTCCTGCAACTTTTAAAGACAATTTTTTTATTGATGTGACTGGGAACAAAGCCCTCCTGAGAGGCAAGTTGTGAGATTGTACAAGATATGCAGAAACAAAAATTTATCCATAACACATAACTTCATTCACAACACACTTTATTGAAATATAGGAATCAAAATTTATTCAAAGATGAAAATGTATGTCAAATGTATGTCAATCACAATGGAAAGATATAAAGCAGATTTCATTGTTAGACAAACTGGATCTTGGACAAAATGTCCATCTAAATGACCTATAAACCAGAAGTACTCATGATCTCTGAAGATAATCCCTACTATGCCATGCACTAAAACATTCAAACTCGCCAGATGCATGCAGATGCATCCAGAGATTGCGCTGGGGAGCAGAACAATAAGTTGTCATTTTTTTCTTCCCACGGCCAGCAGCAAAGCACACAACACAATGACGTCTCACATCTGGAGTGAAACGTATCAAATGTACAGTACAGAATTGATCATCTGGAGGAGGGGCAGGTGGAACAAATTCATTCACGGGAGGCACACCATACTCTGGTAATCCACAAATCTCCCTTATGATCTCTTCTCTGAAATTGACAATTGAGCATGTGTTATGAGGATTCAAACCTTGATTGTCTGAATTCTCTCTACGATGTTTTTGGAAAAGGAGAAAACAATTTACAACAGGTCAACAGCAATATTGGAAGAACAAAGTCTTCTACCACCCATAACATTTACGTAAAACATTGTGACAAGCCAGCATCTGATCTATCAATATCTACTGAATCCATTTCCTGATTATATCGAGAGAAAGCATCGGGCTGGTCTACGCTAACTTCAGAGTACAAACCACCTTTCTTCGTTCTTCTCTTCTTTTTACTACAAGCACTTAAAAAATCACCACATTTCGAGCGTTATATTCAAAGCAAGAATTTGAAATTGTGTTATATTTAGAAATATGATAAGCAGAGAAGGCCAAACATAAAGGTTGCGTCGTATGAAAATTTGACTCGTCAACACTGTCACGCGACAATATCTGTTCGCTAAAAATACATGTACTTGCCTTGGATCACTATCAGAATCGACCTAAAGGTGATTTAAATCATCGTCACTAGATAAACCTTCGTCGTCAGATTTAGGATTTCTGAGGTGTAACATCCCAAGAACGTCGTCCGCCGATAAAGCCATCTTTGCAATTTGAGCGCAGCAAAAATAGCTATGCATTTATTGCGCCACTTCGTGCGCGCCCCCCATATAAGTTATAGTATAAAAATTGCCACGCGAGGCTCAAATCTTGCTATAAACCAATGAAATTCAAGATTCTAAACCAGTAGGTAATGTAGAATTGATTTCCGAGGTTCTAAGACCCATAGAGAGAAAGCATCCCGCGTTCGAAGTTGACCGATAAGTTTCGGCAAGTTCCGACATGCATACACTTTCCGAAAATGCCCATAAAAGTTGTTGTTTAATGTCTCGTCATGTTGACTAAACTTGATACAAGGATTCGAATGGTGGTATTTCTGTCTCGATAGCGTGTAATTGCGCTAAGATATAGCCGTTCAAAGTTCGGGATATTATTGTTGTTGTCAGCTTACGGTGTGTTATTTTGAAAATATTTATTTTCTACCTCAAAATCACGTCAAATGAAACGCAAAAACACAAAACGTGGCATATTCAAATTAATTTTCTCGACATGTGCTATCACAACAACATTCTTTCTGGCCACAAAGCATGCGTAAAAATGAATGTATGGAAAGTGAGCCATTTAAAGAAGGGTTCCCTCTATGACCCTGATAAGGAGTTGAGGTAAATCGAAATAATTTATTTGCAATGCAGGCTGGGCTCCTAAAGCCAGGTTTAAACGTCGAAGTTTTCATGCATCGAACCGAATATTAATGAGCTGAATGCAAATTGGCATTCGATTTCCATGAAAAAATTGTCGTCCAAAACACACGAAAGATATTTTTTGTTTACATTATCCATTTAGACAGATGTTGTTTCAATTTTTAGGATATTGGAAGTTAATTAATTATATTTCATAATTGCTTATTTACCTCTGACAAGCTAAAGTTCTAAGCCGTCTGAAAATAGCTAAAACTATTATTTTAAGACAATATTAATTAGGTTATGACGTTCTCGAACATACTGAGATAATCAGATTATTTTCCTGTAGCGAGTTTACCTACCGTCTCAGACTCGAGGCGGCATTATTAAAACTCTACGTCCATTTATATATTTTAAATACCTTTATGCCTCCTATTTTGCAATAGGATAAACCAAAATATTGTTTTCACAACGTAAATATTTTGTTTTTGTTGACATTTTCCATGCAACACGTTCACGGATGTAACACAGAGATTATCCAATTTTAACAACAACGCAGATCGATTCCGGTATCTTTCAAGGTGTGAATATGAAGCATGCACGGGCGAACGGAATGACGGATAAAAAGACGGTAGTCCAACTTTATAACATTTTTCGTTTTCATATGGCGTATACATGCTCTTAAACGCCATTTTTGTTGATTTCATGTACAAAAATTACTCATGGTTTTTTAAAACACGTAAACAGTCTCCTTGGCAGCGGCATGGTTATCGCGACCATCGCTTTGTATACGCTGTGGATCAGAAGCAATGCAATTTTACCTTTTACCGTTTTGACTTTTGAGCGCCCGGTTAGTATAATTGTAGCTTACAAAGTATATCTAAGTGACCGTGTTTTATAAGTTGATTTGAACGCAGTCATAATTTATAGTAACTAGTTTATTGAATACTTATTCCAGAAAAACAACTGGAATTAGCTGGAGCACAAAAGAGTAGGCTATAACTAAACTCTTTATGACTTTGAAAATTTTGTACGTCGATTTGACTCACCCTTGCGTAACTCAATCACAATCTTACTTCAATGGGCATTAGTTCACTGTTGTAAACCACCTATCCCTTCATGCATTGCACAGTGGGCCACAGGTTTAATGTAGTAATCTGTAAATTAAAGATACTAAAAGAATTGAAACACGTAATAACTTAAAGAAGTGAATTATTGCTTCCGCTAAAGTAACATCTTTAATCAAATCGTACAAGCATCCATACGATAAATCTACATGAAGATCTAGAAACAAATATTCATAATTGTAAATGTACTTGAATGAAAAAAAATTAACTTGTGATATTTTGCTCCCCATGTGTACATGCAACGCTAGTCAATTATATAAAAGGACACTCGTTGAACAAACGTTTCCCTTTTTTCAATTATATATTAGGATACTCGTTAAACAAACGTTTCCCTCTTTTCAATTATATATAAGGACACTCGTTAAACAAACGTTTCCCTTTTTTCAATTATATATAAGGACACTTGTTGAACAAACGTTTCCCTTTTTTCAATTATATATTATAAGGACACTCGTTGAACAAACGTTTCCCTTTTTTAAATTATGTAAGGACACTCGTTAAATAAAAGGTTTCCCTTTTTTCAATTATATATTATAAGGACACTCGTTGAACAAACGTTTCCCTTTTTTAAATTATGTAAGGACACTCGTTAAATAAAAGGTTTCTCTTTTTTCAATTATATATTATAAGGACACTCGTTGAACAAACGTTTCCCTTTTTTGAATTATGCAAGGACACCCGTTGAACAAACGTTTCCCCTTTTCTTTTAATTAGGATTGTTCACGCAAGTATTTGTTTTTATTAATCTTATATAACTTCATGTGATGTATGAATACTAAAACAAATATATAAGATAGCTTCTGTGAAAGGGTAGTATATATATCTCAACGTGATGATGATTACCTACTTTTGCAAGTTCTGGTGTTGCATGTTCTCCCAAGTTTGGTAACCATTAGAAGTATCAACCTGATTAAATTATATATAGGTATACACTCATGCAGGTAAAAATGCTGGGAAAAAAATAATACTGCTTATATGATATATTAAGCCCCGTTTACACTACACTCAATTTATTACCACGGCACGGCTAAAACTATCACCCGCGTGTGCAGTTTTATTCGTGAACGGCAGGATATCAATACAAATTAGGCCAAGCGCGCGGGGATGAACCAATTGGTACGGGTTCCAATTTAACCGTGCCGCGTGCATGCCGTGCCCAAAATTTAAGTGTGGTGAAAACTGAGCTAACTGTGATGTATATAGCGAATTAATCCACTGGAGCGTGAACTATATATAAAACTGGCAATTGTTTATTTATCAAATCCCATAAATTATGTCTATATGGCTTTGATTTAATATTATTGACCCATTGCGTCGACGTAAAAATCCCTAAAGCCTGTTTTCCACTAGGCGGAATTTTGCTCGCGGAGCGGAATTTTTCTTTGTTTTTCTCACATTAGTTCTGCGTGAAAGCGCGCAGACAATTAAAAATTCCGCTCCGCGGGTAAAATTCCGCCTAGTGGAAAACAGGCTTTAGGAGTATCCTCGGGTCCTTTCCGAAAGATATCTTATGCGAGCTGTTAAGGCTCACTGATGGCTGAAATAAATAAATAAATAAAATAATATAATACTTTGTATTATATGCAAACTGGATTTATTTTATTTGTAATATTTATATGCTCTGTTAATTTGCCCTCCAGGGGCCGGTTGTATCAAACCGTTTAGTTTTAACGGTGCTTAAGTTCAAAATAGAAAGCAAGTCTATCGTTTTACTCAACAAGCAAACTAAATGTTTTTAACCTCAATACAAAGCTACTGTTTACAACTACTATTTAGTGCATAATATTCAAGTTCACTCATTCAAGACAAATGTAAGATACAACCGGCCTCAGATGCCTATTGAGAAGTCTCGTGCGAAGGGTCTATAATTTTATAACAGATAGTGTGGCATAGATATTGTGTTATTCGCTTTGTGTTTAACGGAATATACAGAATAACCGCCAAGTGTCTCGTCTGGCCTTGGTTCAATGCACTAATTGAATAAAGATGATCAGATGGAGCATGTCTGAGGATTAGAAATGAGGTAATGATGGTAAAGTTAATGATTAAAGAGAGAATATTGTGCCACTAGTAGGAAATGACCCCAAAATGTTTCTGAAAGACATTTAGTTGCAATCAAGAAATTTTGCTATGTGAAGACTAATAAGATAAATAGAGAAAATAGGAGTTTTTTAAATTTCACCTCATATATATGGGACCACATGACCAGCCTGTCGCATGCGGCATAATCTGGTCCAACTTCAACAGACTACCTGCTGTAGAAAAAAGTTGATAAAAGTATATATGAATCGCCTATTAGCCACAGCAACTGTCGAAGGCTAGCTCAGTATTTGATGACACCCTCGTCCCCAGGCGCTTTATTGGAAAACATAAAGGCTGCATTCAGCGTAATATAGAGATCTGTGGCTAAGATGTGCGAACGCGCAGGGGTGCTTGAGGAGGAAGCGACAGGAGAACGAAGCTTCATTTGCCGTGCGCACTCGTACATCTTTTCAACAGATCTCTATATATTACTCTGAAGGCAGCCTTTATGTTTTTTAATAAAGCGCCTGGGGACAAGGCTGTTTTTATGACATTGCATGCAAGCTAATGTAACTAAATCAAGGCCGTGACGAGGCAAATGAATCAAAGAGTCTTAATCAGATTGCTATTCTGGGTCATTGACCTGCACATGCACTCTGGTCATTTTGTCCCAAATCTTCAATTACACATGAAAAATGAAGATATTACCTGAGTAGGCTACTTTTTGAACAATGAACACGGATTTTGAGCAACTTCTTTTTGTCCCATTTCTACAGAAAATAAAACGCTTCCCAGCCTAATAAACATGCAAATGGTTTTCAATACTACAGCACGTGATATAGTGTGACCATATATTCAAATTTAGTTCGACTGCCCCTCCTGCTATAAATTTCGTAATTATTAAAATCAGGTGTGGTTGTCTGTGTCCATCTGTTTAAATCTGGTAATAAAAATTACCAGCCTGATCTGCTCACACTGAAATAGACCTTCATAACGACGTCATAGACGTTTCTCTGCGACCGAAGAGTATTTTACCTGAATTCCTAATTTCTGTGGAATAATCGGGGGACTGTAAAGTCTCCTACCCTATTTGCCTTGACTTCAAAACGCTGTTCAGTAAAGCGAACACGTTGTGTACGAAAACTTCTGCATCTTCATTCACGTCGAAATTACGGAATTATTGCAACAGTTTACCCCAAGATGCCTTGACAAACAATATGTTTGTCGAGCTTTTGCATATATTAATTGCATTCACAAGAAAACATTAAATATTGCTTTAAAGCTTTCTTGTCGTTGTATTGACAATCACTTTGCTATCATATTTCTCTCGTAAAGCTTTACGACACTGAATAACAAGCAGTTTACGAGAATTCTTCACGTTAGCTTTCTTGTTGTCATGACAATCGCAACAACAATATAGATTATCGAGATTTTAAAAAACATTCTTGTTGACAAGGCAAAGTGCCATAACAACAAAAAAATATAAATGATATTTGGAAATTTTAAGTGAAAACTGTTTTGTTGTCACTTTTTATGTAGCTAGTTACTTGCTAGTAACTTTCTAATTTTTCTATAGTCGTTTTGATTTTATTTACGCAGATTTAACAACTATTGAGGTTGAAACGTAGCTTTTGTGGTTTTTCACATATAACAGTGCTTTAGAGCATTAATAAAAAACGATAGGTTGGTGAAGTGAAAATGACTCTTACAAACCTTGACCTGGTGTGGGGGTCGGACACTTAGCGTTGTCTATCATGCCGACATAATCCAAAATCTGAAATTTTAGAGTGTCAATGTTTGCAACCATTCCCATTTCGTAGCTTTGAAATATTTGGCTTACTTCCACATTCTGTTGAAGAAGAAACATGCATAAGTTAACTTTTGCCTGATCATTACACGAGCAAAAATTAGTGAAAGCTTATGTGTAACGTATTATGCGGATAACAACACGTGGAGATACGTGGCTCTTTAATCATTTGGAGGGTAAATTAACTTCCAGCCGTCCCGGGAGAGGATTTTGCAAAACTACTTGATCTACTAACATATATGTGTGGTTTATTAGAAGACTCTCTTGCAGTTACAATAACTGAATTACTGAGCAAGTATTACAATAAAAGTTAATAAGATCTTACTATTTACACAATGTTACTATATTCTTTTGGGCAATTTACATGATACGAATTACGAATTATACAGGGTGTCCCAAAAAAAAGTCCCCGCTATTGAAATGAAGCTTTTGTTGGAATTTGAATGCATGATCAACGCAGTAGTGTGTAAATAGCATAGTTATTAGGTTGAGGCATTCAAACAAAGCGTCTTGCTTTCAATTGGGTTTATTATAATATTAAGGCAATCAGATTCTAACAAAGGCTTGATTTCAATAGAGGGGACATTTTTTTGGGACACCCTGTATAATATTTAAAATTAAAATATTTATCAAATATTTGAACAATTAAGCTACTAATCAGTTAAAATATTTAAAAGTGTAAAAGGATTGTGTTCTCTTTGTTCTACAATTAGTAACGTTATTAAATAGGTAAAATTGTTCAGAGATCTTCCTTAAATTGAAATTATGATCACATGCAGCAGACTTTGGTAATAATGTAAATAGCGGATGATCCTCGCGTTTCATCTTGTTCATATATTCTACACACAGTAGTTCTCTTCTTGTTTTCAAGGTTGGTAGTTCTGATCGTTTAAGAGCTTCCGAATACGAGTCAACATCGCTTTCCTCCCCTTCCCCTTTAATTAGGTGTCAATAATTTGCACAAAACCCACGCCAAAGGCAATAAAAATTCGTATGTCAAAATTCCTATACAAATAGTCAAGGAACCCACATCACCTTCCAATTCCCCACGTATAGTTTGCTATTGACCTCTCATTGGGCTAAACCGATTCCGATAAATTCATAGAGTACTTCCAATCGAACTAAACTAACGCCATCTTTTGTGAGTATTTTTTTAGTGATGGTCTCAAAAAGATATCCTATTTTTTGACACCATAATTGTTTTATTCATTATATTCCTATCATGCGTAATTCGAGACTAAGCTAAAAATAATCTGTCATTGATGTCGGGATAAAAACAGACGGGTTTATATAATTTGGTCGTTGTTCATCAGATTGGCGCCGAAGATATAATGGGTATAACGTCCTTGCTTTAAAGATTATATGTATTACTTACCTCAGCTGTAGTCTGTACAACTCGTAGAGTGAATATCGCAACCAAAAATGTTAAATTGGATACGAGAATCGAGTACATTCCTATATAAAATATTTAATGCATACCCTAGAATTTATACAGAGCGATTATATATTTAACTGAGCAATACATGTAATCATATGTCCAAATTTTGCTATCAAACCTTGAATTTGAGCCAGGAGGCCAGGAGAGGATGACGTGTTTCGAAAGTCTTCGCTAGTTCAAGTTTTTCTTACCGTTTACTACCCGTTAGTTCTTGCTTCGTCTAGAAACGTTTTGATATTTATGTTAACAACAAGATATGGGGGAGTTATTTCACATTAGCAAGTGCAGTCACGCGGGAAATTTTGTATTCAAAATGAATGAGAGATATAACGGAAGTCATTTTAGCGAGCGGGGGCAACTTTTGACAAAAGACACACCACAAGTGACTGGTACAGAATTTGACAGTTGATCACCGACTCTAAATTTTTGAGTTGGATCGATAAAATAGGAATGGAACCAGGTTGGGCTACCAGGGTAGTCTCTATGAAACATTTGGTATCTTAGTTCTTTGGTGATCCAGGGTGATTTCCTATTTCTAATTCTTCAGATCTAAGTGGTACATGCTTGTTAATAATTTCCATGGGCATACTTTTCCAAGTATGCCACATTTCATTTGGATGTTTGGAATGATAAATACTCCGCCAATCTTTTTGTTCCAGCTCCTTTAGAAAAAGTTTTTGATCGAAAATTTTCATTGTCTAGTATTTATTATCCTAGGATTTTGTGGAATATAATAATATTGTAAAGGTAAAGGTACTTGAAGTAGCTGTGATTCTTGTTGGTTCATTTATCAATTTCTCAATATCATAAATGTCTAATATTTCCTGCATTTTTTGTCTGTTTGATGATTCACTTGTTGACATGTAGTCAACAATTAGGTCGCCAAGGAGATAATGTTCCAAATTTTCAGAATCAAAATATCCTATCATTTGTTCCAATTCTGAAAAATGACTCACTGGTGAATCAGGGGGTCTGTACCAGGTACAAATTAGCATGGGTTTAGATCTTGGTTTTTTAATTTCCAAAACTAGATTTTCAAGTGCATCTAGCTGTAAATCATCTCGAATTTTGTATTTATCTTAGTGCGGACATAGATGCAAATATTTCCTCCTTTACGTCCATTTATATTTCTGTCTCTCCTCATAATTTCATAACCTGGTATATAGACCTCATGGTCCTTAACTGATGAGTCGACAAGCTTGGTTTATTTATGCACATTATATCAATCTTATTACTATAATGTAAACCCAAAGCTCATCAACGTGGGCTGTTAAACTATTTATGTTTAATGAAGCTATAACCATACCACGGTGGTGTGGTATTTTAATTTAATGACAATTGCTAGTATTAGGCAGATTATTGCCATGTAGCGACTCAGGGGCGGATCGAGGATATTCTCTGACCGGTGCATCCTGCTGAGTCTCGCATGGAAAGGGGGGTCCGTCAGGTGAAGGATTCGAACCCACGCTCACCATTGTGGTACAGAATTCCCCACCACGCTTTTCAGCTTGGCGCTTTAGACATCTCGGCCAACCAGACGAGTAGCTACCACAACAACAACACCTACAGGTATAAAAAATGAAAATTATCTCTTGATGTAAATATAAAAAAAATGTTTCCGCGAGATATTTGCAAACCGACAGTGGCAGCGGTGGGATTCGAACCCACGACATCGAAATGACTGGTGCCTGAAATCAACCCCTTAGACCACTCGGCCACGCTACGTACGAAGCGTTGGTGCTCAACTTTGGATATTGCTAAGGGTTATTTCCCAAAACAAGTAGTATTGCCTGTGCAATAAAAATAATTTAAATAATTTATTAAAATAATTATTTTGTATTAAAATAATTTAGTCAAATATCTGTCTTATTTGTAGAAAAGTACGTCAGTCCGGTTTGGAACTTTATATCCGCTGTAAAATATTGCGTCTAGTGTATCCTTATCGCTAATATCTTTTTAAAAAATTTCACTTTCTTTTTCACGTTAGGAGGTGTGAGGAATTTCCAACATGCCCAAAAAATATTTTGCAACATTTCTAAATTTGTCTTGTGTGAGATTCGAACCCACGCCCACAACTGTGGACCAGAGCTCTTGCACCATTTTAAGTCTTGCGCCTTCGACCGTTCGGCCAACCTGACTGTTCAAATAATTTTGAACCGATATCGCTTTGTTGCACGTTATCGACGAGGAAACGACAGAAGTAATTTCACAAAAGTATTTTTTAAAACAATATGGAAGTACTAATTTAGTATTGGTGAAAAAATGTCAGGTCTAGGATTCAAACTTACGACCACCATTGTAGACCAGAATTCCTCGCAACGTTCTTGAACCTGGCGCCTTAGATCGCTCAGCCAACCTGATGAGTATCTACCACAACAACAACACCTACTGCAATAAAAAAATGAAAATAATCCCTTGATGTTAAAATCTAAAAAAAATGTTTTCGCATGAGGTACATCGACAGGTAAACCGACAGTGGCAGCGGTGGGACTCGAACCCACGCCTTCGAAATGACTGGTGCCTTAAACCAGCGCCTTAGACCACTCGGCTACGCTACCTACAAAGCGTTACTGCCCAACTTTGAATATTGCAAACGGTTATTTTACATAACGAGTAGTATTGCCTGTGCAAAATATATTAAGATTATATGGTTAAGTATCTGTCTTATTTGTAGAAAAGTACGCCAATCCAGATTGGAACTTTATATCCACTGTAAAATATTGTGTCTGGTGTATTCTTATCGCTAATAATTTTTTTAAATGCTTCACTTTGTTTTTCACGTTAGGAGGTGCGAGAATTTTTGACCAGACCAAAAATAATTTTCCTACATGTCCAAGTTTTACTGGCGTGGGATTCGACCCCAAGCCCACAACTGTGGACGAGAACTCGTACGCAATCTTAAGTTTGGCGCCTTTGACCGCTCGGCCAACCTGACTGTTCAAATTATTTTGGAACCAATATCGCTTTTGTTCCACGTTGTCGACGGGGAAGCGGCAGAAGTAATTTCACAAAAGTATTTTTTAGAACAATATAGAAGTACCAATTTTGTATTAGTGAAAAAATGTCAAGTGTGGGATGCGAATCCACGCCCACAATTTCGGACCAGGATTCCTCACAACGTTCTTGAGTTTGGCGTCTTGGACCGCTCGGCTAACCTGACGAGTAGCCACCACAACACCTACTGGTATAGAAAATGAAAATTATCCCTTGATGTTAAAATAAAAAAAAATGTTTCCGCACGAGGTACATGCGGAAATTAGATGTCCCAAAGTTTATCGCACAGCTGTGGGACAGCCCTCCTTTTCTGTACACTAAATTATGGAATGATCTTTGCAATGATATAAAGCGCAGGTCTATAGTATTGGGAATTTTTAAAAATTTAGTAAGAAATATACTGCACACAAAGTGCTGGAACAACTTGTGTCGTACTCTTTTTACCACATAAGTAATTTCCTAATGCTGGTGCACTTTCCAAACGCGCGATTCTGCTTCGTTTAACATATTCGTCCACTGAGATAGTTTGTCTACGTAGTTCACCAAGATAGTTTGTCGTGTGTTAACTCAGGGTCATTGCGTTGCCTACATTGCCAGGCACATTCGAGGCACGTTATTGTTGACTGAAAACTTTACAATACCTTCAAAAGGGTCTGAGCAGTGTCAGATACAGGAAAGGCAGAATAAATTACTTTTAAAAAGCAATCGTTTTTTATGAAAAGGGTACATTATCTAAATAATTACTCCGGCGTGAGCGACGATTTGAAAATTCGCGGTAACATGGATAACACGGAGTCGGAGTTCCGGAGCCGGAGTTTCGGAGTTAGAGTCCCGGAGTAAAAATTACGGAGTCTGAAGTAATAATATTGGAAAACACGGAGTCACAAATTATTGAAAACACGGAGTCTGTTAAAAATATGGAAAACACGGAGCCTGTTAAAAATATGGAAAACACGGAGTCTGTTAAAAATATGGAAAACACGGAGTCTGTTAAAAATATGGAAAACACGGAGTCACAAATTATGGAAAACACGAGCCTGTTAAAAATATGGAAAACACGGAGTATAAATGTTTGGAAGTCTGCCAAGCTCAGTGGTCAATACTCAACGTGAATTATGCAAATTTGATAGCGGGTTTTAAACAACATGGCGTCAAATTCGCGTAACGTTTTTGCTATTCCGCAAATGGTAAATAAACGACCGAAAAACTTATCCTTAAACATAAATAATATTCCTTAATTTAAAAGGGAGGATATTGTAGACAAAGAGGAAATTGGATGTGGCAGTTTTGGTGTGATTTAAGGTGATATAAGGACACGTAATGTAGTTAGCTACAACAATAATTCTATGACTTTGAGCAAGAGGCATTATAGCTATAATCTTTTGTTATTGTGTATTCTTTCTTTTATACTATTACTGTGGTATAAAAAATTAGTATAGACTTATGAGCAATCCTTCATTTATGAATAATATATGTATAATTTACGTTGACTCCGTGTTTTCCAAACATTTATACTCCGTGTTTTCCATGTTTTTGGCAGACTACGTGTTTTCCATAATTTTTGACCCCGTGTTTTTCAATATTATTACGTCAGACTCCGTGTTACCCATGTTGTGATGTGGCAACGTTTAATCAAAGCTAGATATTTATTTCACCCGCTCCTCGTGTTGCAAAATAAAGTCATCCTATTGGCTGAACACTCCCGGCCTGACAGCTCAACATTGCTTCTGATTGGACGACCATAGTAATTTGAATAATATGATTAATTCTTTCCTTTCATTTCTGATGTTCAGGCTTAGGAGAAGAGAATTAATCATATTATCTAAATTACTATGAACGTCCAATCAGAAGCGTTGTTAAGCTATCAGGTCGGGAGTGTTCATCCAATAGGATGACTTTATTTTGCAGACACGAGGAGCGGGTGAAATGAATAATATATGCTTTTGATTCCAGTTTGAGACATCACTTCAGCCACAGAGCATACAGAGGTTTGACTGCCGTTAATTTTGCGTACCCCTGGCTTAGCCAGTGCGCTCAAGAGAGGCTTTCTCCCCCCGGGAAATCATGCATATGGCGGCGGCTTGAACACATAATGGAATATAAACAGCCGAGACACAACTATCTGGAGAAATCGTATTTTTGACAAAAACGTTGCTCAATTTTTTTCTCAAAACCAGATTTTGTTAGTTCTTATCCTTTAGAAGAGTATAGAAAAATATAGAAGTGGGAGCGATCTGTTTATTTATATAGCGATGGCTATTTATAATGTTCGGGGGGGATAGGGCCTCTCTTTAGTGCACTGGCTAACAACATGGCCGCTAGGAACGCATAATTAATGCCAAGTCAAACCTCTGTATGCTCTGTGCTTCAGCGCTGGTCTTCGAAGAATAAAAATTAGTCTCCTCCATGCCAAGAAAATTTCAACAGAAATTGCTATCAGATTGCTATCGTCTTCAGCAGAAGAGAAGTTTAATAGAAGTTTACTATCTCTGACAGACTGTCGTTGGTGTAATACCAGGTAATATGCCTTTCCCTTTGCGTGTTTTATCAGCTTGTTTCATCGTGAGCTTTTGGGCTGAGGTTCCACGTGTCTTTAGTTCACGTCTTGTAATGCCTCTCTCGTGTTGTGTTCAGCTTCAAATACAAACTTGTATAGCACTAACGTAGCTTTTATTCTTTTCATGCAGAATTTTGACGTATTAAAGCGAAGCTAAACGATGAAATTTGTTAACAAGAGATTGACGACCGATTAATTGTGGCTGACCTGGCTCAAGATAACTCGCCTTTAAAGAGAAAGCAAGTCTAGGCTTTTTCTGGGGAATATTGATGATATGAGAAAGGTAATATACGTCAAATCTTACCGTTGAGCCGCTATATAACCTTCCCTCTAACCACACGCAAATTACGTTTGAATTGAGTTCTAAAGACCTAAGCAGTGAACTAATGGTGCCTTTTATTCTTCCAGGTGGAGTTTGAGAGTTTAAAACCAAACTGAATGAAGTGAAGTGGGCAAAAAGTCCGTTACCGTAGCTGAAATTGCCCGAGACGACTCGCATTTGGCTTAAGATAACTCGCCTTTTGAAGAGAAAGCACGTCTACGCATTTTCTTGGGAGTTGTTGATGATATGAGAAAGGTAATATACGCTAAATCGTATGTGAGCCGCTAACCTTTGCTCCAATCGCAAGCAATTACCTTTGAATTGAGTTATATAAAGACCAAACCAGTAAACTAACATTGCCTTTTGTTCTTCCAGGTGGAGTTTAAAAGCTAAAACCAAACCGAATATAGAAATGAGCTGGGAAAGAAAACCCATAGCTGAAATTCCCCGAGATGACTCGCATTTAAAGAGACGGCAAGTCCAAAGCTGCTTTTCAACACTTTTTGCTGAAATGAACAGGTAATTTTGGGTCTATTTTATTCAAAATAGGATAATAAACTTGAAACGCTTGATCAGGCATCATGCGTTCTCTCAACTGAATAATCACCGCAAGTTATCTCCCGATATTTATGCTCCCTTCATCGAAGGTAAATCCTTGAAATCGCTGTCTATAACAAGCATTCTTTTGGTTTTATTGCAGGTGGCGATTTAGCTGGTCAAGCCATTTGAAACAACGACAAAACCTGTTCATAATAAAACGTGAGTATTAAGCAATTGAACATTTTTAGATAAACCGAACAATGGGGAGTTTATGCATGATTCAGGTCAAGAACGACAACGGCCGCATGATAATTTGAATTTGATATGAATAATGGCAATGAAATACTTAAAATCCCAGAGCGGTTTCATAGATATTGTTTACAATCGCAATTTTACGCGTGTTTCTTCTCAATAAAAAATGTAGTTTGCTTATTTCTTTAATCTTATTTCAGGTTGATGGGCTCTGTTGAGCTATTACCGACAAGATAAATCGACGGCAAATCTACGCCTGATGTAAGCAACCTCAACGGCAAATCTACGCCTAATGTAGGCCAACTCGACGGCAAATCTACGCCTAATGTAAGCAACCTCGACGGCAAATCTACGCCTAATGTAGGCAACCTCAACGGCAAATCTACGCCTAATGTAGGCCAACTCGACGGCAAATCTACGCCTAATGTAGGCAACCTCGACGGCAAATCTACGCCTAATGTAGGCAACCTCAACGGCAAATCTACGCCTATTGTAGGCAACCTCAACGGCAAATCTACGCCTAATGTAGGCAACCTCAACGGCAAATCTACGCCTAATGTAGGCAACCTCGACGGCAAATCTACGCCTAATGTAGGCAACCTCGACGGCAAATCTACGCCTAATGTAGGCAACCTCGACGGCACTCTACGCCGAATGAAGGCAACCTCGACGGCAAATCTACGCCTAATGTAGGCAACCTCGACGCCATAACTACGCCAAATCGACGCCAAACAGCAACGCATCATCGATGCCCGAGCATCGTACAGGTTAGAGTAGCCTGGTGGTCAAAAAATGTGCATGCAGGGGTTAGTCTGTGCATGATTAACTTAACGAAGTTAACTAATTTAGTTAACGAACTTAAGTTAAATAAGGTTTTAAGTTCAGTTAACTAAGTTCTGGCCACCAGGAACATAGCTAATGCATGATGCATGAGGGCAAACGTTTCTTAAATTCGGTTAAATATTTTAATCGGTTTTGCGCTTAGGACTGCTCGCTTGTGCTTAGGGCTGCGCTAAAGTTTAGGTTGATAATTTGTCTGTTAAAACTGAAAACATATCTTAACTGTTATATATACCCATATTTGACCTAAGAAATGGCTAAAAAGCCATGCACACTAACACAAACCATTGCCACAAATGGCAGACATAATCCCGTAGGTTCTTTCCTCTTTCTCTTGTCTTGATTGAAATCATCTTCGGCTCTTGAAATGCGGTCAATTGCGGCTTTCGGAATTACCATGGTAAAATGATAACTATAGGGTCACTATTCGGTCTGGTTGTAAAATTATTTGTATGTAAATACGTTTTTGATTTCTCAGCAAACATTGTAAATATACGATTATATCTTGCCTTACTATATTTTGTAATTGAACATATAATATTGTGTATGTATTTATGAAAAAAACATGATTTATATCAAAGTATGAACAGATACAAAACATCATGCACGATACCTCATGATCTTGTAGCTGCACATATATAAAGTAGACACGCACACGAGTAAATACATTGATGCAAACCATGGCCTATAATGGCTTCTAGTTTATATCTCTTATCTCTTGCATTCACTTAACACTACAGTTAATATTCAAGCCAGAAACATTAATTTTACCGCATGTCTTATACTGTCTTGCTATTCTGAAATACATGAATTTATGCAATCAAAGTTAACACACGCATGCTCTCAATTAATGAATTTGAAGTTACTTGACGAAAATAAGGAATGGGTGGGGGGTGCATGCTGTTATCTTAAAACGATATATATGCCTCATTTCTACTATAGTTAGAAACCAATTACGAGACAAACATTGGCGGTGGGCATTGTAACTTAATTATTTTTCCAAGGTCTCTGAGATTTCCAATCATTTAGCTTCGTCGAGTAGTGCTTATGAAAAGTAAGGCGCCACTTTTTGTTTGTACTGCTTGACTTTGCTATGTGGTTCGAAGTGTTAGCAGGTATCTTGGGATATCTAATAACGTTGCAGTGTTATTTTCATTGCTGTTTCTATAAGAGCAGCTTGCTTTGGCTGTATGCCTAAGCTCTAAAAGTTTTTAAACCAGATTTTCAAAGAAAAAAATGCACTCCTTTTGCTGTTTCTATAAAAGCAGCTTGCTTTGGATATATGCCTTGGCTTTGAAAGTATTAGTCCTGTTTGCCTGAAAAAAAATGTACTCTTGGTGCTGTTTTTATAAGGGCAGCTTGCTTTGGGAATATCCCTTGCATGCATGGTTTAAAAAATGTTTACTGAATTTTTTGAAAAAAAATATTTACACTTGATGCTGCACTTGGTTTCGACAGTTTGTTCCTTTGGCTATATGCCTCAGCCTCAAAAATATAAAGTCAATTTCTTGTAATATTTTTTTCCAAACCTTGTTTCTACAAGGGCAGCATGCTATATGACTCAGCTCTGAAATGTGCAATAAAGTTTTCAAGGACAATTGTGTATATATGCCTTCATGCTGTTTCTAGAAGGGCTCATGAAATATCTTCAAGTTAACTCGATCCTTGAAATATGTGGCACAGTTTGACAGCTTAAAACGAAACTATTAGGAACACTGCCTATGATTTGTTAGCAGAATAATTTTAGTTTTTGGACGAACGTAACTTGAATCTAAGCGCTCTGAACTCAGGCATTTTTATGTATTACTATATTAGTTCGTCGATCTCATAAGCTTTATTCAGCTCTCTACCAGAGTTAGTGGATTAATTCTATAACAGAACAAAAAAAATACACGATAACTTAGAAACACTTACTCAAATTAATGCATGTTTTACTGATCAGTCTTAAACATTACTCAAACACGATAGCACACTGTAAAAAGACATGAACAATTTATACTAATTATGCCAAATTAACTTTTAATCTGCACTGTTCTATAAATTTAAATGTCAACATCTTAAACGCACCTACTTTGTAACCGGTTTTAGATATAATAGTTTAATGTCTTCGTATATTAATGATGTACTATGTAAAGAAAACACACACGCTTTGTAATACATGTTTAGTGAAGTATTAATAAAAATAGGACCAAAATTGTCCGTCTCCTCTCTCTTGATTTCAATATCTTTAACACACACATTTTGTTGTAATACATGACTTTGTTTTAATAAAATCTCAAACTTGTGTACTTTGTGTTTAATTCCGGCTTTCAGTGAGGGTTTTTCTCCAGGCACTCTGGTTTCCCTCGTAAAAAAACAGCGTCCGTGTGTTCGGAACTGTGTTTACGGTTGGTTTTCCATACGAAAATTGAACTTTTCACGAGTAAAATTGAAAGAAAGCTAAACATTTCTGTTGACAATTTATATCCGCATAATTGGTACGTCTCGTTATACTCGATAAAAAGTTTAAAATATTTTCGCAACCCAGTAGACTTTAATGTCTGACGTAAACGCCCTCAGAGTAGTAGTAGTAGTAGTAGTAGTAGTAGTAGTTTATTAAAAACAACATCTCGCAGTCTTAAGACTGAATTACATGTGTTTAATACAAAATTTAGAATATAGTATACAGGGTGTCCCAAAAAAAACGAAAACTATTGAAATCACCCATAACAATGCCATTGTTAGAGTTTGAATGCCCAAGCACTCTGTTGGGCCCACAAGTGTATAAATCAGGGTTGCCATAAGCATTTTTATGCATGTATATGATGCAGTCAAATTTGCTTGTTCGCAAAAATGATATTTATCAACAATATTTACAATTTACAAATTTGGATAACATTATTTAAATGTGCATCTCAAGGACCATGACCTTCGATATATCCCCTTTCTCTAGCAACACAAAGCATTTAGCATTTTATAAGTTGCATTAACGTTCTAACGGATCCTAAGGCTCACATCAGTACGATAGCACACCAGCTCTTACACTATATTTTGCCCGCTGCCGATCGGTAGGGATGGAGACGGTATCCGAGCGAAACGATCGGGCTAGGGGTGAAACGGTGTTTCTTTTGAGTTTGCTGTTTTCGGCGCAGATAATAACTCTACGAACCATGCTATTTTAACGGTACCTCCTCCATCCCGTGATCAACTGTCACACGTGAGGCACTGAAGTGAAACCGTGGAATAAACGATACGAACATCAAAGTACACACACACACACAAAAAAGAAAATACCTGTAAATGTGGCGATCATTAATGAATTTACCTTTACCCCAAACACCAATTCAACGACCAAAACGGGTGTGAAAAGAACTGTGCTTAATCCTGCAAAACAAACTAACAAAAAACAAAACAAAAAAAAACCCCAGCCAGATTAACAAGACGCTTCTCCCATAGAGTTCACAACATCGCGTGAAGTCGTTAGGGAAAAAGGGAGGGATGGGTCACGCAAGCAACTAACAACTAGATCAGGCAAACTGGGCTCATATTTATACTCACCGGAGAGGGCAAGTAACCGACCGGACCAGCGTCCTAAGACCCGAGACACTACGATACGAAGACCCGTATAACATTAACTTCCTTTATTATTTAATAATAAATACATTTAACGTTCTAACGGATCCTAAGGCTCACATCAGTACGATAGCACACCAGCTCTTACACTATATTTTGCCCGCTGCCGATCGGTAGGGATGGAGACGGTATCCGAGCGAAACGATCGGGCTAGGGGTGAAACGGTGTTTCTTTTGAGTTTGCTGTTTTCGGCGCAGATAATAACTCTACGAACCATGCTATTTTAACGGTACCTTCTCCAAGTATGTCTCCAAGCCAGATGAGGGGTTGGAGTTAGGTTACCGTTAACCTTCTCCACCAGTCTCCAACCCTACAGCAGCGGGGCAACGTTGAAAAATGACTGCGGCGATGTGCGAACGTAGCGAAGGTAAGCTTGGCTAGTCCAACGTCCAAGAGCTTGAATTAGATGATCCGGAATCCCCGCAGCAGCGGCGGAAGTAGCAGCCCCAATGCGAAAACTGTGAGATGAGTAGTTCCCCAATTACGCCAGCCCGCCTCAAGATTTTGCGAAGGAAAAAATTGACTTGTGGAGCAGTTAAGGGGAAGCCATCCGACCACAGGAATAAAGGACCAGGGCCGCTGCCACGCATATCGAGGTAAGCCTGAAGCGCCAAGACAGGGCAGAGATGATTGTTTGAAGACCCGATGTACAGGACCTGTCCGACGCCAAGAGGATCAGTCTTAGAACATTTGATTCGGAGACGAATGCCCATTGACGAACCAGAAGAGAAGTGTACATCAGCTAGTGCCAAATGACGGGACGGAGCGAAAGGGACAACCGAAGTGAATTCGCTGACACGCAGAAAACCAAAAAATGCCCGAGAGCACGCAGACCAAAACATAACTGCATGATCCATAACTGCATAGCCGCCAAGATCACCAACCGTCGACGAATGAATCCAATAGTTCGCGGGTTATGGGGCAGCGTAACGAGGAAACGCCAGACCGAGAACGACGGATGCCCTGAAGCAGACGACGAAGCCGTGGTTTCTCTTTCGTGGGATCCGGGAAGCCAAGGTCAATATGATAGGAACGGACAGCAGCTAGGTACACATTGACGGTTGCAGGCGAGAGTGATTGCGCCAACCAGGAAGCGAACAACATCAACTGATTCTCGGAAGTAGGAATGGCAGGAGCAGAGGAGAACACGGCGGGAAAAAGGGAATAAAAAGCCCAAAACTTCTTCATGCCAGCAGAAAACGTGCGCCGAGAGGAAGCTGCCAAACCAAGGGCAAGGAAGCCCGCACACTGCATCTCTAGTTGACGCTGAGCAGCCCCGACACCAGAGACAACGGGACGGGCGTGGGATGTGGATCCGCGTTGGGATGAAAGCGACGAAACTCCTGAAACCGAAAACGAGAAAGGCAATCAGCCGCCGAATTATGCCGTCCAGGGACGTGGCGCGCGGAAATTGAAAAATGGAACCGGTAGGCGACCAACACCAGTCTGCGTAACAAGTGCATGGACAACTTGTCTCGGCAGGTCCCCGAATTGATTATTGCGACGACAGCATCGTTGTCGGATAAGAACTCGATCTGTAACCGATGCCATTGATAACCCCAAACATACGCTGCAACGACAATGGGAAACAATTCCAAAGCAGTAATATTAGTTGAAGGTGCGAAGGAGGGCCACGAACTGGCAAACCAAGCGTTGGACCAAATAGCACCAAAGCCGATAGCTCCCGAGGAATCAGAGGCAACAAACAAATCGGGAAGCGAACGAACGGATGACATGCGGAAGAAACTGATTCCATTCCAAGATTGCATGAATTCAATCCACCAGCCGAGATCGAGACGAAACTCCGTATTGAGCCGAATAGGGTGGGTAGGCGAACGATAAGCGCAGAGCAAATTAATCATACGCCAGAGGAACGTGCGACCGGGCGGAACAACTTTCGTAACGTGGTGAAGCGAGCCGATAAAGGATTCTAACTCTCGACGAGTGCACCAAGACTTACGATTCCATTTTTTGGAGAAGCTCTACGATAGCCACAAATTTAGCGGATGGCAACCGAGCAGATTGGGTGAGAGAATTTAGTTCCACACCTAAAAAAAACACTAACGTAGTAGTAGGACCCTCGCACTTTGACGGATGGAGAGGCAAACCCAACCGGAGGAATAAGGACCTGGCGATGGCTACATTACTAGCGCACTCGGAGGAGTTGCCGGGGCCAAGGGTCAGGAAATCGTCGAGGTAGTGAAGGAGAAAACGAACGCGATAATTAGCTTTTAGAAGCTTCCACCATTTCGGCGACGGAGTTGAAGATAAATGGGGCGGAACGCAGACCAACGGAAGAGCCAAATCGACGAAATATGACTCACGCCACCACATGCCAAATAAGAAACGTTCGTCAGGTCTGAGAGCGATGTTACGGTACGCACATTCTACGTCAAATTTGGCGATAAGAGCACCCGGACCAAGCTGTACTAAACGAGCAATGGCATGATCGACGGAGATGTAAGTCAAGGAGAAAGGATCCCTGGGGATGCCGTCATTAACGCTATGGCCTTCGGGTGACGACAAGTCCAGAATGAGACGCCATTTACCAGGCTGGCCTTTCTTTGGAATGACCCCAAACGGGCTGCACTGTAGATTAGGAAATGGTGGCGAGGCAAATGGACCCACGACACGACCATGCGAAATTTTATTTGCCAAATATTTGTCGATAACATCGGGATGTTGCAAAGCCGATTTCATGTTTCGGTGCGATGATCGTAAAGAGACTAGCGAAGAATCAAAACCCGACGGAAAGCCGTGAGCTATACCATCCAACACGTAGCGAACCATAGCTTGATTGGGATGGTTGATTAATTCCCGATGAAACTCGACGTATTGAAGCGGCGAAACGCGGGAGACCAACGGAAACAGGATGCGGGATTCTGGCAACGGTGGATCTACAGCACGAACGAAAGCACCTACAACGGAGTAGAAAAATAGCAAGAACAGCGAGCGGAAGCGATCGGAGCAACCGGTGCGATCGGTGCGATCGGTGCGAACGGTGCGATCGGTGCGAACAGTGCGCAACTAAATCACTATTTTATTCAGCAACTTCATAACCGAACACGAATTACAAACAGACTAAAATAGCGCACAGAACAATGTTAACGTCCGGAACAACAGCAACAACAACCGACCACTACGTATTAACTAACGACGCGAGGTGTCTGATGATCGACGCTTCTTCGCAGGTTGCGAGTGAGATGGTGAACGAGGACGACGTGTAGACTGGTGGGCCACGCTACGACGATGGATTGCAGGACAACCCAGAAAATCACAGGCATGACGGAACCGACACCGGAGGAATTGCGATGAGCACCGACCAGCGTTCCAAGAGTGACAAATAATGGACGACGACCGGGGTACCGGACGCTTCAAGGGAGCTGGAGGACGAGGAAAACGAAGTAGATACCCGCAAAGCAGGAGTAGAAGAAACCCCGGCGCCGAATATATTATTATTATTATTATTAAAAACTTTATTTACCCACGCTAGCCTCGACAGCATATTTATATATAGCTGATTTCCACGAGGGGCGTCACACAAATAATACAATGTAGTATAAGTACTTTAAAAAAAGATAGAGTTAAAAATATAAAATACATAAACGTATTTGACACGTGTGGCACAGCATCTTCCACTAGTTTACTGCTATTTCTCGTTTAAAGCAGTTTAAAGTATCTGCCGATTTAGCTGCAGGTGAAAGGTTGTTCCATAGCATGGCGCCGCTGTACTTAAAACTTCTTCTTAGATATTCCGTTCTGGGTTTTGGAAGAATTAAATCCTTTTCACTGCTTCTAAGATTATAAGTATTTTGTTTCACACTCTTTTTACAGAAAGATTCTTTTAGACTTGGGGCGGCGTAGCCATTTAATACTTTGTACATAAATACAGCCTTGGATTTTTCCCTTCTATTTTCGAGTGTTTCCCAGGACAAGGTATTAAGAATATCTAGTGACCTTTCATCGTAGGTGGCACTAGTTATCACCCTTGCTGCGCGGGACTGGAATTTCTGCAGTTTATCTTGAAGCAATTTACCGCAGTTTGACCACAAGGTAGAACAATAGTCAAAATGCGGCTGGATCAGTGCTTTATAAATGGTTTGTAACGTATTGGTGTTGACGTACGGTTTAGCGCGTTTTATAGCCCCGATACCAGAACTTGCTTTCTTGCATATTTTATCAATATGTTTTACCCAACTTAGATTTTCATCAATTACTACTCCTAAACTTTCAAAAGAATGAATTAATGGTACTGGTTTGTCATCAAAAATTACAGCATTTTCACCAACCTTATTTTTAAGGTTATACGGTGATCCAATAAACATCAATTTGGTTTTAGTTGGGTGGTGTTGTAACTTATTTTTGAAAAGCCAACTATGCAAGTTTTTTAAGTCCTCATTTAGATTTTGGACAAGAGTATCATAGTCATGTGATGATGCAGAAATTACAGTATCGTCAGCATAAAGATAGGGAGTTGTAGATTTTAGGCACTTTGGCATATCATTAATATATAATAAAAATAGCAACGGGCCAAGGATTGAGCCCTGTGGAATTCCACATATTATTTGTTTAGGTGACGAAACCTGACTATTGACAAGGCACACTTGTTCTCTCTTTGTCAAATAAGATTCAAACCATTTTAGCTCAGCTCCATGAATTCCAAATTGCGTTTTCATCTTTTTTAGTAAAATAGAGTGATCAATTGAATCAAAAGCTTTTCTGATATCAAGAAAAACAACCCCATTTAGCATGCCATTGTCCATATTCTCTAACCATTGATCGCACATTTGGATCAGTGCTGTCATGGTTGAGTGATTTGGCCGGAAACCTGATTGATGTTTGGAGAGCAAGAGATTTTGAGATAAATGGTCATATAACTGATCAAAAATTTCCTTCTCAAATATCTTACTTATTATCGGTAGAATTGAGATAGGTCGGTAATTGTCACACTTTTGTCTGTTTTCAGATTTAAAAATTGGTGTTATCCTAGCCATTTTCCATGCATCAATATAAGTACATGTGTTGAGAGATAAATTAAAGATGGCGGTTAATGATGGTGCTATTATATCTGCGGATATCCTAAGTATTTTAGCAGGTATATTATCCAAACCCGTCGCTTTTGAGATTTTGAGTTGCCTCAGACTTATGGCAACATTGATTGGGCTAATTAAGGAAAAAGCAAATCGAGGGCCAGAAAAACTATCGGAGCAATCCTGAGAATCTAAACTGTTTGTAGGTTCACACATTTCAGCCGCTAATTTAGGACCGATTTGTACGAAATATTCATTAAAAGCGTCAGCTATTTGTTTGTCGTCTACGATAACTGAATTATTGATATGAAGTTCGTTAACATTGGGTGATTTCTTACTTCTATTTAATAGGGTGTTTATCAGATTCCAACTTTTTTTAACATCTTTACTATGTGAGCATTCTTTAATTTTGTCTCGAAAATAAGTTTTTTTAGCGCTTTTCATTGCAGCATTAACCCTGTTCCGTTCTGATTTATACTTATTCCAATGTGCCGTAGATGAATGTTTTATTGCATGCTTTTTATGAAAATCTCTGGTTCTCATTAATCGTTTAACGTCAGATGTTATCCAAGGCACCGAGCTGCCTCTTATTCTCTTGCACCGAATAGGCGCGTGCCTATCAAGTATCTCGAGAAAAAGGGATCTCCAAACATGCCAGGATACATTAGGATCGTCAAATTGGTGTACAATTTCCCAAGGGATTTGCGATATTTCTTCTATAAAATCGCTTTCAACAAAATTTTTGTAGTCTCGGGTTTCTTTATAAGCGTGCCTTAATTTCGGTACTTTAATACTTTTAACTGCAAAAATCAAACTGTGATCCGATATTCCAAGATGGATCACGCCAGAATTTATTATATTTTCAGATCTGTTTGTTAAAAAAAGGTCGATTAAAGTTGCCGATTCTGCGGTCACTCGTGTTGGTTCAGTGATTAATTGATCCAATTGGTATAAAGAACATGACAGTTGGAGTCTCCGCGTATGGGAGTCTGGAACTGCTTTAACAAGATCACAGTTCATATCTCCAACAATCATTAGTTCTTTATTTTCGAGATCGCATTTACACAGAAATAAATCGAGTTCATTAAAGGCGTCGTTATTGGAATTAGGCGGCCTATACCAAACACTTACTAAGAAAGCCACTCTATGTGGTCTACGTACTTCAATACATATCATTTCAAGCGTTTCTGGAAGGAGATCTTTCCTTTCAGAAAAGGATATATTTTCTCTAATGTAAAGGACTACGCCACCCCCAGATCTATTTCTATCATTGCGGATCATGTTATATCCAGCTATATTAATTTCATTATCTGCTATTGAATCATCAATCTTTGATTCATTAATTGCAAGAATATCCAAGGAAGAATTAGTCAAAAGCACACGGAGCTCATCTACCCAGTGAGCACACGACGTCGTTTCGACGTTGATTTATGGTTGAATTTTGGTCGCGACGTCGATCAACCCAATATCGACTTCGTTTCGACGTCGATTTCACGACGTCATATCGACGTCGCAAACTGACGTTGTTTCAACGTTGTTTCCACGTCAGATAAAACTAGAGTTTGCTGCGTTTGCCGCATTTAAATTGTATATGAATTCACAACAATATTGGGAAAGTGTTGTGAACATCATATATGCAGTGTAATGATGTGTTTTTGTCAGGTCGTTAAAGCGTCGATATATCAACCTATTCTCGACGTCGTTTTCGCGACGTTTATTCAACGTTGTTTCGACGTTATATAAAAACTTTATAGTTCCAGCTTGCAAAGATCGCGATGGTAATAATATCATTCCTGATAGATAGTTAGGACGAATGTTGCGATTTTAAGAAGTTAATTTCTATGTAACAGACTATTTAAAACCTTTATTAAATACCTCGGGCCTCCCCGGAGCAACATCGGTCATGCATCGTTGGTAGAGTGCGCGCAGTGCATTTCGGGAAGGTCGAATTGAGCGCGTCCATTTGAAAATTGAAACATGTTGTCGCGAACGGAATATGAAACATTGTAGCTGTATATTTCGGGATATTTTCACAGGATTTTCTCAGTTTAATGGTTGGATATCTTCACATAAATCCAAGAAAGCAGTAAAGGTTAGTGAGAGTCAGTTTTACAGTGTGTATTGCCATGACAAAGGCCATGAATCGCGAGATATGAATACGCGATCGTGACATCGTGATTATATTTTGAAATTTAGACGTTTAAAACATTGCCCAAACTCTTTGATTCTCTTTTAAAAATGGTTCAGCTAAACAAATAACGATACTTGCTCATTAGATTTTGTTAATTTATGTTTCAACGTTGTGTGATCAAGGGTTATTCATTCTAATATGACTTTGTATATACAGTAAGATCGCCATATTTGACGCCAGAACTAATTGCATTTATAATCCTATGTTTTAGTAGGCTATTTATATTCAAACTTGCTATTTTAATACCTTTTAATTTGCTTATTGCATGCAATGGATGATCAAAAATACCTGATGCTGTGCCACACGTTAAATCAGTTAACGTTTCCTTCTGCGGATGTCCTTCTGTGGTTGTACGATTATTTTCAACAATTCTCCAAGTTTCTGAATCGTGGAACTCTGAAAATCCTGATAAAGTTGTTTCTGGGATGAAGCTGGTCCACTGCTTCCCCTAAGAAAATTGATAAGATGAACGGCTAAAATGGCCGAGCCTTTCGCATTTAGATGAAGTTTGCTTCCATTTAGGCATGTGTCATCAATGGTTGAGTTATCAATGAATGAGATATCTAGTTTCGTACAAATGAGCTCAAGTTCCTTGTTGACTTCGTCAATCTTTCTGGACAAAGCGAGGTCGTGTCGCACTGTTAGACCTGATAAACCAATTTTCGAATAGGGAAATTGCGATTTTACTTTTGTGGCAAGCTTTTCAATCTTTTGAGAGCATTCGGCAGCGGATTCCAAAGGGAGATTATTTGTCCCAGCATGCAAAATTACATGGGACGGGATTGCTTTTAATTTATCAAAGTTGATCTCCATTTCAATCTGATCTGCAGTTTTTCCTGGATAAGTAAACTTATGCACCTTCTTCTTTGAAAGCTTTCTAGGTTGGATATTTTTAATTATCGAGTCTCCTATAATTAAGATATCCGATCCAATTACGTGTGTTTCAGGACTCTTTCCCTTCTTTTGGCGCACATTGGTAGATTCTTCTTGGTCATTTGTAGGATTTATTTCGTTACCCTTGGGATAATTGCCAGCCCTAATCTCTGTTTGCGTCTCGTTGTCCGATATATCGCTTAAGGTTTGAAATCGATTATCTACATTGAGCGTGTGGGAAGTTGATGAGATTTCACTTGCTTGCTGCTTTCTGTTACAGTTTTTGTCCTTCTGTACAACTTGAAAGTTGTTAGACATTTCAGCTGAATTAGTATTCTTTTGATTTAAATTATTCAGGCAAGCTTGATAATCGTTTTGTTGAAGCGTCAGAGCGGTGACTAGATCGGTTTTCTCTTGCTCTAAATTAATAATTTTGGTGTTAAGGTCTTTTATTATACTGTTAGCTTTTTCCAAATTGTTTCTCAGGTGAACCTTTTCGTTTTCACACGCGCTAATTTTACATACTTGTGTATCTTCGTCTGCTCGATTTTTAAGTTGTAATATATCACTTTCGATACGCTTGAGTTGTAGCGCTAGGTCACAGCAATAACACTGAGAATTGTCGAATTTATGTCCACTTTTAGCATGAGGCGTTTCGATTGAAAAATTGTCCGCATTATTTAAGTTTTTGCGTTCATGCTCGTTGACATTGGTCGATGGATTTTGAGTGATTTTGACCGGGTTTGAGTTTTCTTCGGCTTTGCTACACGATAGATGTTCGTCATGATAATCTTCGTCACGGTTCTTGGCTTTATTTAACGAAGCGAATTTTACAAGTTTTTGTCGAAGGCTTTGATTCTCGTCGTCTTGAAATACCACAAGCTTTTGCTTCGTTTTACTATGCCACTTCAATACATAGTTTTTACTTGTGAATTTCTTTACTTCTCCGCCGGTAGATTTCCACTGCCCTTCGATTCCCAAGTCGGATTGTATAAACAATTTCAGATTCTCATACGAACCATTCCAAACCAATTCGTCATTTATTTCGATAAGATTTGATTGTTTAGCAGGTGTTGATGTCACCATACTATGTTCATCAATTTCTTGATTAAAACTAAAATGATCTTCAATAATAACGGAGTTGTCAAATACACGTCCATACGCCATGATGTCAAGGCCACCTCGAGACACTACTACGAGAGCTACTACGAGACACTACGATACGAAGACCCGTATAACATTAACTTCCTTTATTATTTAATAATAAATACATTTAAATCCCCACGGGCTGAAATTCGTGAGCACGGCATTCAAATTTTAACAATGAGTGATTTCAATAGTTTTCGTTTTTTTGGGACACCCTGTAGAATAAAAAATAGAATAGAATAGAATAGAAAACATAATGGTCTATAGTATTGGAGAAAAAATGTCAGGTGTGGGATTCGAACCCACGCCCACCATCGTGGACCAGAAATCCTCGCACTGTTCTTCAGTCTGGCGCCTTAGACCGCTCGGCCAACCTGACGATATAGCTACCACAACAACAAAACCTACAGCTATAAAAAAATGAAAATTATCCCTGGATGTTAAAATAAAAAGTTATAGAAACACGCGTGGGAGTTTGGGAGAATATAGGCTTGTAATCACCTCGAGTTTATCGAGTTATATTATAAAAGAAATAGAAAACATTTTTTCCTTTGTTTCTATACAGTATAGAAACACTTGTGGGAGTTTGGGAGAACTCGAAATAACGTCGAAAAACTCGCCCTATGGGCTCGTTTTCCCACTGATTATTTCTCGTACTCCCAAACTCCCACGCCGTGTTTCTTAACTGTATAGAAACACGGAAAATGTTTTCTACACTAGGTTACCTGCGAGGTAGGGATTGCTGCGAGCATTTTAGGGTCCAAGTGAATTGTTATATGAAATGTTAGTGAACTAAATCTGTTTTAACTAATAGCAATAGCAGGTTTAAAAAATAGGTACGCAATGCGTACATGTGGGTAGCCTGTAAAACATTATTAATGCGATAAAGCTTCTATAGTGCCGAGTAAATATCAACTGATGCAATAAAATATTATTTTCTAGTCTTATGTTCTAATGCAATAGACAACGGAATAAATGCCCTATAGTTAGCTGGTTGAATACAGTTACAACGAAGTCGATTTATTATGCAATCTATATATTATAATATTTTATTGTATTAAATACATTTTAAGACAGATCAAAACATATATAAAAGCATTTTTGCAAGAGATAGGAAATAAAATTTGTTAAGCAAAATAAGTGAACAGAACAAAAAGGAGAGTAAGGTTCCGGGATGGTGGCACACATCGTCTGATAACATAAAGCTTAGTTTAGAAGGAGAAAGATCTTAACAAAGATTTCATTGAGGATAAACTACTTGATTTGCCAGATCATTTTACAGTCACATAACAAAGAGTCCAAAATTGTTTCAAACGTTTTGCATTAACAATTTTTAAGGACTTATCTATGTATCTGAACAATATTTTAAAGATTTTTGATCAGTTGAAATCCACTTTTGTTAACAGTTTTGTTTTTTGAACTCCAAAGCATTTGGTTTAATAACTGCATGTCCACAAGCAAGGAATTGACAAGTGAAATATTACATTATAATTTATAAAACAGGGCAACTTGTTACTACCATTTGCCGAATTATAATTTATAAAACAGAGCAACTTGTTACTACCATGTGCAATAAGGTAATGTATTTGGTTTAATAGCTGCTTGTCCACAAGCAAGAAGTTGACAGGTGAAATATTGCATTATAATTTATAAAACAGGGCAACTTGTTACTACCATTTGCCAAATTATAATTTATAAAACAAAGCAACTTGTTACTACCATGTGCAATAAGGTAATGTATTTGGTTTAATAGCTGCATGTCCACAAGCAAGAAATTGACAGGTGAAATATTGCATAATATAAATTTTTAATTTATAAAACTGGGCAACTTGTTACTACCGTTTGCAATATTAAAGGTATTCGTTTAATAGCTGCATGTCCACAAGCAAGAAATTGACAGGTGAAATATTGCATTATAATTTATAAAACAGGGCAACTTGTGACTACCATTTGCAATAAGGTAATGTCTTTGGTTTAATAGCTGCATGTCCACAAGCAAGAAATTGACAGGTGAAATATTGCATTATAATTTATAAAACAGGGCAACTTGTGACTACCATTTGCAATAAGATAATGTCTTTGGTTTAATAGCTGCATGTCCACAAGCAAGAAATTGACAGGTGAAATATTGCATTATAAGTCATAAGTTATAAAACAGGGCAACTTGTTACTACCATTTGCCGAATAAGGTAATGTTCTATTTATTTTCTTTTAGTTTTAACTTTGTAGTTGTAGATTCAACGCTCACCGATCACCGCTTTTTCGTCTTTAAAGTATTCAACTTCGCTTTAAAATTTGACAAACGTATTAACGTAACTTCGGTTGCTTCCGTCCTTCGAAAACAACAAAATTTTCCGGAAGTAGAACGTACCGTTCGTCATCTTTCGTATATCCGACGATTGCAGAAGATGTGGCACCCACACACAAACACACACAGATCCGGACACTTTTTCGACTACATAGTGGTTAGCCGCGCATGCGCAGGCTACCCACAAAAACGCAAAGTGAGCCTCTATTGAGCGTTAACTCGCTGGGGCTGTAGATGAATTAACACCTATTAGCGAGAACACTGTCAATGACGTCAATATTTAGGTCAATATATGCTATATCAACGCTGTCTTTAGAAGCAGCTAGTTTTAAAAATATTTTAACATACGAATCACAACAGGAGTATTAACAATAATAGTAATATTAGGTAGAATTTTGCGCGCGTAGCGACATTTTCCCCGCAACAAAGCAAAAATACAGGCCCAGTAGCACATGTTTAACAAAATAGAACATTTTTTGGTAACATGGATATTTGTTTTTTAAATATGCTATTTGTCTTTGTTGTGTCCGTGTAAATGTTTGGCTTCATGTGAAGAGTAACAAAACATTTAATACTTTGAACTTTGAACGCGCTCGAGAAGACGTGTAATCAGAAACCACGTGACGTGAATATCCGGTAAAAGCACTAAATAACAAAAACATTTAGCTCATGGTAAAATAGGAATAAAAACATATGCCTATGCTTACAGTAACCTAATTTTAAATAAGTCAAACATTGCACGAATCTGAGCGATTCAGTCAGGCAATTTAGACGATCAATTGCATATTTTATCTGCGACTGTGTCATGTTATTAAACACGACTCCCAAGCGTCAAGCCGCATACTTAAAACATCATTTGATGCAAAATATGGAAATCAGCAAAGGAATACAAATGTCAATGGATAAAAAAAACCTTTAAAGCATCTGTATGTAAAACTTGATTTGCTTCACAGCACTGACAGCTCAACTGCTCAAGCAAAGCGAATTAGCAAATTGGATAGTACATCTTAATAGTTAATATTCTAGAAGAATTTATATAGTTCGTATATAAACAGCATGAATCTAGCTGTGATCGATTGTATTCTTTTAGCGTTTCATAAATATAACAGTTAAAATTGTAAACAACTGTAAATGTAACATATGAACGAAAGATGAAAATATCTTACCTTGAATAGTCAAAATAGAACAGAAGCTTTAAAAGTTAACAAAAATTTGAAGATCCTGTCCATCGAAATTTAAAAGCACATGGATATGAGTAGCCTGCAACGCAGACTATATATGGGGTATACATACCCCATATGGACTATATATACCCCATATATAGTCTGCGTTGCAGGCTAGGATATGAGCGAGTTTAAAATTTGTGTTCTACGCATAAAAAACGCACACGACCACAATTCCTTGCGCTAAATAAAATTTAGTTCAGAACCCCCTCTCTGCACAAATTAGACTGCTGCTACGTTCGCTCGCTTCAGGCTCGCTCGCTCCGCAGCAATTATAAATTCTAAATAGAAGTTCGCCAAAATGGCGGATTCTTGCAAGCGTTTTAAGGCATGCAAAATTCGCGTTAATACGCAGTCAACAAAGGGAAAAAAAACTACAAAACATGTGCGTTTAAATTCAAATAACTATTGAAAGATTTCTGAGGAGTCAAGTTCGAGTAAGCAGAAGTCTTTCACAACGGGAATGGAAGAAGAACATGTTGATGGTTCAAATATCGACGATATAAATAGCAGCCATGAAAGTGATGTATGGGATGACCAAGCTTTTTCTGGTCTTTCACGATATCACTTGCGCCGGGTGAAAGAGTATCACAGTTGGGAAGATGTGAGGGGGTCGTTTTTGCAAGCACGCATTGAGGAAGAAGCTTTTTGTGACGAAAGTATATGCATCGAGTGCTATAACAATTTCGCTGTTTGTCGCTGCGTGGATTGTGGTCCTAGACAGTTGTTTTGCATCAACTGCGCGAAAACTATCCACGAACAACGCAACGTCTTTCACCTACTTGAAATTTTCAAGGTGCGTGTGATGTTTTTGGCGTAAAATATAACATATTTCAATATCTTTTATATGTATATTACATATTCAGAACTGACCCTACCCCTGACGGCCAGACCCAACTGTTTGAAAATTAATGTTGCTTATTTTCTCAGGATGGTTGTTTTGTTGCTTTATTTGTCAATCATGGTGTTTTGACTCTTGATCACCAAAGAAATTGTCCAACTGCACAAGCAGAAAACATCATTTGTATTGATGAAAAAGGTACTGTGTGGCCTTCATTTTATTTTGCATCTCCCTCAGTGTGAGTGAGAGGTGGGTTTATTGGTACTGACGTACTGTGGATTTGATAACTGTATTCAAGTTTGTTTTCAGTCCTAAAATAATTTTGAGAAAGGTTCTGTAAGTTTTTCCTATGGTGCTTTTTTATTAGGGCATCAACACTTGAAACGGATCAACTTTTGTAACTGTGAAGATGCTGCAGTTACACTTGTAAAGTCCAATTATGGCCAGGATCAGCTGTTAGACCTCAGGTTGCATTTCATTTTAAGTTGGTTACACTTGCTGAGACACTTCTATTGGAATGCCATGTATCGTTAAAGAAATTTTGTGATGTGTTGGGCCTCAATAAGTCCAATATGCTTCCTGTTTGGGTATGTTATTTTGTTGTGAATTTGAAGCTGAGTAATTCCATGCTATTTCAACATCATTCCTGAAGAACAAATTTTAGACACCTAACCTCTCCAAATACTTTGTTTATATATTTTCTAAATAGACAATTCTTGATTAAAGTATAATAATAATATAGCATACTGCATACCAAGTATAAATTATTATATACTGTGTAATATTTATCTGTGTGAAAATGACATGGGATTAACTATATAAGCTCTAAATGCTCTAAATGACAATAACTTGACTGTTTTATTAACACTTTGATGCTTGGAATCTCCATTGGACAAGTAAAATCACATAGGGTTAACTAGCCAGAGTAAAATACTAGAGTCAATATGCCATGGGCATTAAATAGATAAAGAAGATAACTATAATTTATCACATATTATCGATTCCAGTTTTAATGAGATATTTCAATTTGTTTGATATATAAGATATTAAATTATATTTGCCTACTAATTATGATGTTAGTTTGGTTGCCAGCTAACTAGTATACAGTAACTATAAAGTCTACAAAGTGCAGATACTCATGTTCCGAGCGAAGTTTAAAATTTCATAATTAGTGGACGTGCAAATATACACTTATTTACATATCACACAAATTGGAATGTCTCGTTAGCAAACCATTAAATGAAGAGAGAAACTAGAAAATAAGTTATATATACATGTGAAATATATTAAATATTTCTTTTGTGTTATAAAATAATCAATGTTATGTCATATGTACATTAATTATATACCATAGATAAATAAATTTATTCATACATTATATATATTTTTTGGTTTACTAAGGTTGAGAATGTCTACAAAATATTTAATGATGATTCTTTTGATGAATTTAGGTAGGGGTGTATTTTGGTTAACTGCATGACACAGTACTGTTCTTGTCAAATATTTTGTATAATTGTTTTTGCAACTTTTTATGATAAATTTTAAACTTCAATTTTATATATATATATATATATATATATATATATATATATATATATATATATATTACAATACCAACAATAATATTTTATTTATGTAGATATCACCAACATTTGTTCAAAACAATGAAACAATTTGTCTTGCAACAAAAACCTGACAATGTTTGCCCGTTATGTCCTTTGCAGGTATAGAACTCAACAGGTATTTTTTCTTTTATGTCACATTCTCCTTTTTGTATTTAACATATTGTGATAATTTTGTAGAGTGAAACTGATACTGACATGAATGTTGCCATTGAGTGCATGGATGGATGTTTTGGGCTTGTGAGAAAAAGGTCTGCTGGTGCCAATCTTTTACCTGCCAGACACAATGGTACATTTTTTGCCAATCAGGATGATGTTGATAGCTTTGTTGATGACAACTCAAAGAAGGCAAAGCAAGCCCCTACTGTAAGTGGTTACTGGTGATTGTACTGTAAAAAGTAGTTTTGTTGAATATTATCATTATTATAGTAGAATCCACTGTTTTTCCTAGGATTGCGATGAATTTAAATCTGGTGAGGTTAGTAACATGTTATGATCCAAAGGAAGAAATAAGCTTTTTGACGAGAAGGGAGTGTTTGGTAGAGTATGCAGACATGAATACCCAAGGGGATTTATGAGTATCAAACATGGAGAAGGTGAGCAAACAGTCATCAAATTAAAGTGCAAGTGTACATGTTGATAGTAATTTAGTGCAACATACTGTATATTTTAGGATAGCATATTCAGTGTATGAGGTTAAAAAGCTTCTGTGTCATTATGATGAGGATACTGATGTTAAAATAATGTATGACATTGCATGTACTTTGTCTGCCCACCTAAAGGTAAGGTATAGGCGTAGCTGCCTGATTACAGCTCAAATTCTAAGAAAAAGTAACTGTCATTTGGAGATGTAATCTCATGTGCAATTTTACATGTATTGAATATTTATTATATATGAATTTCAATATCCCATTTGCATATATATTTTATTTTTGATAGAAAAGCGAAGAGCATGCTATTTTAGGACGCATTGACTTGGCAATTCCTGTTTCCCATGCATATGGACATAAATCTTCTTCAGGTCAATATATGGTTTAGAAGTTATCGGTTTTGTTATCAAAAATTTAATTGTCATTCTTAGGTGCAGTCATGCAGTATGTCGCATGTTGTTATTTATCTCAGAATTGTCCCGAAATGTAGGTTGCTTTTGGTCCTAGAAGAAAGGAGGGATTTGGCCTTACTGACGGTGAAGGGATTGAAAGACTTTGGTCTTACCTCAGAGGATTTTCATCAATGACAAAGGAAATGACAGCTGGTCGAAGGGTTGACGTATTGACAGATGCGCTTCTTCACCATGCAAGACATCGTCTTCTACAGTTTGGCTAGTTGAATATTTCTTCCTTGGTGGAATTATGCCACCAATATCATTACAGTATTGATAATATTTTTGCGACTATACATTTGTAATTCAATGTTTGATTTTTCCCCACAGGTCCGGTGTTACAGCGGATAGTGTCCCCCCGCGGATAGTGTCCCCCCGGACACTATCCGCTAGCGGATAGTGTCCCCTTTAATTACTTTACCGCGGATAGTGTCCCCCACGTGAAAGTCCAAAACAAAAGTTAATATTTGCTAGAAAATATATTTTATAAAAAAAATTTGCTTAGTAATACATTTTAACTACACAACAACATACTTAACTACATAAAGGAACAAGAATAGCAATAATTTATGTATACATTTAACTATGATACAGTACTTGAAAGTCATCCGGATATTTCTCATTTCGCAGATAATCGTATATTCGCTGATACAATGTTGACTCGTTCTCCATACTAAACTCCAGCAGATCACTTTTGAAAATAAGTGGACAACTGTTTGGCAACTGGCAACTCTTTATACAGTTGTTTTGCGGCTTTTCTTTGTGAGTCATACAGCCATTGTGCCTGGGCATTCGTGAAATGCTTTTGTGTAATGTTGATTAATTCAGCCATTGTGCAGCTAATGAGCGCTTTTGTTTTTCAGGAATGCCTTGCAAGTCATTAGTCATGTTTATGTCGTATATTAAAGTTATGATATTGTGTAATAACATGTTTAAATTCGAAACACTAATAACACTAAAATTTGAAATACAAATTTAGAACTTTTTCAATCACGTAATCGTGATCGACCAAAGAACTAAATCTTCTTTAGTTGTTTTTATCGGGGGGACACTATTCGCGAAGGGGGGCATTATCCGCGTCGCGGATAGTGTCCGGGGGGACATAATCCGCTAGCGGATAGTGTCCGGAGGGACATAATCCGCTAGCGGATAGTGTCCGGGGGGACACTTTCTGCGGGGAACACTATCCGCTAGGACACCGGCATTGATGTCTAAAATGCAAAAAAAAAAAGAAACTAATGGAAAACTCAGTAGTACAGTTGGAGGAGATCTTTTCAGATTTAAAAGGTAGAACATCTTATCTAACATTTGATGATAGTATTAAACAGTTATTGGATGAGGCTTTTGTATATGCGGAAAGTTTCAATGTAAGTGTTAGTATCATAGTGCTGTCATAGGTCGAATTACGTTATAATAGAAAGGTCTTTCAATTTCAGTTTCCTATGGTACTGATGTAATTAACTCTTGGATGAAAGCAGAAGAGAATATGTTGTAAACGAGAGGAAGTATGTACCAATTATAACGTAAGGAAATACCGTGTTCATTTGTAACAAGACGTGTAATATTATCATAAACTGTTGGTGTTGTAGAGAGAAAACCATCGCCCATGTCGTGGGAGGCTAAATACGTACAGAACTTAGTTTTCTTGCAGGAACTGAGGTTAGACTGATAATGATGCCTAGGTCCAAGGGCGCCGTGAAAATGGCGTAGGTGTGGCGTATACAGAACGATCGTACACGTCGTGTCGTGTTTGGTAGATTTCTAATAGGTCTCACGCGGACAAATTTCTCAATGCAATTGTACATGTCATCATATCAGATCATCTGATAATATAATGACTAATAATGCCACATATTTTTACCTTATTAAATGTAGTGTATTATATGACTAATGGACCAATTGCGTAATAGACCAACTTATTATCTTGGCATTCAGGAAGAAATAAACCACCACAGCTAAAAAGAGCATACCAAAATTAGTATAATTGCCAGGTTTGGTTGCAAAATGTCAACTAGTACGGAAAATATAGCAACGCGAATTTGGCAATTTTGTATACTTTTTTACTACGGCCGGAAGCGTGTTATTAATTTAATTACACACGTCCGGCCGTAAGTTAAAGGTATACAAAATTGCCAAATTCGCATGGCTATATTTTCCGCGCCTTACAATATTTCGCAGCCAAACTTGGCAAATTTACTAATTTTGGTATGTACTGTTCGGAAATTCCCTTTTTGTCACCTAAATAAAAAGTTGGTCTATTATGCAAACAGTCCATTTATCTGAATAATATTTTTAGTATGTATAACACTGTATATTACTTTGAGAATAATTAAAAATCTTGCAAATAAAGTAACTTTGTTTCATTACGAACGTAGTTTCATTTCTGTTTTTTTCATAGATCTCCTGTCATATTTCCAATTGTACCAGTCAATTCCTGTTACAGAACGATCATCAGAATTAAGATATTCACCATTGAGGTTTGAAGGAGAACAATGCTTGTACCACCACGCACCCTTATTATGCACAGCACAGTTCTTGATGGCTAAGTCATTGTCTCTGTCTTTGGTCGTAAACCTCATTTTGTTTTGATGACTTAATGAATCCCCAGCAGTCCCTACAGAGCAATTTTACCGTTATGATTTGAGAACAAACTCGTATCAAACCCTTCGCTGCCACAACGTAAGGATTGTAGCAGGAATTAAGAATGTAAACAACAGTGGAAAAAGTCTTTTTCTTTTGTGTATGCAATCCTTTTTTGTGAAAAATAGATGCAAACTATGTTTCCAAGTTTTTGTGTTTGCTAGAATTCATCTCCTTGAATTGTTTTTTGAAATAGCATGCATAAAATCAGCGGTAAGCTTTTCTAGGCGAGTTAAGTTAATACTTTGTTTTAATTTACATTTGGGTTTTGTCAGATTTTTACCCCGTACTTCTGCTTTAAACCGCAAATACATGAAATAAGCCTCGCGTATTTGTGAAGCAACATGAGCCTTCACAACTTATAATAAAGCTACGTTTCTCCACAATAGCAAATATTTTCTTCTTCAACGTTTATGATTTTACCTGAAAATCGCCCAACTGTCAGTTTGTAATCCTCTGACTCAGAAGCGATATAAAAATATTTATATTGAGAGTAGGCTGAATCATTCTCGAAATCTGTCAAGTCAACTCTTAGGACATTTTGTCCCGATTTTGTTAATCGATGTATTTTTTCCAATCCGAGCCAAAAATTTCCTGTCAGGTTACCGAAACCATTCTTATAATCTTGCCACCCACGATAGAAGTCGACACTCGAATCCAGTCTTCTTTGAAACACCGTCCAGGCTGCACCATTTTGCATGTCACACCAAACAGCAAAAGATCCTAAACCGTCTGGATCAATTTTGTAAACACCATCTGTTCTTACACCAGACTTGTAAATACCAGAACAAGCTTTGAAAAGCAAGGAAATTGTAATAAATTATTATAATTAAGAAAATAAATATTGCTTGGTAACTTTTCTTTAAAATGAATAAATTCCTAGTACTCAAATTCGTAACAGTCCACGTTGAGCAATGATGAAGGCCCAGCTAGGTTAACGAACCCATGGAAATATTGGCAATTTTACGCGGATACGCCGCTATTCATGATAAGTTTGACAAAGGGTTAAGAAGAATCATTGTGATTATTGATCCAAGAATCAAACCTGAATAAAAGCAATCATTCTTTTCCATGTTGTCCAAATAGTTCAGCAGTCGAGTTTTAAGAGAAACAAAATCTTGCTTAGTTCTGTTCTCGTAACTTTTAAAAATTTGATTAATATCTAAAAAAATATAAATTTCTCACATTACTACGAGGTACACAAACACTAAGTATAAGTTGCTAAAACCAGGTAAAATGTTCCGCGCATCAAAATATATGTATATAATGCACGTAATAGTCTTTGCCGTAGCTAATAACTTCAAACCACGCAATGCGTGACGGTAGTTAAGTATCGAAGTTAACCTGAACTTTACTGAGAAGCTAATTTTTTTGCAATTTTTTTGTAAATCACGTATCACTTGCTTAAAAGGTAAAAGGTCTATTATTGTTAAAAACCTTGACATTCAGCCTTGTTTATCTTTTCCAGAAATTTCGTAAGATCGTCTTTCAAACTTGCAAGGTTTTCATTCATTCCTTTTTCATGAAAATCGATCAACTGGAAGGCATCTGTAAGTTTTTTCAATTCTTATCAATAATGAGAATGCACATTAAAAATGAATATAGTTTTTACACTAATTAAGGTTTTTTTTTTGAAATAATTTTTTGGCAGAATACTTTTATTATATGAAATTTGAAATATATAAAAATATTAATTAGTTAAAGTCATAAAGCATGCATGATAAAGACCTGTAGAAGAGCAAACCCTTCTGTTAATTTCGTCCACATAACCGAGAAATTTAGATTTTAAGGTGGAAATGTTTTTCTTCGTCCCTGTTTCGTAACGTTGGAATATTTTTTCGATCTCTTCATTTTGGTCAGACTTGAGCTAAAAAATCAGCAAAAAATTATCATTTCCGTACAATATATTCATTCAATATGATTTTAACCCCCATAATTTAATACATGAAGAGATAATTCATTAGTTTACTTGCCTTTGCTGTAGTTTGCAAAGCAGTTAATATGGCTGTCAGGAATGTTATATACATGACACATGCAGGCATATCATGTGTTCCTGAAATTAAATTGGAAAACGAATATATAAGTGATCTTTAATTTCTAGAAGTAGAAGTACACGTATAATATATATACAATGTAGGCTATAATTATATTAATATTAATTATAATCAGCGAAAATCGAAATCCTGTGACAGTTCAACAACTGTTTTGTGTCGTGTTTTTCTTGCAGTACCTGGGTGATACCTAATTTGTTTAGGCCCAATTTAACGATACCGCAGATATCTTTATATATACCCCTATAATAATAGGCTTAGCTTATCGCCGATTAATTTAAGAAAAAAGCTTTCGAAACACTCATACTAATACTCAATAATACTTAAAATAGGCCTATATCTGTCTGTTCTCACAACCTTTCAATCTTCAAATGTGTCACGACAGCTTTCCAAAATAGACAAAAAGTGCATGGCGTTTCGACCTGAAGCCCCTTACCTACTGAATTTTCCATGCTCGTGCGTAGTCAAGTGTGTAAATTGACAAGTTCTCCTTGACAAAGAGCCTTGTTCAAAAGCTAGTCATGGCAGCTTTTCAACAGGGAAAAATGCTCGGCCACCAAGGAAACTTGACAAGCAATTGCGTAGTAGCGAACAGCGTGTGCAATCTTAGAGCTAATCGAGCGGGTTTTTTAAGTTTCATTTAATTTCTGTTTGTTCTGAAATTTTCAGGGGATATCGTAATAATTTGGATTGAATCATTGTTTGTATATATACGCCTTAATTCCACGATAACACAAGATATCTTTAACAATGAAATACGAATGAACAAACGTCAATAACATGCATGCACATCAATATTGACAATATATATAAAACATAGTACCAAGTACCAACATGATATGAAAATGCTTCAACAGTTATTGTGAGAATTTATACAGGAGAACATTAAACTGCACGCAGGGTTATGATAAATGATTAAGCCATTCTTTCCAGAGAAAATAAAATATTGCTATTGAGCCGTGATTTGAATTAAAAGCATAATACTTTAATTACATTCACATTTTTTTACCAATCACCGTGAAATCCTCAGCTCTCAATGGGCGCTATTTAAAATGAAACAGATGCCAAATTTCCTTTTTCTTGAAATGATTATATATAAATCGCTCAGATTGCTGTCAAATCTTGTGCAAAGTAACGAATATTTTGAAGTAAATCCGAGTTGTAATAAATTCAGATGATCAAAACAAAGACTCTTTCATTCCTATCGTTAACGTATAGGAAGTCGAAAATTAATTGTCCTTTAATTGTTTCGAAATAGTTCATCTCTTGGATACTCAAAAACACACAAAATCTAACTTTATTTCATGTGGCTCATCAATCATTCATCGAAGTCAAGATAAATTATATAAAGAACATTTTCCTTAAGAACATTTTTCAGTTGAGGCGAGGCGTGATGGATCTACTGTATGTATAGGTGTAGATGTAGATGTAGAGATTTATATAAATCCTCCCTGGAAGAGTTTTTCAGAAATTATTTACATGCATGTTAAATGTAAATAATTTCTGAAAAACCCTTCCAGGGAGAATTTATTAAATCACTACATCTACATCTACATACAGTAGATCCATGACGCCTCGCCTCAACTGCATGGGAACATAATTTTAAGGCCGGTTTACACTAGAAAAGTTTTTGTACCCAAAGTCTATGTTCAATGTCATCGCTCAGAGAACTTCAAAGTGACCGACGTCTTCGAAAGATGTTTACATTTTCAAATGACTGTGTTCAAAGTATACTTTGACCACAGAAACTTTGATAGTGTAAACCAGCCTTTAAGTTTGTATCCTACACATCACGCATTGTCCACGATTGTCGGTCATTATTCTGGATAGTTAACGTCATATATATAATTATATATAGTCAAGCAAAATATTTGACCAGCAACGTCGAGCTAAATCACTAGTGCACTGTTATTTTCAGGGAGTTATTTTAACTCTCCCATTATTCTTTTTTAGTGGAGTTGAATTTAACTATAGTTTTGGAGTAAAAATAACTCTCTTTGAGGGGTTAATAATTTTTAGACCTTATTAACTATGCAGAATTAACTCCTTTTGGGGGAGTTAAGCAATCTAACCCTCTTTTATGAGTTATTTTGACTCACCTATTACCCTTTTTTGGGGGTGATAAAAATTCAACTCTCTTTTTGGAGTTAAATAAAATTCAAAATGGCGTGCACAAGAGGAGCGGGTTAATAGTTTATTATAAATTTTAGTCTTATAAACGTGAATTGATTTAACTCTGGAGTGAAAAAGGCGGAAAAGGCTCGTAAAAATTACGAATGTTTGTGCCACTAATATAATTTGACTTCTAAACCCTATATTTTAACTTATATCGCTTTCTTCATCCCGATGTATAAAGTTTCTTCCTACGGCATTTAACTTTTAAGTTCAAGTTTATAAGGCTGTTCTGTTCATCTGTATATCAAAGCCATTCCCCCAATAAAATAGGGAAAAATGGCAGGGCTGACGATGATCTATTGATTATATATGTTATTTCTGGCTGTGAGGTCGTTATTTCCGTTTTCGAGACCGTCGGCACAGTTTTTTGTATCCGGGCCGAAGCTGCCGGTAAAATATAATGTGTTTATTTTTTAACCTTTGCCGTAGGCCGAGGGAAGTTTTCGAGACCGAGAGCACAGATTTTTGCCTCCGGGCTGAAGCTGCGGTATATAACGTGTTTATTTTTTTACCTTTACATTATTGACTTCATGAAACACAAAAAAAAGCAAAAAATTAGCAAATAACTATATAAAAACTATAATTTCTGCAATCTACAAGGCTACAAGCCATTTCAGAATTTTAATACGTCAACAACTCCTTAAAAGGATATCCTAGTCGGGAAACAGCCAATGAAATGGCAGATATTGTTACCATAGCAACTAAATCACGGCAAATTCGGGCAAATCGACTAGAAAAACAACGTAAAATGCAGCGAAAAAAGGAGTAAAAAATCCAAACTAAGACGTTTTTCGGGTATGTTTTTTATTTCTAACATACTTTTAGCCTTTTCCGGAAAGGTTTTTACACATTTTAGCCTGACGTTGCTTTGGTTTGGCCGTTTTATTCACATTTCACACCGGGCCGGATGCATTTCAAGCGGGCCGGATGCAAAAATCAATATTAAATAGGTCATTTTATCACTTTAAAATTTACAGTAATCAAAGTCTTTCAGAAGTAATTCATAATTTAGGGTATAGGAAGAGTATTATTGAGGTTAAAAGCAACAACTGATGTTTGAATTATTTAAAAGTGGGCTATGAAAAGGTGATCCTTTCAGACAATTAATATAGCAATTCAGAGCTTTTGTATTGATCTGTCTTTTCAAATATACAACTCACAATATTATACAAATGCATGTGAATTGATAATAAGAAATTTTGTGAGATAAATTTACCAATATGACACTACGAGAACCTTTGGCTTTAATGTTTTTAGTTTAATAATCCAATACACAAACACAATTTGCATCAGAACTCTGAAAGTAGAAATAATATAACTCCGATAGTGGAGTTACCACTGCTTAACTCCTTTTTAAGAGTTACATTTTAACCCCTAAATGATAGTTATTCTGACTGCAAAAACGGAGTTAATATTTTACTCTAAATCTGGAGTTACTTTTAACTCCAAAAAGTGAGTTGTTCTGTACCTTTTTCCGTAACTCCTATTTTAGGAGTTAAAATAACTCCCTCAAAATAACAGTGTGGTACCAAGCCACGACTAACTAAAATTTGGCTGGCAAGAATCCGGGAGCTAGGTACCGGTAAAGCTTTACACAGAGGATATTTGATATAATAATAATTTACTAAATAAATTCTTACTTGTTATATGTAGTTGCCTTCTTCTGTACGATCAATCTCAATTATTATGTAATATTTATTTGAATAAGGACGGATCTTTAGGCTTAATAGTCTGATTACAATTACCTCATTGTACATATTTGCTGACAAATATATTGGACTAAATATTTTGGTAGCTTTATGGCTGTACCATGCACTGATCTGTTCTTACTAGAAACATTGACCTCATGCAAACGGACCGGCTCTTATAATTGTTGCCGCAGCGAGCGAACCTGCAGCGAGCGTGCAAGGCAGCAGGACTTATTAATTTACAAATTGGGGGTCCATTTCAAAATTTGCCTTTGGTGCTTTGCATGACGGTACCAGTAGCAAGGACGTTGAATCTATTTTATAAACTGCAATTAAAAACATTGTTTCGTCAGACCAGCTATAAAAATGATTAGAATTTACTAACTATGCATAAAAACCAGAAATGGAAAAGTAAGGAAGAAATGATATTTTAGAGACGCGTTGGCCTTGAGATTTGATAAGTACATTACAAATCTTTCACGTCAATGTCCCTGTGGTAAACCTTTCAATAGGGAGGTTAAGATCGACTTCCGCTACGAGTACCGATACCAATAATCAGTCACGCGCATGCGCAGACGTAACAATCGTCCAAAATGTGACAACACTGGAAGTAGCGAGTACTGTTTTGGGGCTGAAAATGGAAGTGGATAGGTAGGCGAAGTACCGAATTATATTTACTGTATTATTGTCATTTTCTGCAGTAGTTTTCTAATAATATTATTTAGTTTTTAGTTGTATAATGTTTCTGCTTTGTTTGGTGAGACTTAAGGATTGTGATTAGAGTTTTTAATGTGAATACAGCCGCTATACTCCGCCATGTTTATTTACTCTTACGGAAGTCACAATCTTAACGCTTTAAAATTTCCGCGCTGCCAAACTGTAATACGTCATGTATTTTCGTATCGGTACTGGTGGTGGAAGTAGATCTTAACCTCCCTAATAGTTGCCACGGGGTGGGTTGCAAGAAAGGGAGACTGCGGTACATGCAAGGATCCAGAGCACAATTATAGAAGAGTCATTGAAATTGGGAATTGAAAATTTGAACCATTCAAGTGGAGTTCCTCTTACTCCACAGCGTTCAAGTCGACTGTATCGAATGCCTTTTAAGGTCTAGAAATACAACTACTCCGAGAAGCCTGGTTCACACTTGTCGTAAGAATCCGGGATTCCCTTTGTCTGGGATCACTAGTGCGCAGAATCCTTTGTCTGTCGGAAACTAATACAATAGATACCCGATTCTTAGGAGCTAGCGAGAATCAGGCCTTAATAATTATCCCTTTATCCATGTTGTGTATGTAGATGACTACTGAATTTAGGAAACTAGTCTCTGTCGAGTGATTTAGGCGAAAACCGGATTGATTCTCAACGATAACTTTCAAGCCCAGACAGAAAAAAGATATCACCGACTTCGAACGCTAGATAGTATAGGGAGTTTACGATTCACGACGCTGCCAGCTTGACGACGCACTTGCAAAAAAAAGAAACTCCAAAAATTAGGCAAGAGAATAGGTATGCGTAATTTCTGCCCCATGATTAAATGAAACTGCAATATCAGCAACGTTTCGGAGGTTCTTTGCAAAATCAAAACGTTTGTATGATTATTTCAAAGTCCAGTCCTGCCAGCATAATTAATTTCCTGAACCATATTTCAAGCAAAATAATTGACTATATAGCGATGTCGAGCTAACTGCGTCCGGCAGATCCGTAAATTCCCTAGTGTACAGTGAAAGTCGCAGCAGCCAAGAAAGCCAAGTTTTGTTACGCTTTATCAATAACACTGACAATTAATCATCTTCTGTAGATGTAATATCTGTCGTACTGACTCCTTCATGCACGTACTAACTCCTACACCTATATTGACTAGATTATCGAAAGGGTGAATTTGAATTTGAACGGTGGTAAAAGGTCTTGCCGGGGTAATAAACAGTTGTAATACACTGATCCCTCGATTGAACTCATTGAAGACCAGTCAATTAGCCTTTCTCGCGATGACGTTTTGGGGTACTTTCAATTTTCTGAAATGGGTTTAAAAATTATGTTTAAACATCAAAAGCAATTTCTCTAGAATAAACAGACCATTTCAAGAATAAATTCAGCCTAAAACTAAAGACAGTCGCCGTTACCAAGTCTTACGCTCACGGTTTTTGAAAAAAGTACCCCCAAAAATGGCAGCATATTCGTCATCGTGAGAAAGGCTAATCCGTCTTCACAGCGAGCGCGCGAGGCGATTTTAACGTGGGATACACGCGCGTTTAGTTTTGATCTAGACACATTAATATCCTGTGGCCCAGAGAGTGTGCCTGTGCTGATAGTAGATGAGAGTTGGAATGTAGCGCAGTGAGATGGGTAATAACTTGAATAAGCCCAGCTCAGCCACAGTAGAAAATGAACCACATGCTAAAGCAACAATACCAGGTCAAACCAACAGTAATACAAATCAAACACTAGATGAATTATGGTCAAAAAAGGATGGTGAATTACCACGTCTTGTGACCGCTGTTGTTGTTGGTGTGGGCAATCGTGGACAAAATTATGCAAACTTTGCTCTGGATTTTCCATCTCGCCTCAACATTGTTGGAGTTGCTGAGCCAGAGAAACACAGAAGAGAAAAAATACAGCGGCTCCATGGCATTCCAGATGAGCGCGCACTAGATGACTGGAGTAAATTAGCAATATTGGATAAAATAGCTGATTTTGCTATCATTACAACTCAAGATAATATGCATAAAGACCCAGCCATTGCGTTTGCTAATAAAGGATATCATTTGCTACTGGAGAAGCCAATGGCAGTCGAAGAAGAAGATTGTGAGGAGATTGCAGATGCTTGTGAGAGAAACAATGTCATGGCTGCTGTGGGACATGTCATGAGGTATAATTTTGTATTTCACTTTTTTTTTTATCTAGCTTGTATATTTCAACAAACAGCTGAAGCATATTGAGCTTGTCACAATAGCCTTCTTGTTCCAAAGATTTTCCACCTGCCTTTAAATTGCCCCTGCCTCTTCCCAATTCTTAATAGAAAAATTCAAAGAGCTAACATTTAGATAAATATACCTCATAATACCTGTAAGTTAATTTAAACCTCTTCATAAAGCATTTGACTGCTCCAAAAGCACTTGATGCCATAAAAAATTTGCTTGACATACATATAAGTTGCAACTTGTTCTGCAATTCATATATATAAATATTGCATTAATATTAAATCACCAATTAGTGTATAAAATATTTGTCAGTACAGAACCAATTAATTTTTTGCGAACATAACCTACCTTTGGGTGGCCGGAAAACAGTTCCAGAATGACACAATTATGGCAGGGTGAAGTGGTGGTAAAAACTATATATTATTTATACTAAAACCTTGAGTTATATTGTATATTATATACTTAATGCTAAAATGGGGTTAGGGAATGAGAGTAAGATATCCAGCCCAACCATTTCCAAAATTTGCTAACAGTTTAGTAAATTCTGAAAGTAAAAATGGTATTTGTTCATGGTGAAGTCAGTTTTCAGTTTCATTTAGTCATTGGGGACCAATCTATAGATGGTTATATAAATGTCTACAGCTTAGTGGCTTAATCTATATTTCCCAATGAAATTGTTCCTAACAGCAAATTTAACCATAGACCTATATAGAACAAACCTACCTCAAGTATACAATATTACATTTCAACATTAGTAGAGGTAATAGAGAATCCCCTACAAATATGCAGTTTCCTGGGTTTTGTTGAGAGGAAAACAAGATTCTTTCTTTGCGCAAATTTAGTTCATACAAGTTTTAAAAAATATCTTGGCAATTAAAGTTTACCTCCAACTGATCTGAAATAACCACATTATAACCACAAAATATGTACCAAATGCCATTAAGTCAAACCAAATGCCATTTTCCCTTTTTCCCCACATACTTGCAGTGATATATATGAAAGGCAAGATATTTAATTTTTAGTACCGGTATACACACAATTAACAATGGTAATAGAATATAGGAGTGCGATTAATGGCAAAATCATAGTGGTTAAGTGGTTAACCACTCAACTTCCCACAATTAATACAGACTGTAATACACAATACTTGTGTAATTTAATGGGCAGTACGAAATTTAATTTGTTCTATTACTTATTGGACATGTTTAATATATAATCAAAATATACAATTTATTGAACTTCAATATAATTATTACATTTTTATAAAAACAATTTAATACTTGGTGAATAGTGCAATTTCAGTTACTAAAATTTATCATACATGTCAGTTAACTTCCACAATTCATATTTTGTATTCTTCAATCATGGATAAATATACACTTAATTGTGAGTAGTTCAAAAGCTGACTACATTTTATAATTCTGGGGGCTCACAGCATGGACCTGCTAACCCACCTAGAGACTGTATAAAACTACATTTAGCCCAGTTTTTAAATCATAATCAACCACTTTAGTTTAATTAATTCCAAAAAGACAAACCCAGATCCTTATCAAAATTTTGAATATCGTTTTTTTATAGAGGAGTGCTCACACACTTTTATTTTTCATTAGATGATGATAAAAAGAAATGTTTAAGTGAAATGCCATTGTTTGAATTGCAATTACAACTTTTTTTTTCAAAAAATGAAAACTTCCCAGCCATGTTTGCTGTTTTTAGTGGCATTTTTCGAGGAAATAACTGATATATGATACGTCAAAATTTGTTTACCTGGTTTTAACATACTGGGGAAGGTTGTTTGTACGGCATTTAGCTTAGTGGATGAGGAAAAAATGAAAAACAAAAATGTCTATTTATTGAACGATTGAGCTGAAATATTTCGATGTAAATAGTTTAGTTGTCAAGGTCAATAGAAAAACATATTTAAAAATTCATAAGATGCAGGTTCACCATTCACAAGACGTATGAGAGTATTTTTAAACTTTGGCTTTTTCCAAAGTGCAATTTCAACTCCTCTTTGGGATTAACTGCATTCACCTAAATCAACCAATCAGAGTTTAGTGGTAGTTGAGTGACTTGTGTGACCAATCAGAGTTAAGTGAAATATAAACCAAGCGTATAGTATAGTGTACATGTAACTTTCAGAACGTATATATTAACTACACTACTCTAACTGGTTAAACACCTACACCTTATATATTGAGATTTATAATACAATAAATAATCACCCTTTAAATTTGCGGGGTTTTTATATTCGACATTTTGCATCCTCGTTATTATCTAATGATTAAAAATGGATTTCTAGCTAGAAATTTGTATAAAAATGCATACATTTCTCGCTGGTGTACTGATTTACATCATTTATCATATAATATGTCATATTCATTCACATTGTCAATTTCAATAGCTGATAATTAAGCTACAGCAATCTTTTCATTAAATTGTTCTGATGATGACAGGATTTTAGGAAAAATATGTTTGGAAAGATAGGTTTAATGAGAAATCGGCTCATTTTGGAACAACTGATTTTAATATCTTGGGAGTTCATTTAATAGTAACTTAGCTGTCAGACAGTTACAATAACTTTGTAAGTACTCGATGACAAAGATTTTGTGTTTAATAGATACGCACCACCATGTGTTAAAATTCGGGAAATTATTGCCAGTGGAATGCTGGGAGAAATTGTTACAATTAACCACAACGAGAATATTTTATACTGGCACTTTGCCCACAGTTTTGTTCGAGGAAACTGGCGTAATACTGAGAGCAGTACATTCTCTTTGATGGCGAAGTGTTGCCACGATATAGATCTGATTATGTACTGGATGGGTGATCGCAAGTGTACAAATATCCAGTCTTTTGGAAATGTTTACCACTTTAAAGAATCCCAGAAACCTGAAGGTGCTGCATCAAGATGTCTTGAATGTCCAGTTGAGAAAGATTGTCCATATTCTGTACAGAAGATATATTTACAAGGTTTTAATGATTCTCCAACATGGCCAATGTCAGTGGTTTGTGATGTAGAAGATCATCCTGGAGGTTATGCAACGGCTTTGAGGGAAGCATTGGAAACAGGTACACCAATTTTCACAATAAAGAAAAGGATTTTAGAAGTTATTTCTTTATTTTTCACTTTTTTTCGGAATCTGTTACACAAAAAGGAAAGATTTTTTGTTTATAAATGTATAAATAAAAATTATGAAGGAAATGATAATTCAGTTTTGTCGAAGATCTGGCTTCCGATTGGTTGATTTTTATACCCAGATTGTATTGACATGATCTTTATCTATGCAGGTCCATATGGTCGCTGTGTTTATTCCTGTGATAATGACGTTTGCGACCACCAAATGGTGAATATGGAGTTTGACAGTGGTGCAACAGCTGTGATGACCATGAATGCTTTCACCAGTGACATGAGACGTGAGACAAGAGTATGTGGTAGCCATGGTGAGTTGCGCTGGGATGGAAGCTCACATCGTGCCATTCAGGTGGTCTTGTTTGCGACAGAAGAAAAGAATGAAATATTTCCAGATCAAGTTGCACCTCAGTGTCGTATCAGAGGACATGGTGGTGCTGATTTCTTTCTTATGAATGCTGTAACTAAAGCCATTGCTCATAATGACCCTTCTCTACTCTCGTCCAATGTGACACAATCACTCAGATCTCATAAACTTGTCTTTGCTGCTGAAAAATCGCGGCTGAATAAAACAATCGAGACCATGTAACACTATAATACTGCGTACATACATAATATTAATAATCAAGGCAAATGTTTCTCGACTCTGGTTGATTACAGTGCAGTTAAACCCAAGTAGCAGTGCAATTATGTGTAACGACAGTGCAATTTTTTTTGGTTACAAGTTTTTATAATTGACGCTTTTATTATGTCTCCGTTTTCTTATGGAATTGAAATGTGGGGTTCCACACTTGGGAAGAAATACCAAGAACGGATTGATCAATTTCTAAGGCGAGCATATACAAACATGGTACACAACAAAATGTGTCCAAATAATTGATGTGATCGAGGAAAAGGACAAGATTCTATTTCATAAAATATGTAGAGACCTGGATAACCCAAATTATTTCCACCTAAAAGGAAAAAACTGTAAAGGGAACGAGAACATTTTAGCTGATAAATTTCCACAAGATATTCGTTCGTTCTCGTGCTACGTTGAAAGTCATCTATTAAGCTTCTGGCTACGGCTCTGCCTTTTTCGGTTTTTTCTTGTGTGAATACATTAAACATTTAACGTGCTATTTACCCAACAATGTAGATAAACTGTTCCCCATAGAGTGCTTACATAAGATAGTCTTTGAAGTCGACAATATCCATTGTGATTTCAAGGGCTTGTCAGATAAGAATTCAAAAGAATGTGTAATTGACCGTTCAGCCAATTTTGTGTGCATGCACCTTGTATAACATGATAGATATGTTGTAATACATTGATGATTCTAAATTAAAGTGTTCGCGTACTAAATAACACCAAACGGAGGTTATATGCATGCATGTAGCGTTATTTTGTACACAACAAATCTCTGTGTATACAATGTTTATGTTTACTTCCAAGTGGTTCGCATTTATTTGTAGCTTTCTCATTCCGTTATGTTTGGGGAATTTACATCGCGAATGGGAAGCCGAAGGTAGGCTGTTGAGATATCGATATTTGGTTTAGGACAGTTTAGGATAGAACTAATTCGAGTATAATATATATGTGCTTTCTAACAAATAAAGTCGAAACGTTATATCAGTTTAATTCGTCGCCAAACGCAGTCTGCTATGGTCTAAATGTGCGTGATTGTTGATATCTAAAGACTAAACAATGGAATTCGCGGCCCAGCAGTGCCGAAAACCTGCAAGAGTCGACTTTTTTTTTAAATAGTTAAGGATGAAATAATAGATTTAAAGTACACTATATTTATCAAGGGCTAGGTAATATTTCGGAGAGCCTGAACATTTAATTAGAGCTATGACTTTTGTAAACGGATTATTCAAATAATAACAAAAGTCAACAATTAAGCATATAGTAACATTGCAACTGCATACCGTAACAATTATAGAATGAACTCAATGTTGTTTAAAGCCTTGGTCAAACGGTCACATCATTTTGTGTTAAATCGTCCAACAGTGTTGCAACAGGCTTGGCAACATAATTTATATGCGTGTTAAAGATGGCGAAGTTGGTACGGTTTAACCAGTTTACTATACAACTCGCAACAAATGACAACCACATTGCATGACGTTGGGACTAAATACCAAGGCTAGCGCTCAGTGGCGTAGCCAGCGCGACAATTTAGTCATGCTATGCTAATATTTGGTGTTCATTGAGTACCGTTTTGGGGCTGAAAATAGAAGTGGATAGGTAGGCGATGTACTGAATTATAAAATTATTTACTCTATTATATTGTCATTTTCTGCATAGTTTTTAGGATGTGATTAGAGTTTTTCATGTAAATATAGCCGCTATTTAAGTTAGATGACAAAGGCAAACCTCTTGGCACGAGTATTAAACGATTCTTCCGTGGCGTTAATGATATTAGGGAGGTTAAGATGTACTTCCACTGTCAGTACCGTTACTAAAATACATGACGTATTACTATTTTAAAGCGTTAAGTGTGCGAAAATACCATTTAGCTATTCAATCATCATTTCATATGCATATTGTTTGCTGTGATTTATTCGGTGCACAATAGACTATTCTGTATTTCTGTTGTCTCCCGTTGTCGGTAGCTATATTCTTGTTCGTTTTTGCCGAACGAGCATAAAATTCTTTGACTACATAAGTAATTAACATTTGTGCATATTCTGCGGGGAAAGTTATCTAATTAAGCTTTTTTTGTTTTTTTCTTGTGTGAAACATTAAACATGCAGACGTCGAACCTGTTTTTTACCAAACAACATAGATGAACTGTACCCCATGGAGTGTTTACGTAAGACTAGTCTTTGAAATCGACCATAACTATTGTGATTTGTCATTGTCAGATGAATTCAAAAGAATATAGTAATATATAATTAAACGCTCAGCCAATTTTGTGTGCACCTTGTATAACATAATAAATATGTTGTAATACACTGATGTTTCCAAATTAAAGTCTTCGCGTACTAAATAACACCAAACGGAGGTTATTTGTAGCGTTATTTTGTACACAACAAACCTCTGTGAAAACAATGTTTATGTTTACTTCCAAGTGGTTCGCATTTATTTGTAGTTTTCTCATTCCGTTATGTTTGGGGAATTTACATCGTGAATGGGAAGCCGAAGGTAGGCTGTTGAGATATCGATATTTGGTTTAGGATAGTGCTTGCATATCTATAGGAATGTATTTGGACTAATTCGAATACCACATGTGCATGCTTTCTAACAAATCGTAGTAAAGTCTAAACGTTATATTTTCTTTCGTCGCTAAATACAGTCTGCTATACATGTGTTTTTGTGCATGACTGTTTATCTATGCAATGGAATTCGGCTCCGCTGTGCCCAAAGCCTGCAAGAGTCGAGATTTTTTAATATAGCTTAGGATTAAATGATAGATTTGAAGTAATTATTCGAATAATAATAAGAAAAGGCAACAATTAAGCATAATAATCATGCATAAGACTCAGGTGTATATGAAATAAATATTGTGATCATGCTACTCTGAGTCACCAACCGGTGACTTAGCTTGACCACCGTGGGAAACGAACCCGCGACGGAAACGAACATACGACTGCATACTGTGATACGAGGAACACACGAACGTATACGAGTAAAAGACGACTAATAACAAACGATTGCGTACGAAGTAACAGACGATTACATACAAGCAAAAAGGACGGGGCTATCTTTAAAAGGGGGGAATCGGGGAACTCGGGAGCAGGAGAACTGGGGAATGGAGGAACTGGGGAGTGGGAGGAATGGGGAAGAGAGGAATGGAGGAACTGCGGAGTGGGAGAACTGGGTAACGGGGGGGGTGGAGAGCAGGGGGATGGAGGAACTGGGGAGCAGGGGAGATGGGGAGCGATGGATAGAAACAGGAGAACAGAGGAACAAGAGAATGAGGGAACCAGGGATGGGGAGTGGGGAGAAAAGGAGAATTCCTCTGTGACTCTGATCCCCAGTTCTCCTGCTACCCAGTTCTCCTGCTACCCAGCTCCCCCATTCTCCTGTGGCTCTGTTCCCCTGTTCTCCTACTCCCCAGTTCCTCCAAAGTAACGCACAAAAGTAACAAAACTGTAAATACTACAATTTATATTTATTTGGATCTTATCACAATTATACATGTGTATAATGTATTATATAAAACATAGGAAACATAGAAAGCAAAATGAAAATAATATACACAGAACAGCTAGTTTCTTGAGCAATGTTATTCCTATATAACATATTTTCTGTTGCATTTTCATTATATTTTGAATAGATATCACTATTCAATTAAAAATTTGCATGCCAACTAAAATAATGAACACACTAGCTTATTGTCTCCACATGATTTTAAAAGTCACACAACAATACCATTATGCTATTTATAGTTTTAATTTTTACTCAAAGGGATGTATATTATGCATTTTCACTTGGCATTATGCAAAATAATAACAATAATATTAAACTATTTTCATCCTTTTAAATGTAGAACAGATAGATATAAAAACAGTTTCTTTCATATTTTATTAGTCTTTTCCCAAGGCACTCAACCCTAGGTACCCCTCACTGTTCGAGTTAATGATCCCTACTTACTGGCTCACATGCCACACTATTATTTTGTATGTTATTCATATATACGACCGTATTTTCCCCATTTCATTGTAATTTTTAAGGAGTTTGAGAGCTCAGATATTTTTTATTCACTTAGGAGCTCTGAACAATTATGGAAGGCATTTCGTAGTTGGGTTCACTGCTCAATATTCAAGCTACCAAGCGCTTGGTTACATTGGTTTATCAATACGAGCAACAGAAGACACAAATGTGACCATATTTAACAACAAATCAGGTTCACCGATGAACGACACAATCTTTATAAGAGGAGGAGAAATACTGGAGAAGAAACTGCCAGTATCCTTGCGAATGGCGGGCACGAAGAAGCAAATGAACGGCATTGAGATTAAGTCGACGAGAAACATTTCTGTCGTATGTTTAGACCACTACTCCTCTTCAGCAGATGGCTACCTGGCACTACCAACAAACACCTTGGGGCTGGTTTACGTTGCTGCTTCCTATCCACCTTATACCTCTTACGCCCGTTCAAACCTTGCTATAATATCTGCTCACGACAAAAATGGTGTTCTTATTATACCCGCAAAAAATGTGGTAATAAATTATCATGGGCTCTCGTACGATAAAGGCTTATCGCTCTTTGTAACTTTGGAAAGGCTTGAAGCTCTTCATCTTTCCTGCACATCGGACATGTCTGGAACAATTATTATCGCAAGCAAACTAGTTGCTGTAGTATCTGGTGTCGACCGAGCGCTACCCTCTGGTTCCAAAACATCCCATGACTTGCTAGAATCATTTCTTTTACCCGTAACTCAGTGGGGAAAACAATACATATTGACAACTGTCGGATCACTAAATAAACAGCAAGGAGATATTTTCAGAATTTTTGCGTTTGAAAATAATACAGTTGTCGAAAATGCTTATAAGAGCGAGGTTTTGTTAACTGGCGCATATACAGAATTGAAGCTGGGACAAAACTTAACGTCTTTCGTGAAGTGTAATAAACCATGTCAAGTTATGCAATACATTAGAGGGGAAGCGATTGGCGGAAAATATGCAGACCCTTCAATGATTGTTCTCCCGTCAGAAAACCAGTTTCTTTCGTATTACCAAGCAGTACTTCCTAACAGCAGGCAATATCATGATTCAATCACTGTAATGATTCAAGGAATATACAAAGAAGGTCTATATATGAATGGCATAAAACTCAATGGCGTTCAGTGGAAGACTATTGAAGGAACGCAATATGTCTGGACTGTTGTTAACACAGCAGGCTCAAATACTGTGACTATCTTCCATTCTTCTTCCGCGGTGAAGTTTGGTCTTCTCGTCTATGGTTTTAATAGCGCTGTCTCGTACGCTTATCCCGGAGGTTTTGCTCTATCAAATATTGGTAAGTATGATAACAAGCGAGCCAATAATTATGTAAGTCGTGTATACTTATAGCATCAAATGTGGTATAACAACTGCCTATATAAAATAGATAAAACGCTTCTCGACGTTTCGACCTGAGGGCCTTCGTCCGAAGAGTTAGTATGAAAACAAATAGCGGAGAACACATGTTTTGTATGTGGGCAAGACACGTGATGAAAATGGTTAAAAAAATCAAACAACATTACGTTGCCAAAGAGACGCCCGATTGTGGGCTAACAATAGCCCGTAATGAGGAACGTCAGATCAGCAACGTTATTTGAAGATGCTACCTGGATATTTTCGGGTATATTTTTACTTTGATAATCATGTGCGATTATTTAAAAATATTGTTTCGTGCAAAAACTTATTATATTACCCATTCATCAGAAAAACCTATTCGTCCAAAAAAGTCGGTACATGAATCCCTTTCAGGTACAACTGGCCTCCAATACCGCAAAGCCATTATTCAATTGCTGAGATATTAGGTCGTTAAGAAGAACATATTTTAGTGAAATATGCATGGTTAACATTTTGGAGTTCCAATAGACATTTTTCATAATGACGTCAAACGCGGAAAGTCTGATCTCTCACGAAGTTTGATTAGCTCGATAGTTTTGTTGAGCGAATCAAATTCCGTGTATCATCAGACTTTCCGCGTTTGACGTCGTTATAAGAAAGGTCTATTGTGAACAGTGAGTTATACGCATTTCCTGCATGGTTTTCCTTACCTTGGAATTGAGGTGTCACATGATTTATAAGTATGCAAGGATCAATCCACTGTCTCCTACTTTGGAACAAGACAATGATAAAAATTTCCAATTTGATATTTATCCATTATCAGATGAGAGTTAGTGATTTATTATGAAAAATGCTGTACCCGTGCATCATGCCCGTGTTAATTATATATTTCCTGAAACCTTAGAAACATTTCTTCTATCAAAGAGTATAGTTTTATTAAGTCATCGAAAGATTTTAACAATTTCCTGTTTCAGGTCAAAAACAAGCAAATCAACGTGCACCAAAAATCGTCAATTTTCGAGGTAAGTTGCATGTCAGTTATTCTTATGCATGCTATATTTAGAACAACTAACCTTCGTCTGTTCATTCCAGTAAGTGTTTCGTCATGATCTGATCACTTGAGTTCCATAGCTCGCCAAATCAACACCTTGTCAATTAATAAATCATACAGGCAACATACCCAATATGTTTCATCCAATTTATTATTGATTCGTCAGAAAAAGGTTCATTTCTAATATCTAGACAAAGTGACAAACTACGGAATGGAGTTTGTTGTAGGATTTACATCGTTGTATCGGTCCAAGAGTGGTGGTCAAATTGGAATAGCTATTGTGGCCCATTTTGATACGAACATTACCATTAAAACAGAATCCGTGACTAAATCATTGAACGTAACTTTTCATATGAAAGAAGGAGAATTTTTAAAATATAATCTGCCGTTGTCTCTTCGAATGAATGGAAAACAAAGAAATGGCGTGTTGGTTTCATCAACAGAGAACATTTCAGTAACGTGTTTAGACTACCGGTACAGTTCCTATGGTGGTGATGGATATTTAGCGTTACCAACCTACGCACTGGGCATCATTTACGTTGTTGCTTCATATAAACCATACGACTATTATTCACGAGCAAAGATCGGCATTGTAGCTGCACACGACCGAACAAACGTTTTATTTAAGTTGAATAAGAACGCGGTTATTGCATACAATGGTATCTCATATAATTATGGCAGTCCTTTTCATATTTCTTTGAGTAAACTACAATCTGTTCAATTAGAGAGTGTATCAGACGTATCCGGATCTATGATATTCGCTTCTAAACCAATAACTGTTATCTCCAGCGTTGACTTAAAAAGACCTGGTTCTGGAAACTCTGATAAATTAGCGACATTGCTTTTACCAGTCACCCAGTGGGGAAAACAATATATATTAACAACTGTCGGATCAATGAGTCATCATAAAGGAGATATTTTTAGAGTTTTTGCATTTGAAAACAATACAGTTGTTAAAAATGCATACGGGAGCAAACTCTTGTCTCCTGGTACATACACAGAACTGATATTGGATAAAAATCTAACGTCGTTTATTAACTGCAGTAAACGTTGTCAAGTCGTACAATACATTATTGGGAAAACCATTGGTGGAAGATATGCTGACCCTTCAATGATAGTGCTTCCTTCGATTAAACAGTTTTTACCATATTATCGTGTTATGGCAAGTTATGCTTCAACTTACTTCAGTTCAGTGACAATTACGATTGAGAAACGTTATACGAACGGTTTGTATTTTGATGAAGTTCAAATGTCTAATTTAACCTGGTTGAAAGTAACGGGGACAAATTACGTTTGGACAGTGGTTGGTATGGCTGGAACAAAAGTTGCTACAGTTTATCATTCTTCACCGGCAGTAAAGTTTGGATTGTTGGTGTTTGGATGGTACTACTCTGATTCTTACGCTTACCCTGGCGGATTTGGCCTTCACCATTTTTATACGTCAGGTATAATTTGTAACTCTGTAATTTTTATAGTTTTAGAGGCAAATAATACTAAACTGGTCAGCTTTCACGATTCTTTGAATTGCAATTTTTTTTAATCGTATAATCGTTTCTCAATAATTATGGGGTATAACAACTGGCTATACAATAAACAAAAGACTTCTCGACGTTTCGACCTCGTCTAAATCTTCTAAAGAATAAACATAATTTCATTCTTTTTAGAACTTTTAATAATAATCGTGATTCAATCACTCAATATTTTGAAACATTTCTCTGTTTTAGGGCAAGAACAAGCGAATCAAATGGCATCCAAAACAGCCACTTTTACAGGTAAGATTCTGTGCTATTTCTTTCATACTATATGCTTCAAAACGTATCTTCGTTTCACCTCACGGGGTTTCTTTTAAGTAACTATTTTCCAACAATATCTTTCCTCTTTACCTTATAGCCTAAGTTTGCTCGTTCTAAAATACACGGTTAAATCAGGCAACTCACACACTAATTTTCATCCAATTTATTATTGCTTCGTTAGCAACAGATTTGATTTTTTATGTTTAAGACAAAGTGACAAACTACGGAATGGAGTTTGTTGTAGGATTTACATCGTTGTATCGGTCCAAGAGTGGTGGTCAAATTGGAATAGCTATTGTGGCCCATTTTGATACGAATTACCATTAAAACAGAATCCGTGACTAAATCATTGAACGTAACTTTTCATATGAAAGAAGGAGAATTTTAAAATATAATCTGCCGTTGTCTCTTCGAATGAATGGAAAACAAAGAAATGGCGTGTTGGTTTCATCACAGAGAACATTTCAGTAACGTGTTAGACTACCGGTACAGTTCCTATGGTGGTGATGGATATTTAGCGTTACCAACCTACGCACTGGCATCATTACGTTGTAGCTTCATATAAACCATACGACATTATTCACGAGCAAAGATCGGCATGTAGCTGCACACGACCGAACAAACGTTTTATTTAAGTTGAATAAGAACGCGGTTATTGCATACAATGGTATCTCATATAATTATGGCAGTCCTTTTCAATATTCTTTGAGTAAACTACAATCTGTTCAATTAGAGAGTGTATCAGACTTATCCGGATCTATGATATTCGCTTCTAAACCAAATAACCTGTTATCTCCAGCGTTGACTTAGGAAGACCTGGTTCTGGAAACTCTGATAAATTAGCGACATTGCTTTTACCAGTCACCCAGTGGGGAAAACAATATATATTAACAACTGTCGGATCAATGAGTCATCATAAAGGAGATATTTTTAGAGTTTTTGCATATGAAAACAATACAGTTGTTAAAAATGCATACGGCAGTAAAGTCTTGTCTCCTGGTACATACACAGAACTGATATTGGATAAAAATCTAACGTCGTTTATTAACTGCAGTAAACGTTGTCAAGTCGTACAATACATTATTGGGAAAACCATTGGTGGAAGATATGCTGACCCTTCAATGATAGTGCTTCCTTCGATTAAACAGTTTTTACCATATTATCGTGTTATGGCAAGTTATGCTTCAACTTACTTCAGTTCAGTGACAATTACGATTGAGAAACGTTATACGAACGGTTTGTATTTTGATGAAGTTCAAATGTCTAATTTAACCTGGTTGAAAGTAACGGGGACAAATTACGTTTGGACAGTGGTTGGTATGGCTGGAACAAAAGTTGCTACAGTTTATCATTCTTCACCGGCAGTAAAGTTTGGATTGTTGGTGTTTGGCTGGTACTACTCTGATTCTACGCGTACCCTGGCGGATTTGCACTTGATCAATATAATAAAAGTAGGTGATAACTCCGGCATTTCCTCGAATACACACCCAGGCTTTTATCATTATTTACAAAATAATACTTTTAAGCAAAATATCAGGTTGCGTATTACCAAGTTTTTAATAGTTGGAGATGTCACAATAAACTCTTCAGCTATCACGCCACTTTGAATTTCTTCTAATAATCCTGAATTGTTCCTTCGGCTGTCGACTTTTCACTGCAAAATTTTGTAAATTGAGACCCAGTATTAAACTGACAACTATGTTAATTTTTAAGCCATGTATTGAGGTTAATTTGTAGTTTATCAAATGAAATTTTCTTATCAAGAATATTCATTGGTGAATTCACAGTCCTTGCATGCATTCTCGTCTACTCCTCTGGGACTTTTGAAACATTTCATTCTTCATAGAACTTTGAAAAAAAATGGTAATTCAGTCATTCAAATATTTTAACGCTTTCCTCTGTTTTAGGGCAAGAACAAGCGCATAAAGTGGCATCGAAAATGGCGACTTTTCGAGGTAAGATTCTGTGTTATTTCTTTTATACTTACTATCCTTACAAAACCTATTTTCGTTTTAATATCTCTCACTTGGCCTTATAAGCTAAGTTCGCACGTGTTCTAAAAATACTCTGTTAAATCAGACATCCAATATTTTCATGCAATTTATTATTGCTTCGTTAGAAACAAATTTGATTTTTAATGTTTTAGACAAACTGACAAACTACGGGAATGAGTTTGTTGTGGGATTTACATCGTTATATCGGTCCGCGAGTGGTGGTCAAATTGGAATAGCTATTGTGGCCCATTTTGATACGAACATTACCATTAAAACAGAATCCGTGACTAAATCATTGAACGTAACTTTTCATATGAAAGAAGGAGAATTTTTAAAATATAATCTGCCGTTGTCTCTTCGAATGAATGGAAAACAAAGTAATGGCGTGTTGGTTTCATCAACAAAGAACATTTCAGTAACGTGTTTAGACTACCGGTACAGTTCCTATGGCGGTGATGGATATTTAGCGTTACCAACCTACGCACTGGGCATCATTTACGTTGTTGCTTCATATCAACCATACGATTATTATTCTCGAGCTAAAATTGGCATTGTAGCTTCACACGAGCGAACAAACGTTTTATTTAAGTTGAATAAGAACGCGGTTATTGTATACAATGGTATCTCATATAATTACGGCAGTCCTTTTCATATTTCTTTGAGTAAACTACAAACTGTTCAATTAGAGAGTCGGTCAGACTTATCCGGATCTATGATATTCGCTTCTAAACCAATAACTGTTATCTCCACCGTTGACTTAGGAAGACCTGGTTCTGGAAACTCTGATAAATTAGCGACATTGCTTTTACCAGTCACCCAGTGGGGAAAACAATATATATTAACAACTGTCGGATCAATGAGTCATCAAAAAGGAGATATTTTTAGAGTTTTTGCATATGAAAACAATACAGTTGTTAAAAACGCATACGGGAGCCAACTCTTGTCTTCTGGTACATACACAGAACTGATATTGGATAAAAATCTAACGTCGTTTATTAACTGCAGTAAACGTTGTCAAGTCGTACAATACATTATTGGGAAAACCATTGGTGGAAGATATGCTGACCCTTCAATGATAGTGCTTCCTTCGATTAAACAGTATTTACCATATTATCGTGTTATGGCAAGTTATGCTTCAACTTACTTCAGTTCAGTAACAATTACGATTGAGAAACGTTATACGAACGGTTTGTATTTTGATGAAGTTCAAATGTCTAATTTAACCTGGTTGAAAGTAACGGGGACAAATTACGTTTGGGCAGTGGTTGGTATGGCTGGAACAAAAGTTGCTACAGTTTATCATTCTTCACCGGCAGTAAAGTTTGGATTGTTGGTGTTTGGATGGTACTACTCTGATTCTTACGCTTACCCTGGCGGATTTGGCCTTCACCATTTTTATACGTCAGGTATAATTTGTAACTCTGTAATTTTTATAGTTTTAGAGGCAAATAATACTAAACTGGTCAGCTTTCACGATTCTTTGAATTGCAATTTTTTTTAATCGTATAATCGTTTCTCAATAATTATGGGGTATAACAACTGGCTATACAATAAACAAAAGACTTCTCGACGTTTCGACCTCGTCTAAATCTTCTAAAGAATAAACATAATTTCATTCTTTTTAGAACTTTTAATAATAATCGTGATTCAATCACTCAAATATTTTGAAACATTTCTCTGTTTAGGGCAAGAACAAGCGAATCAAATGGCATCCAAAACAGCCACTTTTACAGGTAAGATTCTGTGCTATTTCTTTCATACTATATGCTTCAAAACGTATCTTCGTTTCACCTCACGGGGTTTCTTTTAAGTAACTATTTTCCAACAATATCTTTCCTCTTTACCTTATAGCCTAAGTTTGCTCGTTCTAAAAATACACGGTTAAATCAGGCAACTCACACACTAATTTTCATCCAATTTATTATTGCTTCGTTAGCAACAGATTTGATTTTTATGTTTAAGACAAAGTGACAAACTACGGAATGGAGTTTGTTGTAGGATTTACATCGTTGTATCGGTCCAAGAGTGGTGGTCAAATTGGAATAGCTATTGTGGCCCATTTTGATACGAACATTACCATTAAAACAGAATCCGTGACTAAATCATTGAACGTAACTTTTCATATGAAAGAAGGAGAATTTTTAAAATATAATCTGCCGTTGTCTCTTCGAATGAATGGAAAACAAAGAAATGGCGTGTTGGTTTCATCAACAGAGAAATTTCAGTAACGTGTTTAGACTACCGGTACAGTTCCTATGGTGGTGATGGATATTTAGCGTTACCAACCTACGCACTGGGCATCATTTACGTTGTAGCTTCATATAAACCATACGACTATTATTCACGAGCAAAGATCGGCATTGTAGCTGCACACGACCGAACAAACGTTTTATTTAAGTTGAATAAGAACGCGGTTATTGCATACAATGGTATCTCATATAATTATGGCAGTCCTTTTCATATTTCTTTGAGTAAACTACAATCTGTTCAATTAGAGAGTGTATCAGACTTATCCGGATCTATGATATTCGCTTCTAAACCAATAACTGTTATCTCCAGCGTTGACTTAGGAAGACCTGGTTCTGGAAACTCTGATAAATTAGCGACATTGCTTTTACCAGTCACCCAGTGGGGAAAACAATATATATTAACAACTGTCGGATCAATGAGTCATCATAAAGGAGATATTTTTAGAGTTTTTGCATATGAAAACAATACAGTTGTTAAAAATGCATACGGCAGTAAAGTCTTGTCTCCTGGTACATACACAGAACTGATATTGGATAAAAATCTAACGTCGTTTATTAACTGCAGTAAACGTTGTCAAGTCGTACAATACATTATTGGGAAAACCATTGGTGGAAGATATGCTGACCCTTCAATGATAGTGCTTCCTTCGATTAAACAGTTTTTACCATATTATCGTGTTGGCAAGTTATGCTTCAACTTACTTCAGTTCAGTGACAATTACGATTGAGAAACGTTATACGAACGGTTTGTATTTTGATGAAGTTCAAATGTCTAATTTAACCTGGTTGAAAGTAACGGGGACAAATTACGTTTGGACAGTGGTTGGTATGGCTGGAACAAAAGTTGCTATAGTTTATCATTCTTCACCGGCAGTAAAGTTTGGATTGTTGGTGTTTGGATGGTACTACTCTGATTCTTACGCGTACCCTGGCGGATTTGCACTTGATCAATATAATAAAAGTAGGTGATAACTCCGGCATTTCCTCGAATACACACCCAGGCTTTTATCATTATTTACAAAATAATACTTTTAAGCAAAATATCAGGTTGCGTATTACCAAGTTTTTAATAGTTGGAGATGTCACAATAAACTCTTCAGCTATCACGCCACTTTGAATTTCTTCTAATAATCCTGAATTGTTCCTTCGGCTGTCGACTTTTCACTGCAAAATTTTGTAAATTGAGACCCAGTATTAAACTGACAACTATGTTAATTTTTAAGCCATGTATTGAGGTTAATTTGTAGTTTATCAAATGAAATTTTCTTCAAGAATATTCATTGGTGAATTCACAGTCCTTGCATGCATTCTCGTCTACTCCTCTGGGACTTTTGAAACATTTCATTCTTCATAGAACTTTGAAAAAAAATGGTAATTCAGTCATTCAAATATTTCAACGCTTTCCTCTGTTTTAGGGCAAGAACAAGCGCATAAAGTGGCATCGAAAATGGCGACTTTTCGAGGTAAGATTCTGTGTTATTTCTTTTATACTTACTATCCTTACAAAACCTATTTTCGTTTTAATATCTCTCACTTGGCCTTATAAGCTAAGTTCGCACGTGTTCTAAAAAACTCTGTTAAATCAGACATCCAATATTTTCATGCAATTTATTATTGCTTCGTTAGAAACAAATTTGATTTTTAATGTTTTAGACAAACTGACAAACTACGGGAATGAGTTTGTTGTGGGATTTACATCGTTATATCGGTCCGCGAGTGGTGGTCAAATTGGAATAGCTATTGTGGCCCATTTTGATACGAACATTACCATTAAAACAGAATCCGTGACTAAATCATTGAACGTAACTTTTCATATGAAAGAAGGAGAATTTTTAAAATATAATCTGCCGTTGTCTCTTCGAATGAATGGAAAACAAAGTAATGGCGTGTTGGTTTCATCAACAAAGAACATTTCAGTAACGTGTTTAGACTACCGGTACAGTTCCTATGGCGGTGATGGATATTTAGCGTTACCAACCTACGCACTGGGCATCATTTACGTTGTTGCTTCATATCAACCATACGATTATTATTCTCGAGCTAAAATTGGCATTGTAGCTTCACACGAGCGAACAAACGTTTTATTTAAGTTGAATAAGAACGCGGTTATTGTATACAATGGTATCTCATATAATTACGGCAGTCCTTTTCATATTTCTTTGAGTAAACTACAAACTGTTCAATTAGAGAGTCGGTCAGACTTATCCGGATCTATGATATTCGCTTCTAAACCAATAACTGTTATCTCCACCGTTGACTTAGGAAGACCTGGTTCTGGAAACTCTGATAAAGCGACATTGCTTTTACCAGTCACCCAGTGGGGAAAACAATATATATTAACAACTGTCGGATCAATGAGTCATCAAAAAGGAGATATTTTTAGAGTTTTTGCATATGAAAACAATACAGTTGTTAAAAACGCATACGGGAGCCAACTCTTGTCTTCTGGTACATACACAGAACTGATATTGGATAAAAATCTAACGTCGTTTATTAACTGCAGTAAACGTTGTCAAGTCGTACAATACATTATTGGGAAAACCATTGGTGGAAGATATGCTGACCCTTCAATGATAGTGCTTCCTTCGATTAAACAGTATTTACCATATTATCGTGTTATGGCAAGTTATGCTTCAACTTACTTCAGTTCAGTAACAATTACGATTGAGAAACGTTATACGAACGGTTTGTATTTTGATGAAGTTCAAATGTCTAATTTAACCTGGTTGAAAGTAACGGGGACAAATTACGTTTGGGCAGTGGTTGGTATGGCTGGAACAAAAGTTGCTACAGTTTATCATTCTTCACCGGCAGTAAAGTTTGGATTGTTGGTGTTTGGATGGTACTACTCTGATTCTTACGCTTACCCTGGCGGATTTGGCCTTCACCATTTTTATACGTCAGGTATAATTTGTAACTCTGTAATTTTTATAGTTTTAGAGGCAAATACTAAACTGGTCAGCTTTCACGATTCTTTGAATTGCAATTTTTTTTAATCGTATAATCGTTTCTCAATAATTATGGGGTATAACAACTGGCTATACAATAAACAAAAGACTTCTCGACGTTTCGACCTCGTCTAAATCTTCTAAAGAATAAACATAATTTCATTCTTTTTAGAACTTTTAATAATAATCGTGATTCAATCACTCAAATATTTTGAAACATTTCTCTGTTTTAGGGCAAGAACAAGCGAATCAAATGGCATCCAAAACAGCCACTTTTACAGGTAAGATTCTGTGCTATTTCTTTCATACTATATGCTTCAAAACGTATCTTCGTTTCACCTCACGGGGTTTCTTTTAAGTAACTATTTTCCAACAATATCTTTCCTCTTTACCTTATAGCCTAAGTTTGCTCGTTCTAAAAATACACGGTTAAATCAGGCAACTCACACACTAATTTTCATCCAATTTATTATTGCTTCGTTAGCAACAGATTTGATTTTTATGTTTAAGACAAAGTGACAAACTACGGAATGGAGTTTGTTGTAGGATTTACATCGTTGTATCGGTCCAAGAGTGGTGGTCAAATTGGAATAGCTATTGTGGCCCATTTTGATACGAACATTACCATTAAAACAGAATCCGTGACTAAATCATTGAACGTAACTTTTCATATGAAAGAAGGAGAATTTTTAAAATATAATCTGCCGTTGTCTCTTCGAATGAATGGAAACAAAGAAATGGCGTGTTGGTTTCATCAACAGAGAACATTTCAGTAACGTGTTTAGACTACCGGTACAGTTCCTATGGTGGTGATGGATATTTAGCGTTACCAACCTACGCACTGGGCATCATTTACGTTGTAGCTTCATATAAACCATACGACTATTATTCACGAGCAAAGATCGGCATTGTACTGCACACGACCGAACAAACGTTTTTTTAAGTTGAATAAGAACGCAGTTATTGCATACAATGGTATCTCATATAATTATGGCAGTCCTTTTCATATTTCTTTGAGTAAACTACAATCTGTTCAATTAGAGAGTGTATCAGACTTATCCGGATCTATGATATTCGCTTCTAAACCAATAACTGTTATCTCCAGCGTTGACTTAGGAAGACCTGGTTCTGGAAACTCTGATAAATTAGCGACATTGCTTTTACCAGTCACCCAGTGGGGAAACAATATATATTAACAACTGTCGGATCAATGAGTCATCATAAAGGAGATATTTTTAGAGTTTTTGCATATGAAAACAATACAGTTGTTAAAAATGCATACGGCAGTAAAGTCTTGTCTCCTGGTACATACACAGAACTGATATTGGATAAAAATCTAACGTCGTTTATTAACTGCAGTAAACGTTGTCAAGTCGTACAATACATTATTGGGAAAACCATTGGTGGAAGATATGCTGACCCTTCAATGATAGTGCTTCCTTCGATTAAACAGTTTTTACCATATTATCGTGTTATGGCAAGTTATGCTTCAACTTACTTCAGTTCAGTGACAATTACGATTGAGAAACGTTATACGAACGGTTTGTATTTTGATGAAGTTCAAATGTCTAATTTAACCTGGTTGAAAGTAACGGGGACAAATTACGTTTGGACAGTGGTTGGTATGGCTGGAACAAAAGTTGCTACAGTTTATCATTCTTCACCGGCAGTAAAGTTTGGATTGTTGGTGTTTGGCTGGTACTACTCTGATTCTTACGCGTACCCTGGCGGATTTGCACTTGATCAATATAATAAAAGTAGGTGATAACTCCGGCATTTCCTCGAATACACACCCAGGCTTTTATCATTATTTACAAAATAATACTTTTAAGCAAAATATCAGGTTGCGTATTACCAAGTTTTTAATAGTTGGAGATGTCACAATAAACTCTTCAGCTATCACGCCACTTTGAATTTCTTCTAATAATCCTGAATTGTTCCTTCGGCTGTCGACTTTTCACTGCAAAATTTTGTAAATTGAGACCCAGTATTAAACTGACAACTATGTTAATTTTTAAGCCATGTATTGAGGTTAATTTGTAGTTTATCAAATGAAATTTTCTTATCAAGAATATTCATTGGTGAATTCACAGTCCTTGCATGCATTCTCGTCTACTCCTCTGGGACTTTTGAAACATTTCATTCTTCATAGAACTTTGAAAAAAAATGGTAATTCAGTCATTCAAATATTTCAACGCTTTCCTCTGTTTTAGGGCAAGAACAAGCGCATAAAGTGGCATCGAAAATGGCGACTTTTCGAGGTAAGATTCTGTGTTATTTCTTTTATACTTACTATCCTTACAAAACCTATTTTCGTTTTAATATCTCTCACTTGGCCTTATATAAGCTAAGTTCGCACGTGTTCTAAAAATACTCTGTTAAATCAGACATCCAATATTTTCATGCAATTTATTATTGCTTCGTTAGAAACAAATTTGATTTTTAATGTTTTAGACAAACTGACAAACTACGGGAATGAGTTTGTTGTGGGATTTACATCGTTATATCGGTCCGCGAGTGGTGGTCAAATTGGAATAGCTATTGTGGCCCATTTTGATACGAACATTACCATTAAAACAGAATCCGTGACTAAATCATTGAACGTAACTTTTCATATGAAAGAAGGAGAATTTTTACAATATAATCTGCCGTTGTCTCTTCGAATGAATGGAAAACAAAGTAATGGCGTGTTTGTTTCATCAACGGAGAGCATTTCAGTAACGTGTTTAGACTACCGGTACAGTTCCTATGGTGGTGATGGATATTTAGCGTTACCAACCTACGCACTGGGCATCATTTACGTTGTTGCTTCTTATCAACCATACGATTATTATTCTCGAGCTAAAATTGGCATTGTAGCTGTACACGAGCGAACAAACGTTTTATTTAAGTTGAATAAGAACGCGGTTATTGCATACAATGGTATCTCATATAATTATGGCAGTCCTTTTCATATTTCTTTGAGTAAACTACAATCTGTTCAATTAGAGAGTGTATCAGACTTATCCGGATCTATGATATTCGCTTCTAAACCAATAACTGTTATCTCCACCGTTGACTTAGGAAGACCTGGTTCTGGAAACTCTGATAAATTAGCGACATTGCTTTTACCAGTCACCCAGTGGGGAAAACAATATATATTAACAACTGTCGGATCAATGAGTCATCATAAAGGAGATATTTTTAGAGTTTTTGCATTTGAAAACAATACAGTTGTTAAAAATGCATACGGCAGCCAACTCTTGTCTCCTGGTACATACACAGAACTGATATTGGATAAAAATCTAACGTCGTTTATTAACTGCAGTAAACGTTGTCAAGTCGTACAATACATTATTGGGAAAATTATTGGTGGAAGATATGCTGACCCTTCAATGATAGTGCTTCCTTCGATTAAACAGTTTTTACCATACTATCGTGTAATGGCAAGTTATACTTCAACTTACTTCAGTTCAGTAACAATTACGATTGAGAAACGTTATACGAACGGTTTGTATTTTGACGAAGTTCAAATGTCTAATTTAACCTGGTTGAAAGTAACGGGGACAAATTACGTTTGGACAGTGGTTGGTATGGCTGGAACAAAAGTTGCTACAGTTTATCATTCTTCACCGGCAGTAAAATTTGGATTGTTGGTGTTTGGATGGTACTACTCTGATTCTTACGCGTACCCTGGCGGATTTGCACTTGATCAATATTATACAAGTAGGTGATAACTCCGGTATTTCCTTGAATACACACCTAGGCTTTTATCATTATTTACGAAATAATAGTTTTAAGCGAAATATCAGGTTGCGTATTACCAAGTTTTTAATAGTTGGAGATGTCACAATAAACTCTTCAGCTATCACGCTACTTTGAATTTCTTCTAATAATCCTCAATTGTTCCTTCGGCTGTCGACTTTTTACTGCAAAATTTTATTAATTGAGAGCCAGTATTAAACTGACAACTATGCTAATTTTTAAGCCATGTATTGAGGTTAATTTGTAGTTTATCAAATGAAATTTTGTTATCAAGAATATTCATTGGTGAATTCACCGTCCTTGCATGCATTCTCGTCTACTCCTCTGGGACGTTTGAAACATCTCATTCTTCATAGAACTTTGAAAAAAAAATGGTAATTCAGTCATTCAAATATTTTAACGCTTTCCTCTGTTTTATGGCAAGAACAAGCGCATAAAGTGGCATCGAAAATGACGACTTTTCGAGGTGAGATTCTGTGTTATTTCTCTTATACTTACTATCCTTACAAAACCTATCTTCGTATTAATATCTCTCACTTGGCCTTATAAGCTAAGTTCTCACGTGTTCTAAAAATACTCTGTTAAATCAGACATCCAATATTTTCATCCAATTTATTATTGCTTCGTTAGAAACAGATTTGATTTTAATGTTTTAGACAAACTGACAAACTACGGAAATGAGTTTGTTGTGGGATTTACATCGTTATATCGGTCCGCGAGTGGTGGTCAAATTGGAATAGCTATTGTGGCCCATTTTGATACGAACATTACCATTAAAACAGAATCCGTGACTAAATCATTGAACGTAACTTTTCATATGAAAGAAGGAGAATTTTTAAAATATAATCTGCCGTTGTCTCTTCGAATGAATGGAAAACAAAGTAATGGCGTGTTTGTTTCATCAACAAGGAATATTTCAGTAACGTGTTTAGACTACCGGTACAGTTCCTATGGTGGTGATGGATATTTAGCGTTACCAACCTACGCACTGGGCATCATTTACGTTGTAGCATCATATAAACCATACGATTATTATTCACGAGCAAAGATCGGCATTGTAGCTGCACACGAGCGAACAAACGTTTTATTTAAGTTGAATAAGAACGCGGTTATTGTATACAATGGTATCTCTTATAATTACGGCAATCCTTTTCATATTTCTTTGAGTAAACTACAATCTGTTCAATTAGAGAGTCGGTCAGACTTATCCGGATCTATGATATTCGCTTCTAAACCAATAACTGTTATCTCCAGCGTTGACTTAGGAAGACCTGGTTCTGGAAACTCTGATAAATTAGCGACATTGCTTTTACCAGTCACCCAGTGGGGAAAACAATATATATTAGCAACTGTCGGATCAATGAGTCATCATAAAGGAGATATTTTTAGAGTTTTTGCATATGAAAACAATACAGTTGTTAAAAACGCATACGGGAGCAAACTTTTGTCTCCTGGTACATACACAGAACTGATATTGGATAAAAATCTAACGTCGTTTATTAACTGCAGTAAACGTTGTCAAGTCGTACAATACATTATTGGGAAAACCATTGGTGGAAGATATGCTGACCCTTCAATGATAGTGCTTCCTTCGATTAAACAGTTTTTACCATACTATCGTGTTATGGCAAGTTATGCTTCAACTTACTTCAGTTCAGTAACGATTATGATTGAGAAACGTTATACGAACGGTTTGTATTTTGATGAAGTTCAAATGTCTAATTTAACCTGGTTGAAAGTAACGGGGACAAATTACGTTTGGACAGTGGTTGGTATGGCTGGAACAAAAGTTGCTACAGTTTATCATTCTTCACCGGCAGTAAAGTTTGGATTGTTGGTGTTTGGATGGTACTACTCTGATTCTTGCGCTTACCCTGGTGGATTTGCATTTAAACATTCTAATATAGGTAAGTGGTAACTCGGCATATGTTAAAATTATAATATATTTTCAGGTTGTTGTGTAGCCTGCATGGCAGGCGGTCCCTAAATTCCGGCAAGGCGAGGACGGCGAAACACCGCCTGCCTGGTTTCGCTATGTTTTTTGTCAACCGCCCCTTTTCAGTCCCAGCCACGCAATTATAGCCAATTCACAAACAGTTAATATTATAATAGGAAAACTGTAATAACTAATAATAACTGGATATATTATTTTCCGGCTGTAAGTTTATTTATGAATCGAAGCCTGGTTTTTCGATATATTAATATAATTGTTTAAGATTTCAACGGAAACACGAAGAGCATAGATGTCTAACTCTGTATATTATATCGTCGGAAAATTTGTAAATTGCATGTATGTTATTTATATATTTATAGTAAACAGTATGTGAGTGTATCAGTAGTTCTCCTTCCCCAGTGAATTTGCCTGGCATTAAAAATAGTATATTATGAGAATTCTAAGCCTCAATATATAGTTGATTGAAATTCTCAATGTAAATTGGTATGCACAAAAGCCACTAATCACTATCTGCATCGTATATTAAATATATCGCGGTAGAGACTTGGCGACTACTAGAACGTTTCCATCGAAAGCATTTCGGTGATACAATAATACAGCGTGAAGACAAAATAGCGAGAACGTTACTACGCTCAGATTTTATATTTATATTTGCCAACATTTTCACCACGTAAAGTAGAACGATATCAAAACTAGTAGGTAGAACGGCTAAAACATGCTTCCCAAGACGATAATCTTTAACGCTATCTCTTGCTCGCGTGAAACTCGCGTTTAAGAATCAGTTCGCGTTTCGACTTTCGAAGAGCGGAGCGAACGCAATCGACAATAAATTCCGCTAAGACCAGACGCCCACAAATTTTAGCGTTACAAATTAAAAATATTTTCTCTTGATTGACAGCGGCCAAACTCGCAGCAAATAATCAATTCCCGTCCACCAGTGGACGGGGTTTCTAAAAAACATAGCTAAACCCGGCAGGCGGTCTTTCGCTGTCCTCGCCTTGCCCGAATTTAGGGACCGCCTGCCATGCAGGCTAGTGGTGGTGGTGTATCCAACCTGACGAGTTTGTCCCGATATGTAAATTCAGGTAAGTGGTAAGCCGATAGTTCTCCGTGTGCGGATAGATTTTTCTGAGTTTCTGCCTGGTGCAATTTTCTCACATGTCAAACATGTTTGATATTTCTCCGCGAGATGAAAACCTCACTGTTTCCACTGAACATCTAATTTAAAATCAAAGAGCCAAAAACCGCTATATTTGTTCACTATGTTGTTTGGTCTTGTGATAAAAAACTTATGTAGTTATTGGTTCTTTGTTTAATTAAATGTGAGCAACGAGCTTACATTCAGCGCAAACAGTATATCAAACATGTTTGATATGGGAGAAATTGAGAAAACGTGCAAGAGGCAAAAAACTTCGAAAAATGTATCCGCACATGGGTGAGCTATCGGCTGAGGCAACAGGCAAAAGTAACCCGCATAGCTGATGCAGCTGATGTAGCTCTCGGGTGCTGCAGGCTGGCTACGCTACTGTATAGTTTTAATATTTTCTTTCTGTTCTTCGTATGACATACTTAGTTTTCTCCATGAATGCTGAAAACTGCAGAACTTGTATCATTTGGAAAGGTTTATGTTTAATTGCGGCCCTGCATGGTCTTGTATTCCTATTGATTCCATTTTCGCGCCGCAAAATTTTTTGTGGTGTAAAGGAAAGATTGTTACCGATGAAGTTTCCAACATTGCAACAGTTAATCAAATTTCACGCGTACCAATCAGTTTATCCTTTTACTCTATGTTTAATTTCAATACGGATAAAACTGTGATTGATGAAATTTGGAGTACCTAAATTGATGGTTCGAATTTTAGTATTTCTCACTATGTACTCACTTTTGTTATTTCCCGACCTAAAATGGCGATTTGGTATCAGCATTTTAGGAAAATAGACATGCATGCTTATCATTCTTTTTAAACACGAATTCCCGTGTCGCGCGCTCGTCCAACATCAAACGACCATTTTTAAATCTTTTGCAGCGAATTAATGGGGTTTGCGCAATATTAGCTATCACACGTTTTCCTGTCACATATAATTTTCTTTGTTTCAGTTTATAACTGCAGTAATCTTGGGTGTAACGGAAACTTTGTTTGCAAGAAAATTGATGGTTATTTAACCTGCGCTTGTTCTGTTGGATTTACTGGGGAAAACTGTGAACAACCTCAAGGTTCGTCCGATGTTTTATTGCGCGGATCGAGGATCTTACTGCATGATATGACTGTATGGCAAGTTTATCATTTGATAGATACGGGTACAATAACCTGCTTATTTTTAAGATGAGCCAAGGCCAAAAATATAACTTAAAAAAGTTTTCAGATCATCATGGTGACGCGAAAAAAAAATTTGGTCAATCGCACGTCTAGTTACTAGTTTCAACTCGTCTTTAACTCACGTGTGACTACGTTATCAACTACATTACCATTTTAAGCGTCACGTGTTTCAAACCTAATTGTTCTTTTCAGAAGTTGATTGTCGCACTCAAGGTTGTGAGGAGAATTATGAATGCCGAATTTTTTATGGCCAATACACATGTGTTTGCCAAGGCAGCTTCATCGGAGCAAATTGCACTAGAAAAACAGGTCCGTATCTTTACTTTAATCTTAAAATCTTTCCTTATACGCAACTGAATTTGTAAAGCAATATTCATTTTACATAGTCTGTTGTCACGTTGCCTTGTTTATAGAGGTTGATTGTCGAACTCAGGGTTGTGAAGAAGATTGTATGTGTATGTCACTGCAATGATATTGCCCGAACAACATAACCTTATATTACATCATGCTTTGTATTTTTCCCCTCAGAGATTGATTGCCGAACTCAGGGTTGTGAAGAAGATTATATTTGTCGTGTTCTGAATGACCAATACACATGTGTCTGTCAAAATGACTACACCAGGACAAATTGCAGTGAAGACACAGGTCAGTATTAGCACATTCGTCTCAAAAATGAACATTTGATGAAATTTTTACTCTGATCTTTATTTTACATGTACATACTTTGTTTTTTCGTCGCTTTCCACAGAGGTTGATTGTCGCTCTTCTGGTTGTGAAGAAAATTATGTTTGTCTTGTTTTGAATGATCAATACACTTGCGTTTGTCAAAATAACTACACCAGGACAAATTGCAGTGAAAACACAGGTCAGTATATCACCGGGAAACATCCCAAGAAAAACGTTAAAGAAAAACGATAAAAAAGTAGATATTTCTTCCAGATAGAATTATAGGGGCTGAGCTTTAGAGGGGTTCGGTGCTGGGTACATTCCCCTGGATTTTTGAGATGACATCCTTAACATTCTGAAAAACGTCTTTCGGAAAACTGTTTTATAGAGCTCCCTATATACCTGTCTTCCAAGTTAGAACTGGCATTTCTGTGAAATAGGAGGCCTTAGATGACCTTTACGATATCTGCACTAAAGTCACTATCTTCTAATATAGAATTTCAAAACTAACATAATTTTTTATATTAATTTTACTTACATATTTATAATATTATACACTCTGCATGCGTTCTTGCTTCATGTGCAGAGCTTGATTGTCGGACATACGGCTGTGGAGAAGATTATGTATGTCGGATTTTAAATGGTGAATACAGATGCGTTTGTCAGAATAACTACACCAGGACAAATTGCAGTGAAAAGATAGGTAATTATTTGTACATTCACCTAGAAACTGCATGTCACTGCAATGATATTGCCCGAGCGACATCACCTTACATGATGCTTTGTATTTTTTCTCCACATGCAGAGGTTGATTGCCGAACTCAGGGTTGTGAAGAAGATTATGTTTGTCGAGTTTTGAATGACCAATACACATGTGTCTGTCAAAATAACTACACAAGGACAAATTGCAGTGAAGACACAGGTCTGTATCAGCACACTGGTCTAAAAAATAAACCTTTGATGAAATTTCCACTTCGAACATTATTTTACATTTACATACTTTGTTTTTTCGTCGCTTTCCACAGAAGTTGATTGTCGTTCTTCTGGTTGTGAAGAAGATTATGTTTGTCGAGTTTTGAATGATCAATACACTTGCGTTTGTCAAAATAACTACACCAGGACAAATTGCAGTGAAAAAACAGGTCAGTATCAGAACATTAGCCTCAAATCCTTTAACGAAATTTCTGGAATGATATTCATTTTACATCCACCTATTTTTTTTTCGTCAATTGCACAGAGATTGATTGTCGCAGTTATGGCTGTGGGAGAGAATATGTTTGTAGAATTCTATATGGTCGATACACTTGCGTTTGTCATAACAACTACACCAGCACTGATTGTACCAAAATAGTAGGTCAGTGTACCAGTACAATATTTCGTTTTGGCATAAATGTGCATGTATTTTAATCTGTCTCCCAAAAGTCTTCATAAGTACATACATGCATGCACACCAGGTTTAGATCACAGATATTTCGTAACTCCGATGCCGAAGCAAAGACTTCGGTGGAGTTCATGTTGGTCCTCCTTCAAAATCTCGCATATTCCCAAATCTTTAAAAGATTTTGGATTTATTTAAACCGGGCAAACCAAAGACCTAACTTGCCCGAGGAAGTATTATTATGCACCGTTGTTCTGAAAGGTGCATAAAAAACTAAATTGTTCCAGTTGATGAATTGTTGGAGCAAACCTCTTTGTAGAATCCAAAGTGTTCTTTCAATGATATTACATTGATCCTACACTTTGGATGAAAATTCGAGAAGGCTACGTACTCATAAGTACAGAACCTCGCCATTTTCGGGTCAAAAGATGTGGTACTCGTGTGAAGAGTTCGCCGTACATCACTTGTCCAGACGTTATTGCGCTCATTTCTAAATCAAATTTTGATTTTGAAATCGTGATTTTGAATTCAAGCCCAATGAAAACGTATACAAATGTTGTATACACGAATAATTTTGCATTTCAGGCTTTCTCGATTCTCACTTTAGCCACTTTGCCTATTTGCACACTCATTCAAACGCAGAGCGTATAATATGCTAATGCAGTGCTTGTCATGAAAACACTAGTTATTTGCACTGGAAGTGTGAAGCTCACTCGTTATTCAGTACATGGCTATTCACGAGTTGCCTCACTGATCTCACAGTATACCGGGCTATGATTTGGGATATGGCGGTTTTAAAAATTTGATCGACTGTCGAGGTGTCGAACCGGAGTTGACTGGTGTTATCTCAAGTTTTATTTCAAGATTTCTTCATCTTTTTTTATTTTTTATCATGCGCTATTACTGGAAAACATTTATTGTATGTGTCTTAGTGCTTCATTGTAATAACACTGTCTTCTGTCTACTGGTAGCCGGTATACTTCATGTTAATTACAGTTGAGATACTCACAGTTTGTTTTGGGACGCCTAATTTTCTAGGTTTGATATTTATGACATAAATCTTCTCAATAACGGTAGGAATAATAATAATTCATTCAGTTTCATAATTTTTCTAATATATTTCTCCTCTTTAATTTATGCACGTCATCATCACCCCATACATTGATGTGGATCCAACAAGCACTAGTCAATGGATATAAAAATGCAAGTCTATTCATAAATATTCGCTTTTTTCAATAACAAAAGAACGTATGTGTCTGGGAATTATTAAAGAACCGATGCGTTTTTATGCCAATTATAGCCGCAGCAATGCAATTTTTTGCATTGTTTGTTGCCAACCAATCAGAGCTGGATTGGAAAACCCTGGCCAATTAGAATCCAGTGTGATGCTAATTCATATGCGGCCATTCGGAAGGTAACGTTATAAACTTATATTTAAGATATTTTTTTGAGAAAAACCCGTTTTAAACTGTATTCAAATTCGCGTTCAAGAAGAGTATGGTCAAAGAGCGCGCTTCATGCTCAGATTCTCCGAACGTAGCTCGGTTAGCCTGGGGAAGAACTGAGTAAGTGTTCAGTCTCGTTAGCCGTGCTTCGGTTTAAATTACAGTGTACGATTTAATTCAATTTGATGAGGTCTGCGGGAATGGGATATAACTTATACAGTATTGGTTTAACATGTGCCTGTTCTTTCTGTTTTATAGTATTTGGTGTTATGCTTATGTGGCGTTTATCTTAATTTTAGCTCGACAAATCCAATGTCGAATCTGGGGCAAGTCTTTACGAGGCAATCATGCAAGCTTCGCTTCGGTAAGAAAGTTTGGCTATTGTAAATTGGTTTATCATTAGCGACTCGCTTTTAAGACGTCTCCAGAGCACATTTGATGATAAACTAGGGCCTATATAATTATATAAAAGAAGGAATTTTGCTGTAGGGCGAATGGTAAATGAGTTCGATTATTGATAAATTAAAAATCAAATATATATAAATCTTAACCAATCCCGATACTCGCTAACTTTGTACAAATCTTTAAGACCCCGTTTACACTAGAACCAAAGTTTCCGGATTTGTAAAATTTTCCGGATTCATTGTTACACACATGTATCGGATTCGTCAGGTGTTTACACTACACTTTAGTTGTCTCTGTATGCAGATTTGTCCGTTTACATACACGTACATTACTTGTTCTTGGACAATTGTTTGGTCGTCATGTTGATCGAAGTTTGCACAAACTTTTACGCATTCAAAGTTTCCGGATACGGCTTAGAACCGAGTACATTTCGGATTCGTTGCTGCGTGTGTAAACAGCAACATGAATCCGGTACTAAAACATTCCGCTTTCGTGATGAATCCGAAAACTTTCGCTCTAGTGTAAACTAGGTCTAAAAGAGTTAATGGCCCTATTTATACTAGAGACGGATGATCTGATGATCCGCCAGTATAAACATACCACACATGCACTTTCTAGACAAATTCTGTAGACGAATATGTCAAACGAATTTGGGAAATTACTCACCTGGTAAAAAGAGTGCACAAGAGCCGTTATATGAGCCGTTGTATTTATATTTATACTAACTACCCATTCAAATTTGTCGAAATAGATGAGCTATGCAGATAATTCGTGTTGATGAATGATTCGTCTGCATGTCGTTGCTCGTGTTTACACACACACGAACTTAGGGGCTGTTTACATGAGCCCGATTACCCGAGATTCAACGAAGCGTGAGATGATTTTTAGGTATTGAGATGAGCAGATAACATGAACCTGGCAGTCGTATAATCACCACAACAATAGCATGTGCTTGTTTGGTGTCATAAAGACTTATTTCAATACCTCAAACTGTCCTCTCACGCTTCGTTGAATCTCGGGTAACCGGGCTCATGTAAACAGCCCCTAAAAAACGAATTATGTTTCGCTTACAAGTCCAAGTTCGTCTAGACGGATGATCCGTCTTTAGTATGTATTGGGCCATTATGAACACGAAATGAGGCAATAAACTATTAATACAAAAAAGTATACGAAAATACCGGTGAGTCAATTTAAGCCGGGACTGAGTTGGCATGCCCATAGCATGTTCGTATGAAAAGTTGGGGTAATCAACTTAAACTTGGCCATGTTACACGGTGCAATTTTTCTTCTTCCAACTTGCAATGCAATTCTACTTCTAAGATATGTAAATTAGTGAAGAGTCTTGCAGAAGAAAAGACGCAAGTTAGAATTCTCAACGTTCGATGTTACTTCTACCACAGCTGATAGAATATACATGGTTTGGAGACCACATAAAACTACAATACAACTCATTAACTATGTTGAGGCAGATTTATGCAAAAAAAAATGTTCCTTTTTCATCACGCGTCTATTGTATTTTACACAGATAAACCAATAGCAATCTTATAATTAACATGTTTTTCAAGTCAAGGTTGAGGAGCTTAGCAAGACGAATGCCATTGGTGAATTTGGCTAAAATACAATAGACACGTGACGAGAAAGGAACCATTTTTTGCATAAACCTGGACAATAACATCGTTAATGAGTTGTGCATGTTGTACTTTTATTTAGTCTCCAAACCATGTATATTCTATTAACTGTGCTTTGACTGAACACTGGGGACGCAAAAGCATCCATGGCCTAATTTGAGCTTGCATTGGTATAAAATAACCTCTGTGCTGCATAGTTCAAGGTAGGAGCACATTTCGCCGGCTTTTACAACGAAGGTGCGTTTATCTTGCGCAGTTTCAGTTTTCACGTTTCTTGCGACGTGAACACTTTCTTGGCTTTATCTTCCCGACTTTTTCTATTTCGTCTAATTGGCTAGATACTGCAAGGAACAAGTAAATGTTTCATATAATTATGCCATCCTAGCTGGACTTAAAACTTGAAAGTAGCTAATGATAAAACTTGTAACGAGATAAGATGTATCTTCGAGTGATCTCTAATACCTTTACAAAGCCTTTAAAGATGATGATTTCATGTTTAAACAAAAGTAACTAATTGCAACTAAGTATAACCAGGCAAATATTTTCAAGTTTGAAGAGAGAAAAAGTAAAGTAATTTTTTTACAATTTTAATCACATTTTGAACCTCGTTTTGGTGTGTGGAATTCATAGAACTTCATTCTGCTTTTTATTCAGCGATATTCACATCCCTTTCGACGAATGATTGTTAAATATTTATAACAACACATTTTGAGCTTCGGTTTGGTTGAGTTAATTAAGTTTCAATTGAACTGACATTTTCACCGTTTTGTTTTCTTCCTTTGTTAATTTCTTCATTTTTCACGCCAAATTTTTCCGTTTACGTCCCTGATTGCGGCTCGTTTAATCACGTTTGAAGCTGCTTTTGTATTTAAAATGTTAGTGCATTCAAATTTTTTTGCCTGTTTTTTTTTCCAAAATATATACTGAATACAGTTTACACGTTTAGGTCAGAGATACACTTGTTCACATTGATTAATAATTTCCCCTTTTATCTTCGGAAATCCCCGGATAAAAAAAATTAAAGTGCTTTAAAAATTAGTAGCTACTAGCAGCTATCCTTAGGTTATTCGCCAATAAATTAGTACTCGCCCTAAATACTTTGAACTTAAGCACCGCGTTGCCAATACAACCATGAACATCTCGCTAGCTTATAAAATAGTTTAATGAAATGAGTCTTGCTATATGGGGGTTTTCCCTTTGAATTGTGGAAATTCCCTATAAAAAAATTTTCGTTCTTAGACAAGTTTAGGTGTCTCAATCTCTTTTAAAATCAAATTACACTAATAATTCGAAACAACTGCGTAACCACACATATAAAATAACCATTATTTTCACTATTGCTATCGTCTGTCCGTGGCCAGCCAGTCCTATATGGGTTTTTCCTTTTGATAATTATTTTGGGTATTCCCCTTGTGATAAGGGAATTCCCATGTATATTTGAATAATAACAAGCTATCGCTATATAATTCTTCTCTTCGAAGGTAACAAAGTTAGTTCTCTCCATGCTCTCTTGCAGAAAAGGTGCCTGAGATAAACAAGGTAAGAGAGAGGTTAATTATTGCATGAGTATAGAAAGTGAAGAATCGACGCGAGCCCAACAAAGAATCTGTGGTTTCAGTGTTCTCAAATATTAAAATCACGTCTGTTTGCACGTCTCGTCAAGTGTTGTGATTTAAATTCACTCTTGTCTTCTTGACTATAATTGTGTCGTGTTTATATATCATTATAAGCGCTTAAACTGCGTAACGCTTCTTGTCCATGTGGTAGTTTTTTACACTGAGATTATATAACACATGTTTTGTTTGAAAGCTTATTGAAAACAATAATATAATCTAATATTGAAAACATATGTAATCGACCATAGTGACAACGGCATGACGTCATTCGCATTAATAACCAAACAAAGTGGTCATGAGTCGCCAGGGCGAGTAATTTCCCCAACACTTGGAAAATTGTCAATGTAAAAATTTTACAGATATCACGCGTGCATGATATATAAGATTGACGAAATTAATCTATTGGGTAGCTTAATTCTTGACGTTATTAGATAAAACAACATAATTATAGACTCGCTTACCTTTAAATATTTTTTTCATCTTACTTGTATTATACGGAAATTCTTAGGGAAATAAATGTAATCAGTAATAATTTGTAAATGTATGTTAACAGTGAAAATACTCAAGGCTTTTATTCTTGAATCTTGTGTGTATGTTCTAGAATTTTCTTGACAAATGATTATCGCATGAATTTAGGTATCATGGTCACCATGCTGCGATGTGCTGAGACGCAGCGTGTTTCCTTTTAAAATCTGACTTTTTTTAAACAGGCTTCCATTTAGTCGTAATTGTCCCAAACATGACGTTTTAACTCTTAACCGATTTAAAATAGTCAGTGTGAATTTTGTCATTGACATTGTTGACTGCGCACACATAGAGAGATACTATTGAATATTTGAATCCTATTTTTGTCCTCCAATGCGAGAGATATCTTTCAAGTTGATTCCTTAACGTTCCTCTCGCTTTTCCAGAGCTCTAAGAGACAAATGAAATAACGAGCACGTGAAATAACACGCTTATACGTACATACAAGCACGCATTATGGTATTTTGGAACACGATTGTTGATTTAAAACGTACTTCTGAAAGCTTTACATTGTTACGAATTGATAAACGATCTTCTTCAGTCTCTGGTAGCTGAAGGAAAGATAAAAACTTTCCAACAAAATGCGTGTGCAGTGTTCTATATTCTATCAGTACTTCATATTCTATCACATCAGCCATTTTGACATTCAGCCATCACGACACTCACGACTAAATGGAAACCAGGTATTATCTTCAAGCCCAAGGTTTCAATCCTAATGCATTGGCGATGCTCTACGACTACGATCCATTTTCGGTGGCTAATGGAATAGATAATTCATTCAAAGAATTTTTCCTATCAATGACAACCGTCAATAATAGCAACCACCGATAAATTGCGGTATATGAAAAGCAGGCTTTTTCTCTTTCGAAAATTGCTAGTCTTCTCACCCGAGTCAATAGTACTCGTGCTTTTTTCAACATCATAACTAATACATGGCACAAACGAATCTTAAGATTGAATTCATATTTGTATTATGTTCTGTAGATTTGAAGATGAACATTAGGTTTACATGCATGTATGAGTAATGGTTTGAATTGTAAACATATAATAGGCAATGAATCTCTCAATTGTTTTACTTAACAATCTTTCGATAGTTACTGGCACTAGGAGAGTGCAAAAGACAGCACTATCAACCGTATTAAAACAAGTACTGTAGAGCATTGTTGATTACGCCATTCAAGCCATCATCGCTCATGCATGCCCGGAATCATTTTTTAAAAAGAGATATTTTAGAAAAATGTTAGCTCTCTGGACATTTTAAAGTCTAGTATGATCCTATGTGTACAGTTGAAGAATAAATATGTAATCCATTTAATAATAATAAAATAAGATTATATATATACCGTCCCTGTGTGAACGTTTGATGAACTAGCCTAGTCCCAGGCCTTGTAAGGGCGGGCTATTAATTATGTAGGGCAGCCCACGCTGAGCGGGCAAGCACAAAATGTTGAGACTTGAGATTTCAAAAATTGCCTCTGATTTTGTCCCTGATGCAACTTTTGAGATCAGTATTACTTGAGAAAAATTTTCTTGCCGCCATTTTGAATTAAGAATTAAAAACATTTTGTGCCAGTCCTCTCCCGCGCGTTCAAAACGGTGACGTCAAAAGAATACAATCCGTGCTAATGAGGACTAGGGACTAGTCTGTGGATGAACCACAACCTCGTTCCCAGGGCCTTGGTCGAGAGAAGGCCCTGGCAAAGGCTGGTATTACGTGACTAAATTTTCCAATATATTTGGAAAATTTTCGCCGAGCTTATGAGCAATAACTTTGACGAGTTTCTTCTTCTGCCAGGTTTATGAAAGACAATCATCCTATCATTTTTATTTCCACAAAGGCGACAACCATCGATAAAATCACTTGATACATACACTTTTTTGGCATGTGTGCCGTGATGTTTTCACTGTTAAGCTTCGCCATATTGAAAAAGATTTTGCGAGTTTTTATAACTATTGGCCAATCATAACGTCGTTAACAACAAAACGAGTTAAATTGCTTCAACCAATCTCAAAGCATTTTAGCTCAGCCTTTGCCAGCGCCTTCTCTCCACCTCACCCCATTCCCACCAAGGCCCTGGGAACCAGGTTAGATGAAACAAAACAGCAGATTAAAAGATATTCTGCAAAACAGTGGTCTTGACTGTCGGACGTCAATTTTGATGAAACACATGGAGGATGATTTGACAAGAAAAAAAACAAACGAAGAGAGAAATGAAATGCCAATCAATGTACGCGATCATTGCACTTTTTGGTGTCGTTCAGCGCGGCAGGCATTTAGAAAAGTTTTTAATAGAATGGCAGAAGGTGGGTTTAATTTGAAGGAATGACTTGTAGTCAGGGCCGTAGCTAGCACATTCATATTTATGCTTTCTTTTTGTGCTCTATTGTTCCTAGGGTATATAAACATAAATATGTATACACCAGTGAACTCAAATAAGACTGGAACGCTCACTCTGTCGGAAGTTTGGAGCCAAGATGGCGGACACTGAAGCCTTTCTTGTAGGTATGATCCAGGCCTCCGGCGGGGAAATTTCGTAGGGAAAAAGGCAGCAATTATGATTTTCCTTTGAAATTTCCCCGCCACAGGCCTGGGTCATAATACTTACTACACTCGTTAATGAGGGAAAGAGGGAAAGTCAGAAAGTGAGTGTTTCAGTCTTATTCGAGTTCACTGGTATACACACACTCCCCCCCATACTCGGGAAATTTTCTCCCAATACAGAGGGCTCAATTTTTAAGCGGTCTTCAAATCAAAGATTAATTTTATGTTAGTTGTCCGATGACCATACGAGCCTGCACGAGCGGGAGAAATTTAGCTAAATTGGACCAGCGTGGCTGGTAGTAAACAATGAAGTTATATCTATATACCAACTCAGAATGAATTATACACACTATAATTGTTTAGAATTTGAAATATCTTGATGAGAACGCTAAGCCTTTTGGTTATTCCCAAAATTTTTACATAAAAAATCTACCAATCTGCTTGGACTCGGAATTTAGAGCTGTAGTAATTTATTCCGACTTACCCTCCATGGAATTTTCCAGCAGAAATACTAAATGAATAGTTATAGCGATGAGGATTATTAGTAAGACATATGCAAAGTTGTCTTTGGAATTAACCCAAGCTTTTATTCAAAAAGCTCACTCCCACTCGTACTCATTGAATAATTATGATTTAATATGGAAGTAATCTTTTAATCTATAGAAAGATCTTAAATTAATGAAAATTAAAAATTAAGCTCTTAAACCGGAATGGAAATGCCATTCGTCATAGAATCGTCGCAACGTGAGTCTGAGCGGGGTTTTAGAATCCATGCGTAGGAAGTTAATGTTGCCATCAACGAAGCCAAGTAGATAACATAATAATGAAAGATCCAGAAAATGTACCCCTTGTGCTTGTAATCTCACTGACTATATCTCTGGTGCGCTCACTTTTAACATTCAGGAGAAACTTAACAAAACGTATTCAAACTAAGCAGTGTCAATTAATGACTTTTATATATATAACTAGTTGAGCCGAAGACGAAGTAAATATAGGCTTGTAATCACCGAGCCACTAATCACTAATTATTGTAGTATAATTAGTATAAATTTCGAGGTGTTTACAAATAACAATCAACATAATTTCATAATTATAATTATAATTACTTATATATACTTGAAATTTCGTATTTGGACAACAACAAAAAACTATAGGCACCGACCAGTGACTATTACTCAGTGCTATTACTCCAGAGGCAGTGAATCTAGACCAATCAGAATACAGGAAAATCAATAGTCACCTCGAAATTTATACTAGATAATAATAGTTTGTTGTATGAATCATAATAATGCGGTAATAATTTTATTATTTATAATAGTCTAGTATTATATAGTAATATAACTTTAGCTTAATGTCTTTCCTAAATATGTCAATATTATTGATATTATTGATGCATGGATTTACAAAAGCGGGACGGACCCTCCAGTTTCAAGCGACTTCACGTGGCCGGTCCTCAGTTTCACGTGTTTACATTGTTCAGGCAGAGCCAATCAGAATTCCTACATTTTTAATGTTTCATGTAAAATGGCAAATGATGTAACTTTTTACCGGAAGTTTCAGTATAACCAGGGAGCAGCGTGGCAGCGTCTTCAAACAACTTAGCATCAATTATTGTGGTGCTGCCTAATTACTGCTTAAATTAGACAAAAAACGTCTCCACGTTTCGACCTGAGGTCCTTCGTCAAGAGAGTTAGTATGATGCTACTATCATATCATATCAGTATCATACTAACTCTCCCGACGAAGGCTAGCATCATAGCAAATAGTACCTGTTTGTAACTAGAAATATTAATCATATTAGCCAATTAGGATTGAAGGTTTGTAAACACGACACTACTATGCATATTATATAATATACATATTTATACCGAGCATGCTCTGGTTCTAGTTACTCCTCTGCATTAAATATTGCCAAGCCCTAATCAAACTAACTCCCCTGAAGAACGCAGTGATATGGAGAGTTAGTTCACTGGGTTATAACTCGCTGAGGTATAATTATCTCACTGAGGTATAATTATCTCACTGGGGTATAATTATCTCACTGGGGTATAATTATCTCACTGGGGTATAATTATCTCACTGGGGTATATCTCCCTGGGGTAATATTTTCGCCGCATAGTTAACCAGCAAGTATCACCATATTCCATGTAACCTTGTATGTAACTGTATGATTTACAAACCAGACTGAATCAATGTAGGCTTATCAACATTTGGCTGCATGGTTTCCATGAGGGGCGTCGATGTGGTATTCGTCAAGTATCAAAAGAAGTTCAGCCACATATCTATTATAGTATAAGGTAATGATACTATACCTCATAAAAAATATTTTTCCTTCCAGATTTTTTTCGGCATATTCAAAATAACGACGTAAATTCCGTTCATAAAGAGAGCAGTTGTTGCAATGTCCGTGACATCAACCTCCCGTCACAGTTTCATGGTAAATCCTTCGGACATTTTAGTGAAAACTCTTTGGCAATCAATCGACGTAACACTTGGTGCATTACTGAAAATTAGAAGTATCGCCAAACATGAGGATCGTACCTTTAGTGTAGCCTCTGTTTCTGGTTCTGGTAAAACTTCCAGTAAATGCGAGCAGAAAATAAAATCACCTATTGAAGAATCACTAAACACAATTGATGAAATACTTAATCCTAAAACATTTGATATCATTTCTGAAACAAAAGCATCGTGGAAGAAAAGCTTGTGTCAGTTAGATTTCTTTCAGAAATATCTTGAATCACCGAGTGACGCGACAGCTAAACCGATGAAGATATTAACTGATCCTGAAGAACGGCAGGCATTTATTATCCCTGAGGGACAATATGAAAAAGTTTTAAATTACGTTGTTAATGAATGCTCCTGTCTTGATGAAAGCCAAACCAAAGGAAATTATGAAGAAAATTCCAGTTTGCAAACTTGTAACTCCAGCCTCGAGGAAGTTTCAAGAAGAGATTCAGAGAAGTTTTCAACCGTTGATGAAACTCTTGACGCATTTAAATCATCGTATGGCCATGATAAGGACATGGAAGCCAAAATACAAGTGTTGAAAAACATATTTCATGCCCAAGAAAGGAAAATTAAGTTATTTGAAGTGGAAAAGAAAGAGCTTTTGGCTGAAATTGGAGAATTACTTGTTGAAAAGGATTCCATAGAAAGCAAAGAGAAAAAGGCCAAAGTCTTTTATCAACTATTTCCACCCTCGTCATCGAGCGCTTTGCAGCAAGTTATGTCTGTCGGCAATGAAGGATCAGTTAAACAGAAGGTAGCTGAAGAAAAGATGACACCCAGACAAAGCAGTTCCACCCAGCCAATGTATAAAAACCTGTCATTCTTACTGCAACAAAATGATAGTTCCGCGGAAATGGAAGAGATGGTCTTGCCTGATGGCCCTGTTGCAAGTAAGTCATACCTTACCTATCACCAGTCGTATAGAATTTGATAAAATAGCTATTTCTTACTCTATTAACCTTATAGGTCTACAAAAACGTTAGAAAATCTTTAAACCGAATAAAGAGACTTCTTTTCAGACATTTTAATAAAAATGTGAGCGATAAAAGATTTACACGACGTTTCGATGTCATTATAACATCATTCTCAAGTGAACTAAAACTAGAATAAACATGTCCTTATATACAGCTAGGGTGTCTCAAAAAAAACGCAACCACTTAATATTCTAAAATTCATATTGTTCATGCATAAGCTCAATAGATTTTATTCCCCTGGGATTTTAAAATGGCTTCTAATCGTACAGTTCAACTGCTAATAGTCAAATCAGCTAAACTAATAATGGTGCAGCTAACTACCGAACAACGAGTTTTTATTGTCGTGCATGATAGATAACTTGAATGCTAACTGTCGACCTTGTAAAATAAATTGTAAATAAAATTTTACTCGTTAAATACTTTCAATTCAGCTCGTTGGTTTACGCACCCGACTTTCTTTACCGACGATTGTGCCGCTAGAGTATGATTACAAGCTTTCTCGCATTCCAGGGGCCAAACGTCTTTTGTGTTGTAGAACAAAGAGGATATTCATGAATATTAAGTGGTTGCGTTTTTTTTGATACACCCTGTACAGGGTGAGTAAAAAAAAACTGACACCTTTGAAATTCAAATTAGCACATAGCGGCTGTAATGTGACAGAAGTTGCCTAAAATATTTCATTGGTATACGAAGCATATCATATTAATTAACCTAAAACATAAAGTTTGTTCCCTTTGGGAGTTAAAATGCATTCTAAGCCCTGTAAATACAAAAGAACAGTTTTATCAAATCGTTTTTGTTGATTGTACATGGGAATTGTCATATTTCAGCCATAAGTTCGCAGCTAATTTGAATTTCAAAGGTGTCAGTTTTTTTTTACTCACCCTGTACAGGGTGTCTCAAAAAAAACGCAACCACTTAAATATTCAAGAATATTAATGTTGTTAGGGTTTGCACCATACAGGGTGTATCAAAAAAAAGGAGACCTTTAGAAATCAAGCTATTGTTAAAATTTGAATGCTTTTTCAATTGCATTTGCACATATGCTAAACCGTAGTGCGTGAAATATTGATGGCATGCATGCATACATTAGAAAAAGGAGTCCTTTAGAAAATGAATTGACGTTTGTACACAAGATTGTCTGCTCCTAGGAATTTGAAAATAACTTTAATAGCATAAGGGAAAATAACGACCCAAAAATATTCAAATGACTAAGCACAAAGACTAAGCACAAAAGCGATAACTCAGTATGCGTTGTAAATTGCTTTAGCTGTTCCTTCAAAACATGAACAAATCATTTGTTCATTAATTTTTAACACTGCGTGCGAGCATTAGGGCTGTTCACATGAGTTAGAATTAACTTTGAATCCGGAATGGCTCAGCATCCCACTTTACAAACTCTGCCTATTAAAATGTTTACATGAGTCAGGAACGAATTACAACTTGATCTGACACAGATTCACTTGACATTTCGATCCGGATTGAAAATTACTGATAAATTGAACATCAAAAACTGAATGTCATGGACCATGACCTCCAACGTGGCCTCCATTTCTCTCAACACAAACTACCGTACGCTTGTGCAGGGCCGTAACTAGAACGATAATTAGGGGGGTGTTTATTCATATATTCAGTTGTACCCGACGGATTTCCATTGTGAGCTATTGCACTTACAAAAGAAATCCGTCAGGCAGAACTGAATATATGAATAAACACCCCCCCAATTATCGTTCTAGTTACGGCCCTGCGCTTGTGCTTATCGCGAACTGCTTTTCTGATGACGGCAGGCTGGGTATAAGTTAAAACTACAAAAACTCTTTGCTCCGAAGTCAGTTGAACCATTTTTGTTCTGGTAGTGTGCTTAGTCATTTGAATATTTTTGGGTCGTTATTTTTCCTTATGCTATTAAAGTTATTTTCAAATTCCCAGGAGCAGACAATCTTGTGTACAAACGTCAATTCATTTTCTAATGTATGCATGAATGCCATCAATATTTAATGCACTACGGTTCAGCATAAATATGTGCAAATGCAGTTGAAAAGGCATTCAAATTTTAACAATAGCTTGATTTCTAAAGGTCTCCTTTTTTTTGATACACCCTGTAGTTCAGCTAAAATTACTTTTAGCATTTTAAATGAAGGATTAAGAGCCATTTTTAATCCCAGAGGTGCACTTTAGAGCTGTATTAATGTTCCTGCATATTTAAGTGGTTGCTTTTTTTTTGAGACACCCTGTATGCTATGAGCTAAACAATATGCATTTGTCCTGAGTAAGGGCTAATCGACTATGAATATGTACAATAAAAATGGATTATTAAAATCTACAATACATCATTAAATATTGTAGAATTTAATAATCCATTTTTATTGTACATAGTCATGGTCGATTAGCCCTTGCTCAGGACAAATGCATATTGTTTAGCTCATAGCATATATAAGGACATGTTTATTCTAGTTTTAACACACTTGAGAATTATATAATTATGATGACATCGAAACGTCGTGTAAATCTTTTCTCGCTCACTTTTATATTAAAATGTCAGAAAATCTTTAATTAAGGTTATTATGTGATTGAGTCTCAAACACTTTAACAACTTATTCCTCAATTGAGGTAAACATTTTGCAGGAAACTATCAGTAGAATTTATACAGTCATTGCGAACCATATTATACTATAATGATTGTCAGTTTTTTTCACGGAAAACAAACAGACAAAAGAGGAACAAAATCTGTAATCGAAACAAACCAATCACTACCAAACAACGCAAGTAATACCCAGACATTTAGTAGCGATGGTTCACAACTCTCCAAACCTGAACAGAGAATCACAGAACGAGGTCTTCCTTCCCAAAACCCAGACGTCCTTTGCACGCAGGTTCTTGATCAAGATGAAAATTGGTTATGCGATCATTACAAAAGACAATGTCACGTGAAATTTGATTGTTGTGACAAATATTGGCCATGTCATCTTTGCCATAACAACCAAAGTAAATGTAAAAGAAAGAAACTTATGACTCGCGGCCTGATGATTGTGAAGTGTGTTTATTGTGATAAAGTGCAGCTGGTAAGCCGCTTAGCCGATATTAAATGAAGTGTGAAATGCCTTTGAAGCCCGACAATAGGATGTTTTTGTTTGTGTTTCCTAAAGACGATTTTTAAGTGACATATAAAAATAATCAATGCAATTGCTTTACTTTTTATTTTCTAGTTCAGTCAGTTTTGCTGCCATTGTAATGCAAAATTTGCTGATTATTTCTGTGGTTTGTGCCAGAATTTAACTGGTAAAGATGATCATCCTTATCATTGTGAAAAATGTGGAACCTGCAGGTAGGATTAAATTCTTTGCATTGAGCCAAAATTTTGTTGCCATTTTATCAATCCGACGCAGTATCGAGTTAAATTATGGTTTACTGCCAGATTAATATGCCCAAGTAGAGACATAACTCGATGATTTTTCGACATTCTTGTTCCATTTTAGAATTCATGGTGATCGATATTTCCATTGCGATGTTTGTGGTGTGTGTCTGGAAGTCCAACTTCGAGGAAATCATAAATGTCGTGAAGGATCTGCTGATGATGAATGTTGCGTATGTTTAGAGGTAGGAGAAAATTACTGGGTTGATTTCTCTTTTATAATGTCTTTACTTCTAATCATATTATCTATCAACCAATATTATCATCTTCGTAATAATACCTAAAAATTCATTCGCAATGAACATTGACAATGTTTTCCCAGACTGTTTTTTTTCTCTGGTGGATAAGAGAGTGTTTTAAAGATTGCTTTAGATTCAATTTGAGCCAATATTTGCCAATCTGACAGTGTGTATTACTATGTTAGCCTGTTAGGGTTATATTTCCTCGTTATACTTTTTTTATAAAGAGTCACCCCCAAGAACGTGAAATCTGTAACTGGGCAAGTATTTTTCGAAACACAAACCCCCAATAATGCAAACTTGCACCAGAAGCTCTGCCAGAATTCAGTCACTTCGTTTTTTTCTTTCGAAAAGAAATTGCAACTTGCGTATATAAATACCATCTCGGGCCATCAAGCCTGTTTTGCTTAAACGGTGGTTAAGTCAAATTAAATAACACTATACTCTTAGGACTCTCTTGAATGAGTCAATTTTTTAATATTATGCACTGAATGAATGTAGTTGTATAAAGGTTGAAAACATTTAGTTCGGTTCTTGAATAAAACGGCAGACTTGCTTTCTATTTTGAACTAAAACAGTTCTTGTAATATCGGGAACCATATCATGTGGTCAGTTATTGTACCACGTGATTCAAATAGAGCAGTAATTTGTTGCGGTCGTCTTTTTTAGGACATTTCAGCAGAATATCAAAAACTCCCATGTTCTCATACCGTACACAAAGAGTGCTTAGATGAAGTCATCAAAAGGGAAATGTAAGAATTCAACCTTTCTTACTTAAACAGAGTATAGTTAAAAATCTCTCTTCTGGGTAACTACTTGTTCTCCCCATTGCTTACATCATGTATAGTCCAAGTGAAACTAAAATGACCGTGAAAAATATGAGTGAATTCAAACAACTACATGTTATAATAATATATACAACTGTTGAACTAAAGTTTTACACATATTTTAGTATAATATCACATGATTATAGCCATTCTGGGTTTTTTTTTCAAAATGATCTCCCGCATTCTTACAACTTCCAGAATCTTTTCTGCACTATCACATTAACTTATCCTGTTTTTCCCAGCATTCGTTGTCCAATCTGCCGGAAAAATTTCCGTCACAACCTGGAGCGATTATCCCTGCCTGATTTACGAAATTAATGGCGCTTGGACATCAACCAGCCAGACTTTCATAACTTCACGACACAGCCAATGATCACCTGAATAACTTCGCTATTGTCTGTGGAAGACTTGAATTTCTTCAAATTTGGTCCTTCGCGCGCATTCAAAGTTCGCCAGTTTTTTGACTGTAAATAATTATACATATACATTTAAGTTTATCTATACTGCATGTTATCCTAATATTTTTTGCAGGGCATTTTTGACTGAATGAAACTGGGGTATTTCCCCTAGTAAATATACTCAATAGAGCCTTATTCGAGGTATCGCTCACTGAGTCCTGAAATGTAGACGTTCTTCATAGGACTTAATAAACGCGACGTTTTGCCGTTGTAAACAGAACGTAGACCACGTCTAAAACTCTTACATAGGTATTTAATAATTCATTTCTTTTCAATGAAGCATTGTATTGATAGTTGCCGTCGTCGTGTTCCCGTCCTACATGATTAAGGTCCCTGATTAATGGAAGGAACACGAACATTTCGCATGCATCAGTTGTTAATAGTATACAGCGTCATCATCATCATCTAGGCGCCAATGAGGTGCACAGGGCCTGAGTATACAGAGTGTCACAAAGAAAACGAAAGCTATTCAAAATCACCCATAACAATGTAATTGTTAGAGTTTGAATGCCTCAGTACTCTGTTGGGATAATATCACAATAAACACTTGTTGTTCCGGTCAACTGTACCATCTTCCTTTAACAATTTCAAATTTTTCGTGTTTAGCATTTTATAAGTTGCATTATCTCACAGGCTAAAATTCCTGAACACTGCATTCAAATTTTAATTTAACAATGAGTGATTTCAATAGTTTTCGGGTTTTTGGGAACACCCTGTATGTTACCATGTGACGTCATATCTTCTTGTGTCTATTTATATAATATGATAGCAAGTAAATAGTTTATTCTGGTTTGACAATGACTTTGAAATAAAGTCGAAATATCACCTTAAAACTTTTGTCTTGTTGTCTATAGCACATAACTTGAGTTTACAAGATGTCATTCCTACGTTTTAACGTTGCACATCGCCGTAGTTGCTGAAACGGCATCGTGACTTACACCAATTTCACGGTGCATGACAACGCGGCAAGAGTTAATCATATACAGGGTGTCTCAAAAAAAACGCAACCACTTAAATAAGCAAGAATATTAATATTGTTCGGGTTTGCGCCACAGTTCAGCTAACATGACTTTTAGCATTTTAAATGAAGGATTAAGAGCCATTTTCAATTCCCAGAGGTGCGTATCTATTGCGCTTTAGAGCTGTATTAATGTTCTTGCATATTTAAGTGGTGGCGTTTTTTTTAAGACACCCTGTGTAATGACGTTATGTGTTCGAAGTTGTTTGGATTGTTTAAAGCCATTTTGCTGATCGACCATATTTATAATAGTTAATAACTGATTCAGAGAAAGAGGTAAATTGAAGAGGCAAATCAAGTCAATACTAAATCATATTTTCTTCGAATACCACAAAATTAGGTGAATGTATTTTGTAGTTCCCAAATTAGAGAACTTACTAGCTAGAAATACATGCATGCAGCAACCCCTCGCCATTTTACACGAGGCAAAATATTTCGTGCGCTACCCAGACCTAACTTTCTACGCTAATATTATGAAATAACTCGTGCAAGTTCTTCGGAAACAAAGACAGTCGTAAAGGTGAACAGAAATCACCTGTTTGCCTGCTGCATTACGTTGCAGTTTAAGTGAGTGTTAAACTTTTCTATAGCTAAACCTTCAAAACAACAAAATAGCACAAATAATTATAGTAACCATACAAGCACTAAACGTCGAATGTTGTTTTTCCATTATTTATTTTATTCAATGATTTTAGCGACTTTATAAGCTGCAAAGTGATATTTGTCTTATCAAAACTCTGAAGTACACTTTTCAGAACTCTTTTTAAAGTTTAAGCGATGATGTAAAGCCTTAAACGGTCGGTTAGCTCCTTGTAAAACGACATATCAAGCTCGTACTTGTCAAAATAACAATGCATTCTTACAGCAAACACTGAATAAGCAAAATATATAACACCTTCAAAGATTATAAACTACGAGTCGTTCCTACTTCACCAACTGTTTCTGTGCTGTGATGATCTTTAAATATTTTAATATTGTTTTAATATTTTACTCCATGATTTCATTTTATATTTTTAAAAAGTAGTTTGCAAAATGACGGTTAAAATGCTGACGCTCTCATGCATGCCCTCTTTTTGTCTGAGCCAATCAGCAAGTTGTAGACGACCGTTCTTTCTTCGTTCAAATTTCGCGCATGCGCACAACTACCATGACCATTGAACGTCCATGACGTTTGGGCAAGTTTGGATTCGCCTCATTCGCCTATGTTCTGTCAGAATACCCGGATGTAATTCCTAATCTCCGGGCGGGATTAGTATTCTCGCACGGCACTTCGCGCCGGCTCGGGGAAAACAAGCACCAATCCTCTGCGAGGCACAACACCAAATTATATTAACCAAGTCCCAACTGAAAAACATATAGTCTATCTGCTGATCAGATTCTAAGCGGCGATGTTTTTGATGACGCCGAAAAAGCAAAGCGGAAGTACGTTTTTCTTCTGGTTCACGTTGCTCGGCTTCTGCATGGAGCCGCCGTCGAGCTGCTGCGGCGAAGTAGAAAGATTTTCCTCTGAACAGGGCCGCCAAAACGGGGGAAGGGCAGAGAGGGGCATTTTGCCCGGGCCCCCAACCTGAAGGGGCCCGCGATTTAAGAAAGAACCTAAAGCACCTTAAAAAATGTTGGGCTCGGTATATTATTCGCACACTGGTCGAAAGTACGAGTGATAGTCACTGTTATTTTAAGATACGTTGGTATTTGTAAAAAAAGTTTAAGTTTGTTAAACATCTTCACAACGCTTTGAAGTACTTTATGCCTTGCAGATATTTAAAACGACATAAGACACAAGAAAAAAAATTGGCCTCGGGCCCCACAATTTCTCTCGGCGGACCTGTCTCTAGCTGAAACGTTGAAAAAATAGCTGTTAGTTCAAATGCGAATTTGAAAATGGGATGGAGAAGAGCATGATTTGCTTTTGATGAAGGAGATGATAGTCAGTGGTACTGACGACATTAATTTGATAGTTGTGGGAATTCGAAGATTTTCGAGGAGAAAAATCAAGTTCGTGTTTTTCTACTCGAAATTCTGCTTTATCGCTTCCTTTAATTAACACCATATCTGGGGATTATCTTGTCACGATGAGCTCTGTTTTCTGTGCATGAGTTTTAGGCAATAAACGAGTCAGAGACCACTTGGAAGACACCACTTGGAATAATTATGGCAATGTGCGTATTGCATAACGCACATTCCGGTTTATTAATTTTGTAATGAATGACATAATTTTTAACATAACGAATTATTAACCAAAGTGATTAATTAACAGTTAGCACAGGAAAGGTGGGGATAATAAAAACGCCCACAAGTAACAGCATATAACTAATAAACTAATATACAAATAGAATAACGCGTTCAGAAAAATGGGGAGGAGGGTGGGACTTGGGAGGAAAACTTTACTTCAAAACAGAGACGACTTTGCGCTATGAAGCGAAGAGCAGAATGAAGCATATGCGCATTCTGCTACATATTTGTATCGCCGCTCCCTTCCGCCTTCCTGCACGCGTTACATTCATGTAATCAGAAAGTTACGGGGAATTACCCAAGTGCCCCATATTAAGTTCGCCTATTTTATATGATAAGCTCAGGAAGCAATAAAATCTTTATTGGTATGCCAATAATTCCTTTATATTCTGCATTGATTACAAGCAAAAAGGTTTTTAACACATATATTTTATGTTCAATAATACATATTGAAGTTTACAATTGTGAGTATAATTTATATTTATTATATGATATTGCAGGATCACTAAATGTCAGATTAACATAATTTTCTAAATATTTTCCACTAAAATACCATTATTCAACCTGGATTATCATCTATTATTACCAGTATTATTACATTACCAGCCTTTTAAAATAATAAAAGACGAACTTCCAAAAAATCAAAGCAAAGGGAATATCACTTTACTTCAACATTTTATAAAAGTCAACGTCATGGACGGGTAAATGTGAGACAGAAATTATGTGGTTCCCTGTTAACCCAAGTCTAAAACATATTGATTTTACGTGAAATTCATAAGTATAAAAATTTAGACCAAGAACTCTTGTCAAAATGTGAAACTAATCTAAAAATTCAAATAAACGCGAGTGATATATCATATATGGTCGACACGAGACAAAATACAAATAATTAAAAGTTATTATTTTCAACTACAATACGTGTTAATTAGTTTCCAGGTTGGTTCAGAAATTGCTTCGAATGGCTGAGAATTTGTTGCCGAGGCTAAAGCCTGGTTTCCATATGACGCCGACTGCAGCCGACTCGTAATCATTCAAGGAGAAAATTATTTCAGAAAGACAAAAGATTTCACTCATCAATAAATAATAATCACCGACAATAATACTTTGCCGACGTCGGCGTCATATGGAAACCAGACTGAAGAGTTAGAACAAGCCAGAGTGATCGTTTTTATACATTATTATTGTGGAGGCGTTCAAAGGAATTCGCCCGAAAAAGAGGTCAATAAAAAGTTATTTATATCCATGAATTTGTCTTATAACTAAATCTTTAAGGTGATTAGGCATTTTTCAAAACTGAACATGCTGTTACAAAATGTTTTATCGCAAACTGTTCTTACTGTTTCTATCGACTTTGCAAAATTAGAGTGTTCAGGCCAGAACGACCTAGATCGGTATAATGGCAATCGAAATCTACAAAGACGTTCACCGCTGGTGAGATGACTTAAATTCAACAAACGTCACTAAGATTGTGACACTGTCTTATTATTCCCGGCTTCAAATTACACCTTTGGCCTTTTAGACAGCCAAAACGGAATCTGGGACATTCGTTCGCTCAGCTTTTTTACTTCTTCTATCACTGAGAGAGCAACGCTTAGTTTCATCGACACTTATACAGTGGGAGTCGCATCGCTCGAAGCGCTTTTATGGAAGAGTTTTTCTTTTCTTTCAAATTATATTCGAAGTTCCGAACCAGCCTGGTTTTTGGAAACCATAAGTGTAGATACATTTACCTATGATTACATATTCTTACTTCTACTATATTATGCGACTACATTCAAACATTGGAAACACTGAAATACGTAATACGTAAATGTAAAATCTGGCACGGATTTTACACCCCTTCTACTGGGCACTTCATATTTTATATCAGACAAATTTGTTATTTTAAAGTAGAGTGGGACAAAGGACTTACAGTAACTGTGAGAATGGCCAGCAAGGTTAGAAATTCAATTGCGCAGTGACCTGCTACTTCACGTTCAACCCAGGTACAGTATCATGAATCAACGTGCGACGTCAATGGACTGATCGCAGACTAGCTGTGTCGTTCGAGCTTATGAAGGTCTTGTGGCCAAACACAATTACTTTCAAAAACGTTTTCCTGGTTTTGTTAGTGGTCGTCGTTCAAGCTTGTGAGCGAAACTTTCCCGGCAGATTGGACAGCGGGTACTGAAGAAAAAAAAGACATGTTATAGTATAGGAATAATTTTGACTGCAATTTAAAGACAAGTCTACATGTATGACAACCTGAAACTCATACGTTGATGCTTTTCTGACTGAACGAGAATCCCTACATGTATTACGCTATTGACTAATTGGAGAATAATCTACGATGAGTTACAACAGTTTAGAGAAACTTCGATGGATATGTTTATTCTGAAACTGTCGTTTTTACTCCCCTTGTGCTCGATAAACACTGCCTTAAAGTGCCTATATCACTTGTGGGATCTTTACGGATTTGAATAGGGCTTGAAAAATTTGTTTATAAGTTCTACAACCTTTTTTGATATAATTAAATAGTTTCGAAAATACGTCCGTTGGGGGGACTGGGACTCAGGAATGATTTGCAAACACGCCGTCTTTTATAATGTAACATGACGAGTTTCACTGGCGATATAGTTTGCGCTTTTCAAGAAAAAAACGCGGGAACGGTGCGTTGTGTATGGCTGTAGAAACTGGGCGAGTTTTTCTCAAAATATTTTACGTTATTGGAAGATCGAAGTAAAATTACAATTGATTATATTATGTTTGACAAGAGCTCGGTTCCTGAGTCCCAGGCCTCCGAGCACGACGGAAATTTAGGCAATTGTCATGTTTAGATGTAAATATTTCCGAAACTATTTAACTATATCAAAAAGGGTTGTAGAACTTATAAACTAATTTTTCAAGCTCTATTCAAATCCGTAAAGATCCCACAAGTGATATGGGCACTTTAACAACGGGCAATCAAAATACTAACAGAATTTTAATACTTACATTCCACTTCTGATCATTTGAGTTGCACATTCTTTGTGCACTTTATGAGAACACGGCAGAATTTGACATCCTGTGAAGGCATCCTAAAAAAAAACAATAAAAAATTGTTTACAACACGTCACAATTTGCAATGTTATTATACACTATACAATCTAATTATTAAATAATTTAGTTGTTTAACATCATGGACCTTGTATGATCTTGTAGATGAGAATGTAGAATGTGAATGCAGTGAAAAGTAAAAAGCAAATAATTTATTCTGCCGTACCTCCAAACATATGCAACATTCATCATGAGCAGATCCTTCACGACATTTATGATTTCCTCGAAGTTGGACATCCAGACACACACCACAAACATCGCAATGGAAAGATCGATCACCATGAATTCTAAAATAGAACCACAGTTTACAAACTTTACTGTTTTAAAAGGAGAAACTAACGCTATCTTAAGTGTGTTTTACGTATTCGTTTCCAACCATCGTTACGTCTGCTAATCAGTTCTTGTTAAGCAAAGCAGAAATTTGCTGATTCCACAAAATTCTCATTTACATAGTCCATAGTCATACCTGCAGATTCCACATTTTTCACAATGATAAGGATGGTCATCTTTACCAGTTAAGTGCAAACATAAACCACAGAAATAATTTGCAAATTTTGCATTACAATTACAGCAAAACTCTCCAAACTACAAAGTGAAATTGAACAAATTCATGGAATCATCAGAAAATGGAACACGTCCGACATAATTCGCACAAAAGTTTCCTTACTGGTTGCTCTTTGTCACAATAAACACACTTCACCATCTTTGTGTCACGTGACTTTAGTTTCTTTCTCCCGCATTTGCTTTGGTTGTTATGGCAACGATGGCATGGCCAAAATTTATCACAACACTCAAATTTCACGTAACAGTGTCGTTTATAATGACTGCAGAGCCAATTATCATCCTGGTCAAGAGCCTGGTGGTTGTGAGAGGTGTCGGGGTTGCGAGTATTGAAGCCGTTGTTTCTCTCTGTATCACGACGTTGGGGTTTGGAGTGTTTTAAACCATTGCTACCAAATGTTTGAAGGTTTCGGTTGTTGTTTGGTAGTGATTGGTTTGTTTTTATCAATGGGTTTGCTGTCATTCTTCTCCTCTCGTCTGGTTTTGGCATTAAGAAAAAAGTAGGAATTTTAGGAACGTTAATTCAATTTCAACAAAAATATATTGCGGCTATAAGGTTGAACTCTTTTTCACCTACAAAATCGGAATTTGGGCCTAAGACTCAATAGATAAGCGAGCTAAACGAACTGGAGTTTAAATATTGTGCATCTTCAACTTCACTCTACATTATGACAATAACTTTATGTTATTGTGAATATAAAATTGGCTATAAAACATTGAATACTCACGGGAAAGAGAGCTTTCAGAGGCAACCACATCAGTAACTCCAGTTGTAACAGGTATAAATTCTTGTTGTTCGTGTGCCGTGGGTTGATTTCCATTTCGACATCTAAAGGATAGTTTGGAATGGGGGACGGTATTTGACTGTTTCTCGGAGGTTAGAAAAGTGGAATTCTGTGTGTGTTTAGTGGTTGTGTTGTTCGATAGTTTCCCTGAAATTGCAGCATTCCGGTCATCACGTCTAGGAATTAGGCTGACTGAATAATCTGGAGTGAGGATCTCTCCATTGATGGCACTCACATCCCAATATCTTGATTTGGCGCGACTTGCTTCGCGAATACTCGGGCCTGGTACAAGCCGAAGTAGACTATAGTCACCAAGAAGGAATATATCAATCATGTGCAGAAGATCATATCTGACGATGGATTGAAAAAAAGAACGAAGTTGATTTAAATCCTCCGCGTTAATAACTCCTTTTTCATCGAGTTTAAAGAAAACATCTGTAGTATTTTGAGCTCTCTCAATCGAAAATTTCTCACTTGCCCAGTCTTTGAGTTTTATAACATCAGAAGAAAGAAGACTTTGAGACAGAGTGAGCAACAATATCTTGTAGTTGTTGTATAACATCGCAGCCACGGATGTTGATGGCTTATTACTCAAGGATATGAACTCTCTTCCATTGGAATCATCTTGTTGAACTGAGAATGACAGATCTTCATAATCCTGCTGGTTGAAACTGATTTGAACATTGCTGTCATCTCTGGGTGGTTTTGTTGTAAGACCACTGCTTTCTCTGGCTTTATGTTCAATCCCATGTTGCGTTGCTGTATCATCTTGTGATGTCGACGCTAGCACGTTGATCGTTTGAGCTTCACGTCCACGTGACTTGATACTCTCTCCGCTGCTTGTTTTCAACCCCAGTTGGTTTTGTGTTGTTGGACTTTCATTTTCACCGTCATTCCCAGAGTTTAACAATAAATTCCCTTTCGAATCTTCATGAAAAACCGCTCCATCTCTTGTTCGTGTCATAATCGTATCACTCGCTGATTGATTTGGGCCTTCATGCACTAAAGCGTTGGCTCCAAACACAACATTTTTAAGGGGAGAAGCATTTTGAATAACTGATTCTTTTCCGGACAAAGGATTTATATTTTGGTTTGAGGTTTGAAATTTTAGGGAATTATTTGGACACACCATGGAATTAGATCCATTGCAACAGGTATCATGATCGTAATCATTTCTAAGGGCAAGATGCTTATTTTTAAGTCTATCGTGGCTGATAGACATATTTTGTTGCAACGAAGTTGGATATATTTGTTCGAACTGTCCCTGCTTTTCTCTCACATTTTCTACGAAGAGAATTTCCCCAAGTTCAGCCAAAACGTTTTGATTTTCACTTTTCAATAATTTTATTTGCTCTGTTTGAGAGTGGAATTTGTCTTCCAAGACACTTACCATGAATTCCACGTCCAAATCGTCTGATTTTAACGATTTAAATGAGCCAAGTACACTTCCAATTGTGAAATCTTCTACTTTTATATTTTTTCTAAAGGTTTCTTTGGAAAAAGTTGACACATGATCTGGTGAAACGTCAAAATCAATAATGCAGATTTCAGAGCTTGAACTTTCTCTATCCTGACATTGAAATGCTTTGCTTTCGTTTTCGGAATTCTGGTAGTATCCATTAACTAAAAAATTCAACAAATTGTCGATCTTTTCCTCTGGAAGAAACCCTTTTCTTTTTTCACGATCAAACAAAGTCTTCAGAGTTTTACTAGTTTTCTCACTTGGCAATTCAAGATGCGTTTGAAGTATATCTAATGAGTTCGAGGTTTTTTCAAACGATGCTTTTATTTCAGAGATAATATTGGATAGCTCCGAATTCGTATTTTTACCAGTCGTGTTGGGTGAAAATTTCATTGCCAATCTAATATTCTCCTCCCATTTAGTGGACGTTTTATCAAAATCTGAGTCTGAAAGTACGTGCTGAAATTCATTATTCCTCCCCAACTCCAAAGGTTTAAGGAGTGCACTCAGTACCACGTCGTTTACACACCAAATAAACCTCCTCAAAACGTTCCAACGATTAATTAAGCTCTGGTTGGAAGTTGGTGTAACAGGCATCGTTATCATTGTCGCCATTATGGCCGAAATTCACTTCTTAATTGCAACAATCCCTGTAAATAGACATATCTTTCATGTCAGTATACAGTGTTCAAACATTTGATGCAAACAACTTTAATCACAGGCAATATATGTGTTTTGCGCTTATAAACAATAATTATTAACCGTGGTCGACGTCATCAATGCATCAATGTCCTGATTATTACTTTACTTTTTGTGGGTAGCCTGCGCATGCGCGGCTAACCACTATGTAGTCGAAAAAGTGTCCGGATGTTTGTGTGTGGGTGCCACATCTTCGGCAATCGTCGGAAATACGAAAGATGACGAACGGTACGTTCTACTTCCGGAAAATTTCGTTGTTTTCGAAGGACGGAAGCAACCGAAGTTATATTAATACGTTTGTCAAATTTTAAAGCGAAGTTGAGTACTTTAAAGACGAAAAAGCGGTGATCGGTGAGCGTTGAATCTACAACTACAAAGTTACACTAATAGAAAATAAATAAAACATTACCTTATTCGGCAAATGGTAGTAACAAGTTGCCCTTTTTTTATAACTTATAATGCAATATTTCACCTGTCAATTTCTTGCTTGTGGACATGCAGCTATTAAACCAAATACATTACCTTATTGCAAATGGTAGTAACAAGTTGCCCTGTTTTATGAATTATAATTCGGCAAATGGTAGTAACAAGTTGCCCTGCTTTATAAATTATAATTCAATATTTCACCTGTCAATTTCTTGCTTGTGGACATGCAGCTATTAAACCAAATACATTATCTTAATGCAAATGGTAGTAACAAGTTGCCCTGTTTTATGAATTATCATTTGGCAAATGGTAGTAACAAGTTGCCCTGTTTTATAAATTATAATGCAATATTTCACCTGTCAATTTCTTGCTTGTGGACATGAGGCTATTAAACCAAATACATTACCTTATTGCAAATGGTAGTAACAAGTTGCCCTGTTTTATAAATTATGATGCAATATTTCACTTGTCAATTTCTTGCTTGTGGACATGCGGCTATTTAACCAAATGCTTTGGAGTTCAAAAAACAAAACTGTTAACAAAAGTGCATTTCAACTGATCAAAAATCTTTAAAATATTGTTCAGATACATAGATAAGTTCTGAAAAATTGTTAGTGCAAAACGTTTGAAACAATTTTGGACTCTTTGTTATGTGACTGTAAAATGATCTGGCAAATCAAGTAGTTTATCCTCAAAGAAATCTTTGTTTATCCTCAAAGAAATCCTTCTAAAATAAGCTTTATGTTATCAGACAATGTGTCCACCATCCTGGAACCTTACTCTCTTTTTTTGTTCTGTTCACCTATTCTACTTAAAAAAATTCATTTTCTATCTCTTGTAAAAATGCTTTTATATATGTTTTGATCTGTCGTAAAATGTATTTAATACAATAAAATATTATAATGTCTATGGCATTAGAACATAAGACTAGAAAATAATATTTTATTGCATCAGTTGATATTTACTCGCCACTATAGCAGCTTTATCGCATTAATAATGTTTTACAGGCTACCCACATGTACGCATTGCGTACCTATTTTTTTAAATTGTCAACTGGTCATGGTTTTTGCAAAAAGATGATTTCCAACTTTTACTTTATGGATAAATTAAACAAATTCATAGCTATATTTCTCCGTATACCCACTGTCATGAATTAGGAACAAACAATAGCTATAATTACTTAATATTATGTTTTACATTTATTTACGTATTTTATGAAAGGTCAGCGTTCGGACAGAGGACTCAAGAAACGTTTTGCATGCGTAAATAAGTCAGAATTCATAGAGAAAGGAAATATATCTCAATTTACCAAACAAAGTTGTCTTTCTTGACACCCACCAACTCATTATGAACTACAGGTTTCAAATTCCTCGAATGCTTTAAAGCCCGCCGCACACGAGAGCTATCAGCTAAACTATCTCGCGAGGCAAGGTTAGCTCAGCCCGAAAACCATCCGCACACGTGACAAACTTGCTTCTCGAGGCGAATTCCTCACGAAAACTACCCACACACGACGGGGGTAACATGCTAAGCTAACAACCATGCACGTCTGGAGGTCTTTGTCTCAGCTGATACCTCTCGTTTCATATTCGAGAATGTAAAAAATCCGGCCCATGCATGATGAAATTGTGCAACTAATTAAACACAGCAAGCAATTCTTCGGAAATTTTCCGAGTAAATATCGGACGAGAAGAAGAATAATGAGAAGGAAAATGCGTGGTTTATCATGTGATTATTAATATAAATTTTGAAGTTACGTAGGATGTCACATGAAAGAAATGCGTAAACATATATAAAGTACTTTTAACCCCCTTGTCCTAGCATGGCCTTATACTCTCCACGCAATAATTAAGCCTGGTTTCCATTTAGTCGTAATTGTCGTGAACATGTCATTTTCGCCGATGAGAAATTGTCGGGATGTAAATTCGTTTTCATTCCTGTATTCAAATCTGTCATTGTTGACTGCACACGTATAGAAATATTCTATCACATCAGCCACCTTGACATGTTCACGACACTCACGACTAAATGGAAACTAGGCATTAAGACACACAATGTCTCGACTTCGTCTCGGTGAATATTCCTGAATAATCACCTCGCATTCGGCGAATAATTGTTAAATATCCCGCAGGAACCATAGCGTACAAAATAAATCAGTCGGGCAATAGCCGAATATATATGAATATTTATACACACCGCCACTACTGGTCGCTTTCTACGTATAATAGAAGACATTTAATTATAAATTTAGGGTAGTTTTAATTTCGAAATAGTGCAACTACCAATTATCATAATAAATATGTAATTAAACACTAAGTCGATTAATCCGCAAATATTCCAAAGGCAAAGGACTTACAACATCAGTTAGCTTGATATATACACATCAGGTCATCAGTCTCCCCGAAGTTGACACGGAAGTCTCACAGATCGGACATTATGCTATCTTGTAAAGTTACATTAATATTGGAATTGTAATGTTCTTCATTGATACTTTCAATTTTCTTACCTTTTTTGCTTATTGCTATTTTCTTAACCTGTCCCTGCATGTAGTGATATGTAGATGTTCATCATTTCGAAAATTAATCGACGGGGAAATCCCGTAATTTGGAGGGGGCATGTTGTAAGACGCGGAATTGTGAAACGGAATATAAGGTTTTTCCTTATTTAGTAAAGCTAACGAGATGCCTTGCAGTGTTGTGTATTATTAGTATTTGAATTTAAACCTTAAGGCTGGCTATTACGGGATCAAATGTGGTATAGAAACTAGACAAAATCCAAAAATAAATTCCGAAGTGCATGGCAACTGGCAAGATATCTTGAGAATCAATATTTGAATCAAACAAGACACTGGTTGAAACGGTATATTTTCCACTTTATTTCAAAGTCATCTTCAGACAGAATGAAATACAATACTTCACAACACACACACACACACACACACACACATATATATATATATATATATATATATATATATATATATATATATATATATATATAATATATATATATATATATATATGTATATATATATATAATATATATATATAATATAATAAATTAATATATATATTATATATATAATATATATATTATATATATATATATATATATATATATATATATGTTTTGTCTCTTCGGTATTTGTTTTTTACTTTAGTTTCTTAAATTGTCGGCTGGTCGTGGGCTCGTGGCTCTTAGACAAAGCCTTTTTCGGGGCAAGCTTCCGTTGGGAGATTAACTGAGTTTTTCCATGCTGCATGCAAAAGCCAATTAATGCCCTTAATTTCGATTCCTTTATATATTGGTGTATCTATATATTCGCTGTTTTTAAAGATTAACCGCATACAAGGGTCGGTATAGTGAAGGGTGAGCATTGCAATCTCAGATGTCTACGATCTTAATTAGGTTAAAAGGTGAAATATATGATGATCATCGCAATTTCGAAAATCAGATGAGGACATTCTCGTTCTGGGATTATACCAGTATTGTATGACCATTGAGCAAAACTCTTCCCAATCTGTGCTATTTGATTCCATACAAATTGTTTTTTTTTTGAGAGTGTAGCGACTTCATAATTCTGGATTGTTTTCATGGTAGGGGCAGCAACCGGAAAAGGGAAATCCCCGTGTTATCAAAGAGCTCATTTTTCATACAATTAAAACAGTGGCTGTTTATATTAGAGAGCAGGGAAGTGACATTTCCCTGAATGATGCTCAGGATCTCAGCATCTTGGTATTTCTATAATATGAAATTGTTTTGCTGCATCCCGTCCCGCCAAGATGGGTCCCAGCTTCGACAAGTGGGATCCTGTTTTAAACGGTTTTTTTGCCATATTAACATATGAAATTAATGCTGTGTTCCGCCTGACCAGGTGATATTATTATGATGACTTGCAATATTCAGATCCAGAAGATTTAGGCTTATCATGAGAAGTGCTTAGATTTTCTTGGTAAGCCCTTAATTCTGTCACCTGATGCATACAAGAAGTCTTTTAACACTCCATCCATCTAAGTTAAGGTTAGGTAGCTATATATATAGGTGCGTACTGCTATTAATTGTGCTATTGATTATTGTACTTACTATTCATGTCCAGTGGCGTAGCCAGCCTGACGATTTTGTCCCGCTATGTAAATTTCGAGTTATTATAATTATTCATTTCTTTAGAAATTTATTGTTTTTACAGTCAATGAACACCAAAATATTAGCATAGCGGGACAAATCGTCAGGCTGGCTACGCTACTGTTCATGTCAATACAATTTTCCGACAGGAAACCTACACATCGAGTTTGGTCCTCTCTGAAAAAAATAATACAGAACACAGGCGGGGTAATATTATTCTTTTCCCAACATGCTTATCTGCAACCTGTTAATCATGCAGGTGCTTCCCCAATTATTTTTGCTCGGAAAATGCTTTTTATTAACACACAGTCATGCACTATTGACACTGTATTACAAGAAGTCTAGTACAACGCCTCAAAGCTAACCATAAAACCTCCATTTAGATATTTTAATTCAGATTGAAATTTCCTTACCTTATAAGCAGTACTCGTTTTGTATTTTCTTATCTGTTTGCCTTTAGAAACATTCACGATCAATGTGCGTTTAGCAACTTGATCAAAGATTAACTGAGTGATTAGAGTGAAGAATACAAAGGTCATATGATTGTGACTTCGTATACGTACTTCCATGGAAAGCCGGAAAGCCACGTAGCCACATCCATGCAGTACAACACATAGCTATAAGCCTGGTTTCCATACAACGCCGACCTGTCGCATTGTTTTTCAGAAAAACGTTTTGCAGAAAATTATCGCCAAATTTCCTAAGCCTACATTGTTCATAAAGACGCGGAACGCTAACAACGTAATTCCATAATGACATTTTTATCAGATTTTGACATGTATCATGTGATAACCAACATATCTTTCGTGAAAGCCGTTCATGTTATATAATTATATTTAGTTATTGCAGGCGGATTTGCAGCTAGTGCAACATTGTCTCAAGACAATGGTCTATGATGTATAGTCTTCGTAGACTTCGCAAAAGCATTTGATAAAGTTTCAATTTGCATCTATTCGTAAAGTACTTTGTTTATGGCAGCTTATAAAAGAACGTATTGTCATTGGTGAAGAAAAGTTTAAGTGGAAGGTTGTTACCTCAGGAGTGCCACAGGGGAGTATTTTAGGATAACTGTTCGTTATTAATGACCTTCGGTTCCTGCATCAGGTCTAAAACAGAAATCCTCGCAATCACAGTGGCGTAGCCAGCCTGACGATTTTGTCCCGCTAAGTAAATTTCGAGTTATTATAAATATTCATGTTTTTAGAAATTTATTGTTTTCACAGTCAGTGAACACTAAAATATTAGCATAGCGGGACAAATCGACAGGCTGGCTACGCTAATGCTCGCAGACAGTGTCTTATTCCGAAAGATTGTAAGTCCAGCAGATTGCATGCGATGCATTTATAATGTTTCAGCATGGAGAATGGAGTCTGGCAGTTGAAATTGAGAACTAATAAATCAGGGGTCGGTTGTACGAAAGCTGGATAGCGCTATCCACCTGATATTGATTTTTTCAACCGTTTTAAACATGCCTGAGAAGCAACGAAATTACAGATTTGGAGCTAACAGTTAAGAAAGAGATCCCCCAACCTAAGAATATTAAGGTTAATCAAACAACTGGAAATGTTAGAACGATTCTGTGTCTTATTAATTGTGGCAGTTAATAGTTTTTTCACAAATCTATATTTCATATTGAATTATAAGCATATAGTAGTTATAACATATTACAAGTATATTGATATTAATTAAATACATTGAAGGATCACTAAATGTACAAATTATATCATTTGCTTAACATTTTCTACAACTATTATTCAAACTACTTAAAATCCTGGCCACTGATATGACGACAAACTGAATGGATAAAAGTATACTGAAAGTATACCAGTCTTTGAACAATGAAATTAGAAAAGGTGACCTAGTTCCAGAAACGCAAAACAGAGCCAGAGAAAAAACTTTATGGGAGGCGCTCCCAACTGAACTCGTGACTTTAAGATCATGGAAAATTTTGTTGAAGGTCATGGCCGTTAAAAAGCATCTTGGTTAAACAAAGTGTGGTTTCCAATGGAAATGAGTGGCCACTGGAGCTCCGAAATCTTAATATAGACTTCTTTTCATATGCAGTGTCTCACCAGATCAGTGCTTGGGACTCATGTAATTAAATTTGTACAAATTTTTCCATTTAACAAGAAACTGTACTAAATTCATTACCACATTCATATATCACTGACAGAACAAACTTAGTTCAATATTTCATCAACACTTACAGTGGCAGTTGCATTGCTAGGAGTTTGCCAGCATTTTCCTGCTATATATGTCACACGTTAAATGACAATAATTGCGAGAATGGCTAGCAAGGTAAGAAAAATCAAGTGCTCAGTGACCTGCTGCTCAACGTTCAACACAGATATTGTATCGTGTTCAACACCCAGTGTGATGACGATATCACTAGGCTCAGTGGCGAATCTAGGGGTAGTCAGTTAAAATTACAAATTTTAAATTCACAAAACACAATAATAACAATGTTATTGGTGATGGATTTCTAAAGAATATTTTTAAATAAAAATTGACCAATGCGATTGCGATTTTACTAAAGCTGTAGTAATATATTCTGACTACCCCTTATGAAGGTCCTGTGGCCAAACACAATAACTTTCAAAAGCGTTTTCATGGTTTTGTCAGTGGTCGTCGTTCAAGCTTGTGAGCGAAACTTTCCAGGCAAATTGGACAACGGGTACTGAAGAAAAACAAGTAAGTATATAAATTTATTTGAGTGCAATTTTAATTAAGACAAGTGTGTATGATAAACACCGCCCGTTGTTAAGGCCTGATTCACACTAGCTCCTAAGAATCGGGGCTCCATTGTATTCTTTTCCGACAGAAAAAGCATTTTGCACACCATTGAATTCAAGCAAATGGAATTCCGATCCTTAAGCCGGTTTTCCACTAGCGATATTTCTCGCGTGAAGCGACGTTTTACTTTTGTTTGAGAGCTTTCAGCTACAACCATCTGGAACAAACTGCCCAAATTCAAAGGAATAAAGGCGAAAAGTAACGCTAGTGGAAAACTTGCTTTAGGAGGGTGAACCAAGCTTGAAGAAGAATCTGATCGCAGTATCGCACCGCCTGCTGTTGATTTGAAACAAGCAGCTTCCCTTTATTGCCTTATGGTAATTGGTAAAATATCACGTTTCAAAGAACACCGATTTCAAAAATCAATTACGAATGGTAGAATGCATGGTTGTTTTTGAAAACATAGTTGTTTATGAAAACTCTGAATCATAGAAGAGCTTATATTTCACTAATTTCAGGATTTTTTTCGACTTCGCGGTCTGTGATCGCTAAAAACTGCCTCAACAATCCAGAGAATGTTAATACACTACTTACATTCCACTTCTGATCATTAGAGTTGCACATTCTTTGTGTACTTTATGAGAACACGGCAGGATCAGACATCCTGTGAAGACATCCTAAAGAAAATGCCCCGAAAATTGTTTATGATTTATTAAATAAAACATAAAGCTTCGTCATTGTCATAAATACAGGGTGTCTTTAAAAAAACAAAACTATTGAAATCACCTTTGTTAAAATTTGAATAGCTTTTCGCGCATTTTTGCTCGTGAGGATTAACTCAACTTATAAAATGCTAAAAGAAATCTAAAGTTTGCTAGAGAATTAATGACATGTCGAAGGTCATAGTGTTTAAGTTGTAAAGTTTAAATATTGTTATCCATATTGGTAATAAATGTCATTTGTGGGTATACAAACAAATTTTACTGTCATTCTAATTGCATAAATTAAAACTCTTATATCAAATATTTATTTATACACTTGTGGGTCCCAACAGGGTGTTTAGATATTCAAACTCTAACTATTACCTTGTTATGGGTGATTTCAATGGTTTTGGGATTTTTTTGGGATACCCTGTAGTATATACAGGGTGTCTCAAAAAAAACGCAACCACTTAAATATGCAAGAACATTAATACAGCTCTAAAGCACAATAGATCGTCTGGGAATTGAGAATGGCTCTCAATCCTTCATTTAAAATGCTAAAAGTCATTTTAGCTGAACTATGGTGCAAACCCGAACAATATTAATATTCTTGCATATTTAAGCGGTTGCGTTTTAATAAATTATGTCACATAATTCATTGCAATGTATTACGCTGTAATAACTAATCAAATCAGTCGTTTAACAATAACATTGGATGTCCTTGAATTTGAGAATTGAGAATGTAGGAGTAAAAAACCTAACCAAGCAAATATAAATTATTCTGCCGTACCTCCAAACATATGCAACAATCATCATCAGCAAATCCTTCACGACATTTATGATTTCCTAGAAGTTGGACATCCAGACACACACCACAAACATCGCAATGGAAAGATCGATCACCATGAATTCTAAAATAGAACAACACCACTGCAATTGACAATTTTTATTGTGAGAAGCTAACGCTGTGGTTTAATTATTCGTTTCCAACCATTGTTCTGGACTGATAACCTCTTGTTAAGCAAAGCAGAAATTTACTGATTGAACAAAATTCTCATTTACACAATTCCTACCTGCAGATTCCACATTTTTCACAATGATAAGGATGGTCATCTTTACCAGTTAAGTGCAAACATAAAGCACAGAAATAATTGGCAAATTTTGCGTTGCAGTTGCAGCAAAACTCTCCAAACTAGAACGTGAAATAAAAAGGTTAAGACACGGAACGTATCTGACATAAATCGCACAAAAGTTTCCTTACTGGTTGCTCTTTGTTACAATAAACACATTTCACCATCTTGGTGTCACGTGACTTAAGTTTCTTTCTTCCACAATTGTTATGGCAACGATGACATGGCCAAAATTTATCACAACAATCAAATTTAACATAACAGTGTCGTTTATAATGACTGCAAAGCCAATTGTCATCCTGGTCAAGAGCCTGGTGGTTGTGAGAGGTGTCAGGGTTGCGAGAATTGAAGCCGTTGTTTCTCTCTGTATCACGACGTTGGGGCTTGGAGTGCTTTAAACCATTGCTACCAAATGTTTGAAGGTTCCTGCTGTTGTTTGGTAGTGATTGGTTTGTTTTTATCAACGGATTTGCTGTCATTCTTCTCCTCTCGTCTGGTTTTAAACAATAAAGCGATATTAGCAATAATGTGAAACTTTTACTCAATCCCGACCATATCAGTAACTTTACTGGACGAAAATCCAGTTACAATTGATTTGAGTTTTTGCTGTTCATGCATGATCTCCGCGTTGATTTTCATTCAGAAATCTAAAGGGTACTTGATAATAATGAAAACTTTATTAATGAATTTTTAGGGTATGTAAAATTGTAAATCTCATTTAAAAAGCGTTAGACTCTTTGCTTTTTAGAAACTATTTATTTAAAAACACAAGTCACAAGCCTACATATATAATTTTCATGTTGTCCGCTTGGCTGACTTCCCAATAGTGCTCCCACGTGCGATAGTGCAACCTAATCTGTCCCCTGATTTAATTGATCAACCAATCAAATAAATGAATTTAAAAATAAAGGTCTATTGTTTTCTATCGGTGAGGTTTTAAGAGCATTGCGTCGAACGGTTTGGCATTGGGTAAATTTGATAGATGGAGGCAAAATATTAAGACCAAATTAATTTGTTTCGGGTAAGAATTACTGTGCTTAGCGTTCCAGATATGAGTAATTCAAGCCATGCACGAATATAATTGTTAATTTTGGAATCGATATTTCCAATCACCCATGCTTTTGATAGATCCGTAACAGTAAAATGCCAGGATGATTTTGATAAAACATAACGGTTATAAAGCAGTAATCTATTTCTTCAGTGATGTGGTTTGAAATCAATATCAGACATTAAAGGGAAATCAATTCAGACTTGTGTTGCTTATCGGACATGTTGAAATTAAAATATCTTCCTAAGTATTGAAAGCTCCGTTTGTGCTCCTCTGAGGTATTCTAGGCCATAATTGCTGGGGAATTCTAAGGTATTGTTTAGCTAGCCCTGCTATAGCCAATTATTTAACTATATAAAACAGATAATAACACGGAAAATCATTACGCAAATCATTGAACGATGAAAAAAGACCTAAATACAATTCTTGATCTATAGTAGGGTCGAATAAAGGCTAACGAAGGGTAACAAATAAAGGCTTATACGTCGCAAATAATGTAGCACACTCGATCAGCATGTTGGCATATGTCTACATGAAACATCAATTCACCTTATGCCGGAAATACCACAAATTTTCACCGATTCAAATCTTTTCTGTTCTGCACGACGGATTTCTTTTGAAGAGGCATATATGTACAAAAGAAATCCATCAGGTAGAACGAATATTCAAATTCATCGTTTCTAGGGTTTTGTAAGCGGGGGGTTCATGTGTTAATGTGTTTCAATTGAAATCATTTAACTAAACTTTAAAAAAACATTTACTTGTAAATAGGCGGTTAGGTGAACCTATCTCAGGATGCTGGGTGGATTTTGATCCAGGTGCAATAATTTCATCATTCTTTCCTTTTCCGCATGCTTCATTTCCATCCATATTCTGCAGTTTTTTCTCTTTTGCATGGTTCTCGTATTCTGTTGTTTCCAAGTCTTTATCTTTAATTTTACAAGATTCAAATGCCGTTATTAAATCGTTTATGTCATTGGTTACGTCGTTTGAGCTGGTATCAGGCAAAGGAGAAATATTTTCCGAAGAACTCGAACTTTCTATCCTTTGTTGCTGTGGTTGCCTGTTTTCGATACCAGCGTCCTGAAAGCCTTCGTTATTTAGAAAATTTAACAGCTTGTTCATTTTTTCTTCTGTGAGGATTCCTCCCCTTCCATTGTAATGAAACAATTGTTCCAAAACGTTTCCAGTTATCTCTCTTGGCGATTTAACCATCAGTTCAAATGTATCCATTAAATCCATAATTGCTTGGAACATTGGTTTTGTTTGAGAAAAAATATTTAGTATTTCATTTACGAAGATTTGATCATCATTTTTTTCACTTTCAGCCAATTGATTTAATTTTTTACACGAAACAAACTGTACCACGTGATATAAACATTGTGTAAGGTTCTGAATGAGTTTACATTGATTTCTGGAGTCTCTGTCAGAAGCCATGATGTCAGGTAGTGTTGGAAACCTAAACAAAAGAAATATTAGTATCAGAAGCGCAGAAGAATAAAGCAATTATTGTAGGGTCAAATGACCATGCCGCTAAACTCGAATCCGCGCGGAAATGAGGCTCACTAATACAAGTTCACTTTTTTAATATCTGGTAAAGTACGCAGAGAGCGCTGACAGTCGTATACCGTTATAGCGAAGAAAACATGGGTAATGAGATGATTGATGATTTTAATATCCACTCCTAAATTTCAAACTGTCACAAAAGTGAAAAAACAGCCAACAGACGGACGACTGGTGGAACGAGAATCATAGAGCAGCCGAAATATATGCGAACCGCACGGCAAAAGAGAAACTACTCGATATCTTCTTAGCGGTATTTTTTCACAATGCCTGACGTAGTTTTGAAATTAAACTTGTGGTTTTTACATTCCTGAAAATCAAAACAATATTCTACCTGGGTAAATAGCGTGGTAAAAATGGATTCCATGAAAATGCCGGAGAATAATGGTATTTTATTTAATAAATAAAATCAATTTTAAAATAGGAGTAAATATCAGTCAATTCTAAGTCTCTCTCTCTTAAGTCTCTCTCCTCCGCACAGGTTATTTTGATGTTTTTTTTTTATTATCTTGAAATCTTATAGTAATTAAGCTTAACGTCGGGGGTGCTGCACATAAATAACGAAGGCGTGGAAACGCAACCCCCCCCCCGTTAAACTTACTACAAGACTTCAAGATATTAAGTTAATATTAAAAAAGATTTGAAGATAATAAATAAATAATTCATTGATTGTAGTCAAACAATTGTTTCAGGAAGGGCGACAGAAATGGATTGGCCTGCACAGTCAAAAGACCTTAACCCTATTGAAAATCTATAGAACAATGTCAAGAGGATAGTGCAAGAAAGGAACTCATTCATAAAGCGTCGATGATTTATGCGTTGCTGTAAAGACTGTCCATAGGATGAATTTCTTTTGACCGTGAAGATTACCACCTTAACAGAAAGTATGCCACGCCGGTGTAAGGCTGTTATCAATTATAAGGCCAAAGGAGGGTCAACAAAATATCAATTCATATCGCTTAGCATGTAATCTAGCCTATATTTACTCGTATATATTGTTAAAGGGACAGTTACGTTCATTTGAGAGCATTTTAACTTGTTTTGAGCAGTTCCTTTTGACCGCCAGTGTATTAGGCAAAATTTTATGATAAATTATGCTTATTCAAAATACCCATGCACATTTCAACGGCCGATTCCAGGTCCTTTCCTTTTCTCACCTCCTTTATAAAGTCCGAAAAGGCCTTGGAAACGAGGTTGGTTTTTTTATGAAATAGACAAAGATAATTTTTAGTTTTATTTCTGTATCCTTTAATACTGGTATCTTTCCTGATGAATGGAAAATGGATGAATGCTCAAAAGTCATTCCATTATTCAAACCGACTGCAGCCAAAAATTTTATGTCAATTGGCCACAGTGGCGTAGTCAGCCTGACAATTTTGTCCCGCTATGAAAATTTCGTGCTATTATAATTATTCATTTCCTTAGAATTCAATATTTTCACTGTCAATGAACACCGTAATATTTGCATTTAAGCTTCTGGCGACGGTCCTGAACCTAAATTATCCAAATTTAAGGGTTATATACGTCCATATTTCGTCTCTAAAGCAGAATTCCAGCATGCGATTGGAATTCATGACGTTCAGAAAGAGGTATATACACCCTGTAACCATGATAATCCTATGATGCAGCATGTGCGTAACAAACTCAAAAATACTGTTCGTTTATTTTAGGGGAATATACATATAAGTATTTAAATCATATCTCACTGTAAATTAAAAACAAATTCCGAATAAACAGTGACAGTCAATATATATATATATATATATATATATATATATATATATATATATATATATATATATAATATTATATATATATATACAGTCTGTTTATTTAGGGGTTTCCCAAATTTTAAAGGGGAATGCCCTATTTCAACTCGATATCACTGAAAAACCTAATCGCAAGGTAGTTGCGTCTTGCAGATAAATGTAGCACGGAAGTATTGAAATAAAACGAAAACACTCGTAGTGAGCTTGCGAGTTGGTCTTGACGACTAATGATAATTGAAAGAGCCTTCTCGGGGTTCAAACGGGTATTAATTGAAATCAAAATTTGTGTCGCAACTAGCGAAGTTAAACTGTTAAAAAGCAGACCAAATTGTCAAACGCATTGTTAATTTCGAGGGTTTCCAAAATTTTAAAGTGGGGTATAGTCAGGACCCTTTAACACCACAAAATAATTAAGACACACAGATGAGCTAATATTCTCCCAAACGTTGAATACTGCTATATCTGTTAATGCATGTGTTCATATGAATTATTAAACAAAATTGTCATCACTGACATCAATGTTTGCATGCATGATATACACATCAGGTCATCACTGTATCTCCCAAGTTGACACGGAGGTCTCACAGATCGGACATTATACTATCTTGTAAAGTTACATGTAATGTTCTGCATTAATACTTTCAATTTTCTTACCTTTTTGCTTATTCCTATTTTCTTAACTTGTCCCTGCATGCAGATATTCGAATATTATTTCGAAAATCGACGGGGAAATCCCGTAATTTGGAGGGGCATGTTGTGAGACGCGGATTATGATAGTGTGGACTTCTACATGAATTTACGGCGACCCAATGTTTGAACTGCAATATTAATTTATTTCATTAGTAAAATTGTTTTTCTTGTCGCACATAAGTGTACGAGAAGGGACAGAGGGGGGGGCAGCCGACATAGCTAGGCTGCAGACAATTAAGGCACTGACACGTCAATTTCTTCAGGAGGAAGCAACTTATTCTTACATATTATAGGCAACTATAGCTTTAGACAGACAATATGAATTGTCAAAAGTTTGAAAATTATATGAGGGGAAAATTTTTTATGCGTTTTTCCTTACTTAGTAAAGCTAAGGAAATGTCTTTCAAATTATTTTTGTATAGGTACCTTTGTACTGCAGGGGCCGGTTGTTCGAAAGGCGTTTAGCTTAAACGGTGGATAAGTTCAAAGCGCAATTGTTTGGTTCAAATATTGATTCTGAAGACAAGATGTCGTGTCTCTTCGGTATTTGTTTTTTACTTTACTTTTTAAGTAGTTAAATAGAAGTGTAATAAATCATATAATAAATAACAAATAAATAAATACATATAAGTTCATGCAGTAAATATAAATATTACCATATGATCTGAATAACACAAGAGTAACTAAGCATTTGAAATAAACGACAAAATTTTTAATTGCAAACATGTTTCAACTTAACTATAAGCCATCTTCAGTGCGAATGAATTAGTTATTTACATTATGAAATATATAAAGTAGAAATATGACACAGTTGAGGTGATACTCGATGAATAGCCTATATATTTACAACAATGATTGACAACATAACAGGATACAAGATATGCATAATAAGTGAAAAACACGACAAACAAAACTTTGGTTTGTGTTTGCGTATGTACAGAGCCTCCTTGAGTTTAAGAGAGAGGGAAGTGTTAGCAGTATCTAGGATAGTGAAACAAGAGCGGATGTAGTTAGATTTGCAGTTAGGGTTTTGTGAGTGTTTGTAGACGTGTGAGTTTTTGTCAGTGGAGGTGTGTTCTTTGATCCTTGTGGCGAGATGTCGGGTGGTTTCACCAATATAACAGGAATTACATCCTGAGCAAGTAAATTTACATACCACGAGGGATTTAAGATCACTAGGTCTAAAAATTTTTGATTTTGTGGGAAGTGAACACTAGCTTTATGTTGATATCACTATAAATTGAGAACAGATAAATGCAAAATAATCTATCTTCTGAAAATGAGGTGACAATCATCATTAACTATGTAAATAAATATCTGGATATTTCCTTAGATGAAACGATTTCGTGCGATAGTCACATAAATGCCTTGCTATATAAAGCCGCGTTCCGGGACTTAGTCCATGATCTAAAAATGGCACATGTGTCGAGTTTGCTGTTTTTAAGTGACTTGTTCGACCTATTCTACTGTTTTGTGGATCATCGTCATCATATGCTGAAAGTTTGAGGAAATCTAGATGGTGACATTGAAAGATATTTAATAACACTTTACAAATTTTTTTTCTGGTGCCATGAAATTGGTCCAAAACATGATTTAGATTTTTTTGGATCAACAAAAAGTTGGCGATATAAACTCGGTTTGGTAGCTAGCCATTTTGAAAAATCTTTGTTGCTATTGCAACGGTTAATTGCCAGGGAGGTTTTAAGTGGTTTTTAGCTGCAAATATATTTATATAATTTTTGGTCTTCTATAGGCAAAAATTTGGACGCCTAATTTGCATGTGCAAAATGTAACCACTTCAAGAAATTGTATAGAGCAGCCTTAAAATTAGTGATCTCACATTCATTAAATACGAGCGAGAAAGCCCTTTTAACATATATAATTATCTATTATTTTATGTGTATTATAAGCACATTAAAGTTTACAATTGTGAGTATAATTATTGATATTAATTACACGATATAACTAAATGTCAATAGTATATAAATTCTAAAATGATTTTCTACCATGCACCATGAACCATCTATAAAACTATAAAGTGAGTTAAAATATACATGCATCGGTAAACACTATAAGGACTGCTACATGAGCTCGGTTAGATGAAGCGTGAGATGTTTTAATTTTAAGGTATTGAAATAAGTCTTTATTAATAAACAAAATAAACAAAACAAGCAAATGATGTGGGATGATGATCACATATTACCATCAGAATCGTGTAATTTACTCATATCACAACCCATACCCTCCATAAAGTATGCGCTACTTCAAAGTTATTTCACACTTCTTTAAATCTTCGTTAGGCGCGCCATGTAAACAGCCCCTAAGCAACTTTGTATTGAAATTTAATTATTGCTACATTCACTACTGTTTTTAACTTTACAATCCTAGTTGGTTGAGAAATTTTGGCGTCAAATAGCTCGGAAAATATTGTCGAGAATTAAGTCAATTTTAACCAGAATTATCATCTTTATACGATAATATTGTATTAGGTTTTTAAAACTGAACTGATAATGTTGTTACAAAATGTCCTTCCACATTTTTTGCAATATTATATAGTGTTCACGCCAATTATAGCGAACAAGGTCCCCTCTGTAAAGACAATCCATATCGACAGAGATGTTCATCGCTTGTGAGAACTAAATTCAACAAACGTCGCCAATTTTGTGTCACTTTCTACATTTCCAGAAATTCAGCATAATTCCAGGATTTCGCAATCAAAGCTGGCTGCCTTGGCATGATAGAATTACATAAGGCACGATACAAAATTTGAAATTAGAGCAACTTCTATCTTACATATTGCAGTTGCGGACTTCGATTTAAGACGGGCAGAAACTGAATAGTTTTATGAAAATTTTTTCATAATTTTATATTACCTTTAACAGGTGCCCCAGTAATGTCATTTGAGCAATTAACCATTACACACTTGCAATATATTGTTTAGTTGCTGAAATGACATTACTGGGGAACCTGTTAAAGGTAATACAAGGTAATATAAACTGGGAAATACATGTATTCTTCCCGTCTTAAATCGAGGTTCGTAACTGCAATATATAAGATAGAAGTTGTTTTAATTTCAAATTTTGTCTCGTGCCTTATATAATTCTATTATATAATAACAAGGCAGCCATATTTGATTGCGAAATACTGGCATTACTATGAACGTTTATGGTAATTAACGTCCTGAATTTCTGGTTATGAATTATATCTGTCTTCATGGGAAGCCAAAACAGAATCTGGGTCATTTGTTCGTTTAGTTTTTTTTTTACTATTTCAATCACTGACAGAACAACATTCAGTTCAATATTTCATCAACACTTACAGTGGGATTTGCATTGCAAGAAGTCCATCAGAGATCTTGATTTTGGGATACTTTTATCATGCAGTGCTATGACTCAATATTCTTACTTATATTACGACTACATTAAGACATTGGAAAGAAATGTTAAAGGAATGCAATATTATATAGGAACGCACTTTAGGTAAAGTACGAAAAAAAGTGCTTACAGTAATTGCAAGATTGACCAACAATGGCGGAAGTCCAAGTGCTCGGTGATCGGCTACTCTACGCTCAACCCAGGTATGATATCGTGAATTAACGATGTACATCGCGATGAAGACATCATTGGACTGATGCAGACTAGCTGTGCCTTTGAGCTTATGGAAGTCTTGTGGCCAAACACAATTACTTTCAAAAACGTTTTCCTGGTTTTGTCAGTGGTCGTCGTTCAAGCTTGTGAGCGAAACTTTCCCGGCAGATTGGACAACGGGTACTGAAGAAAAACAAGTCATACCACATTATACGTCATTTACGGGCTATGAATTCCGGATGTGAACATGACCAAAGAAATTTATTTCTTCATTTAAAACAATCAGAAATTTTAGGAGTTTTTTTGTAAAACGTTTAATTGAATTCCTAACATTTCATTTACCAAGTTACAGTAAAACAAAACAAATAGGCTTTCGCACAACTCTACCCGCTGTTAAAGGAGAATGTTATTAATACGTACATTCCACTTCTGATCATTTGAGTTGCACATTCTTTGTGTACTTTATGAGAACACGGCAGAATCTGACATCCTGTGAAGGCGTCCTAAAGAAAACGTCCCCCAAATTGTTTATGATCCATTAAATAAAACATAAAGCTTAGTCACACGTCACTTATTGCAATGTATTACATGTAGGAACTAATTATAACATTGGTTCTCCTTGAATGCGAGAATTTAAAGTGAAAAACGGAAACTTAACCAAGAAATAAAATGTGGCAGTGAGAAACCTAACCAAGCAAATAAATTATTCTGCCGTACCTCCAAACATATGCAACATTCATCATGAGCAGATCCTTCACGACATTTATGATTTCCTCGAAGTTGGACATCCAGACACACACCACAAACATCACAATGGAAAGATCGATCACCATGAATTCTAAAATGGAACAACAACGGTGGAATTAATTATCTGTAGTGAGAAACACTGCATGTGGCTTAAGTATTTGTTTCCAACCATTGTTCCATTTGCTAACCTCTTGTAAAGCAAAGCAGAAATTTACTGATTCAACAAAATTCTGATTTAAAGAATTCCTACCTGCAGATTCCACATTTTTCACAATGATAAGGATGGTCATCTTTACCAGTTAAGTGCAAACACAAACCGCAGAAATAATTGGCAAATTTTGCATTGCAGTTACAGCAAAACTCTCCAAACTAGAAAATGAAATTGTAGGATTATACATACAAGGAATAGTGGGGTTAAAACATAGAACAAATGCAACATAATTCGCCCAAAGGTTTCCTTACTGGTTGCTCTTCGTTACAATAAACGCACTTCACCATCTTTGTGTCACGTGACTTAAGCTTTTTTTTTCCACAAGTACTTTGGTTGTTATGGCAACGATGACATGGCCAAAATTTATCACAACACTCAAATTTCACGTAACAGTGTCGTTTATAATGACTGCAAAGCGAATTATCATCCTGGTCAAGAGCCTGGTGGTTGTGAGAGGTCTTGGGTTTGCGAGAATTAAAGCCGATGTTACTTTTTGTATAACGACGTTTGGGTTTGGAAAGTTTTAAACCATTGCTACCAAATGTTTGAAGGTTTCGGCTGTTGTTTGGTAGTGATTGGTTTGTTTTTATCAACGGGTTTGCTGTCATTCTTCTCCTCTCGTCTGTCTCGTCTCGGTTTTAAACAGTAAAGGGGATATTAGCAATAATGTGAAACTTTATTTCAATTCGACTTAAAGTTATTTAGCAGCAAAAGATTGACGTTCATACATAGATATAGCGCTTTCTGCTACAATGCAACGATGGAATTGATAGGTTGTTATATGGAAATCTTACTCCAATTCTGGCGCCACAGAGCACAAGAATTGCGGAATCCAAATTATCCAATATATTTCAATTTGTTCTCTATTTCAAGTTTCTAAGTCTGAAATTGAGGCAATCGAGTAGAATTGGGAATGACGTTAAGCGGTATCTTTCTTTTCTCCTCAACTTTAGGGCCTTAATTCACTGTTAAAGTTACTTTTAGATAAAGCAGATTCCGCGCCATGTAACGTAATTCAGGAATCCGAATTCGAAATGCAATCATGTGCAGAATCCGGAATCCCAACTTTTCAATATGCAAGTTGTAATCCAGAGTCCAAGGGTGGAAACTGAAATTCCACGTAGTATGATCTGGAATCCAAACAATGAGATATAATACCACCTGGATTACCTTAAATTATGCGATACAGTAGATTGTATGAGTACAAAAGGAATACAAAAAACTTACAGGAAATAGCACCATCAGGAACGACCACGTCAGTAACTTTACTGGACGAAAATCCTGTTGCAATTGATTTGAGTTCTTGCTGTTCATGCGCTGCGGGTTGATTTTCATTTCGAGATCTAAAAGGAACTTTGGCAGTGGAGGAAGTATTTGAGTTTTTCAGAGAGGTTGGAAAAGCAGCCATGTTGCTGCCTAATGGTTTTCTTGTTGCTGGATCTCCGGCATTACCTCCTGCGGTTGGAATTGGGATCTCTCCATTAAAGATGCTCATATTTAAATATCTCGATGTGCTCCGACCAGCTTGGCGGACTTTTGGACTTGGAACTTGCCGAAGTAGACTATAATCTCCAAGAAGGAATAGATCAATCGTGTGCAGAAGATCATATCGGATAATGGATTTGAAAAAAACACAAAGATTACTTAAATCTTCAGCGTTTATAGCCCATTTTTCATCAAGTTTGAAGAATACATCAGAAGCATTTGAAACGTTCTCAATCGAGAAATTCTGACTTGCCCAGTCTTTGAGTTTTATAACTTCAGAAGAAAGAAGAATTTGAGACAGAGTGAGCAACAATATCTTGTAGTTGTTGTATAACATCGTAGCTACGGATGTTGATGGCTTATTACTCAGGGATATGACCTTTCTTCCATTGGAATCATCTTGTTGAACTGAGAATGAGAGATCTTCATCATTTTGGAGGGTCGGATTGCTTTGAACTTCAGATGAAATTTCCACGACACCTTTTCCACTTTCAATTTGCACCAATTGCAAATTTTGCGATGCTGTCTGAACAAATGATGTCGAGGCCGCCACGTTGATTGCTTTAGCTTCATTTCTCTGTCTACTGCTTGTCTCCCCTCGAAGTTGTTTTTGTGTTGCTGTATTTTCACCATTTCGGAATTCGTTCGCATTAGAATTAAAACAAGAATTTACATTGAAAGGTTGCTTTGAACGAACTCCTTGTGATGTTGGGAATATTTGCTGAAAATGTTTTGCTCTTTTTTCTTCGATTTCTTTGGCACTTTCTTTAAAAAGTAGTTCCCCAAGATCAGCCAAAACCTTTTGATATTCGGTAAATACAGTTTCTTCTCCGGATCCCTGACTGGGAATCTTGTTGTTCAACGCCCTTGCTTTCGTTTCCAAGCCCTCATCTTTGCCTTTCGATGATTTGAATTCGTCAAGTGTTTTTGAGTTCACACCTTCTGTCGTGGGCAATCCCTTTTTAAGATGAGCCAAAACCTCTTTGTTTTTTGTAGATACAATTTCCTCTCCTTGACTGGGAATCTTTTTGCTCAACACACTTTCTTCGGTTTCCATGTTCTCATGCTGTGCATCGTCGAGTATTTTTGCTCTTTCCAAATCTTCATCCAAAAAGGTATTTTCACGACCAGCATATTTGTGCAAAGGCGTGGCATTTTCTTCGTTTGCCGATTTAAGATACTTTTGGAACAAATCTAAGGAAATAAAAGTCTTTTTGTTTCAATATTGTGGAAGAGGTATAGGTGAATTAAACTCCATGTCGGTATGGAATAAAGATGAAAGTTATCCACAAATCTTACGAATTTCATCAATGAAATATTATGATGTTTTTCCTAGCAGTGGTGAAATTGATGTCGAGATCTGATCAAATCAAAATCTTGTAAAATAAGCAATTGCTCTTGAAATTAGCCGCAACTAGCGCGATATTTGGAAGGGATACTAATTTAAATAAATTATATTCTGTTCTGCCCGACGGGTGAATATGCACCCACCCACCCCAATAATTATCGCACTAGTTTATCGTTTCTAGGGTTTTGTAAGCGAGGGTTTATGTGTCAATGTGTTTCAATTGAAATTATTTAACTAAACTTAAAAAAAACATTTACTTGTAAATAGGCTGTTAGGTGAACCTATATCAGGATGCTCAGTGGATTTTGATCCAGGTTCAATAGGTTCATCATTCTTTTCTTTTCCGCATGCTTTATTTCCATCAACATTCTGCAGTTTGTTCTCTTTTTCAGGGTTCTCGTATTCTGTTGTTTCCCAGATTTTAAATCAAATGCCTTTATTAAATCGTTTATGTCATTGGTTACGTCGTTTGAACTGGTCTCAAGCAAAGGAGAAATATTTTCCGAAGAGCTCAAACTTTCTATCTCTTGTTGCTGTGGTTGCCTGTTTTCGATACTGGCGTCCTGAAAGCCTTCGCTAGTTAGAAAATTTGAAAGCTTGTTCATTTTTTCTTCTGTGAGGATTCCTCCCCCTCCATTGTAGTGAAATAATTCTTCCAAAACGTTTAGAGTTATCTCACTTGGCGATTTAACCATCTGTTCAACTCTATCCGTTAAATTCATAATCTCTTGGAACATTGGTTTTGTTTGAGAAAAAATATTTAGTATTTCATTTACGAGGATTTGATCATCATTTCTTTCACTTTCAGCCAATCGATTTAATTTTTTGCACGAAACATACTGTACAGCGCGATATAAACATTGTGTAAGTTTCAAAATGAGTTCACATTGATTTCTGGAGTCTTTGTCGGACGCCATGATATCAGGTAGTGTTGGAAACCTGAAAAAAAATATTAGTATCAGAAGCGTGGAACAATAAAGCAATTATAATAGGGTCAAATGACCATGCCGCTAAACTCGAATCCGGAAATAATGCTCACTGATACAAGTTCACCTTTCTTAATATCTGGTAAAGTACGCAGAGAGCGCTGACAGTCGTTGTTACAGCCGTCACTTCCGGCGGACGTACTTCCGGGTTATGAGCTTTTTAAGGCCCGTTTGTGAAGCACGCGGTAAGGATTGACATTTTCGAAGGCCTTTTGTCATAGTTAGTTTATCTATAACGTTTTTTCGCCAGACACCAGAGAGCCATCCCAGATATTTCACCGTTATGAAAATGAGAGTGAACGTGTTGAAACTCGAAGCCCCATAACCAGTTGACAGCCTTGGGGCTGGCATAGTGAAATATCTGTGCAGCGACTGAAAACAGCTAGAAATTGCGTTATGGAACCCCAGACATATCGGACAATGACAGAGTCAACCAGCCAAAACAGTCCTGTCTTGGACAAGAAAAACAAAAATACAAATACGATTGAAATTATCCACGAAAGCACCGACAAACATCAAAAGAGTCCAGAAGAAGTAACGGAGTATCGTCGAAGCACTAGAGAGAGAACACTAAGCCAAAAAGGTAAAGAATACCTCTTAAATCTGAAGAGAAATATATTCAAACAAACAACGCGTTGTCTAGTCGATAAATTGGCTTCGATTAAAACACAAGTAAGCACGCTAGAAGAGACACAGACTAGAGACGAAATTGATCAACTAGAGACTCTAGTTAAATAATTCAATCGAGGCTTAGACGAATTATTAAAACTGCTCGAACCTGAACAGCGTGAAAGTTATATAACAGAATGTCAAACCGTTTTAAACGACTGGCAAAATGTGAAAGCTTCGTTAGTCCTAAATATGCAAAAATATGAAATCGACAATATCCGGGCGCCTAATCCCCGGTCGTCATTACCGGAAGACAGAAAATCAACAACTTCCTCTGTTCGTACTACCTCTTCTATCCAAGAGAAAAGGCTAGAAGCCCGTGCTAAAGTAGCCGCGCTCCGAAGTAAAATGGTAGTAGAAGAGGAAATAATAGAACAAAAACTTACACCGAAGGTTTTTGAAGGTGACGAAATGGAATTTTTGCGTTGGGAATCTTTCTTGATGCCCTAGTTGCCTCGAACACCCATGATTCCAAGACCATGTTGCATTATCTATGCCAATTTCTGAAAGGAGAACCACTGAAGATGGTAGAACATTATCAGGACTTGCACCATGATGCGGATACTGCTTATCGTCGAGCCCGAGAAGAGCTGAAATACCGGTATGGCAATGCCAGCATTCTCACCGCGATTATCGACAAGAGGCTAACGAATTGGCCTAAAATTGGGAGAGACTACAACCGAGAACTTCTGCATTTTAGCGACTTCCTAAACCAAGTTGAGGTGGTCATGAGTAAGTACACCGCCCTAAAGTGCTTCGATTGTTCCAGAGAAATTGTGAAGTTGACAGAAAAACTACCTGGATGGGCACAGAACGAATGGAAACGGAAGGTGTGGAAATACAAACAGACCAACGGCGAGGAAAGTTTATATATATATATATATATATATATATATATATATATATATATATATATATATATATATATATATATACTGTTTTGTTTATAAAATGAGCTAAAAACTTTCTAAACATGGCTTTTATTTATGTCTGATTTATGTAACAGATATCTGTTAAAGTGCACTTTTTCAGAAAAGTCACTCCTAATTTGAAACATCAAACATTAGACCTCTTCATCACTTTTATCCACATCTTGACTCAAAAAAATCTGATGTATTAAATGAGAACAATGTTCTTGAATGATCCCATCTAATTTGCATACCAAAAGGTTTCAAATTCCTCGAATGCTTTAAAGCCCGCCGCACACGAGAGCTATCAGCTGAACGACCTCGCGAGGCAGTTAGCGCAGCCTGAAAACCATCCGCACACGTGAGAAACTTGTCTCTCGAGGCGAATTTTCTCACGAAAACTACCCACACACGACGGGGGTAACTTGCTGAGCTAACAACAACGTCCGGAGGTGACGCCGGGAGGTCTTTATCTCAGCTAATACTGTGCTCAAACATTTAATGCAAATAACTTTATTCACAGGCAATATACTGTGTTTTGCGCTTATTAACAATTATTAACCGTGGTCATCAATGCATCTATGTCCTGATTATTACTTTACTTTTTTTACCTTTCGTTTCACATCAGTCTAGAATGTAAAAAATCCGGCCCATGCATGATGAAATTGTGCAACTAATTCAACTAAATAAATACAGCAAGCAAATCTTCGGAAATTTTCCTATACTAAATATCGGACGAGAAGAAGAATAATGAGAAGGAAAATGCGTGGTTTATCATGTGATTATTAATATAAATTTTGAAATTACGCAGAATGTCACATGAAACAAATGCGTAAACATATATAAAGTACTTTTGGCCCCCTTGTCCTTCGCCTTCGTCTCCACGCAATAATTTAGACACACAATGTGTCGACTTCGTGTCGGTAAATATTCCAGAATAATCACCTCGCCTTTGGCGAATAATTGTTAAATATACCGCAGGAACCATAGCATACAAATAAATCAGTTGGGCAATGGACGAATTTACATGAACTGAATTGTAATGTTCTTCGTTAATACTTTTAATTTTCTTACCTTTTTTGTTTATTCCTTTTTTCTTAACTTGTCCCTGCATGTAGCGATATGATGTTCATTTTTTCGAAAATCGAAATCCCGTAATTTGCAGGGGACTCGGCTGTAACACACGGAATATGATAGTGTGGATATCTATATAGCCTACATGAATATATTATTGCGAAACGGACTATATCCTTGTATATAAGTGATAAGTAATAAGTTTTCCTTATTTAGTAAAGCCTTTCAATTTTTTTTCAATAGGTACATTTGTGGGACATTTGTACTGTAGGGTCTGGTTATTCGAAAGGCGTTTAACTTAAACGGTAGACAAGTTCAAAATGGAAAACAAAATTATGGATTTATTGAACAACCGGGTTGAAATATTTTGTTGCAGATAGTTTAATTTTCGGTGGAAGTACAAATTAAACGCATAAGATGCAAGTTCAGTCATTCACAAGATCTATAAGAGTATTTTTAAACTTTGGCTTATCCACCGTTTAAGCTTTTCGAACAACGCTTTTCGAACAACCGGCCCCAGCTATTTAAGAAATTTATCCATAAAAAAGTATAGGCTATCTTTAAAACCAGGAACGGGGAATCGAAATAGGGAACGTGGAAGGAAACGAGGAATGATAAAAAAAGGGAATGGGAGAAGCCGGAATCTTTAAAACAAAGAATGAGAAAAGCCGGAATCTTTAAAACCAGGAATGAGAAAAGCCGGAATCTTTAAAACCAGGAATGAGAAAAGCCGGAATCTTTAAAACCAGGAATGAGAAAAGTCAGAATCTTTAAAACCAGGAATGAGAAAAGCCGGAATCTTTAAAACAAGGAATGAGAAAAGCCGGAATCTTTAAAACCAGGAATGAGAAAAGCCGGAATCTTTAAAACCAGGAATGGGAAAAGCCGGAATCTTTAAAACCAGGAATGAGAAAAGCCGGAATCTTTAAAACCAGGAATGGGAAAAGCCGGAATCTTTAAAACCAGGAATGGGAAAAGCCGGAATCTTTAAAACCAGGAATGAGAAAAGCCGGAATCTTTAAAACCAGGAATGGGAAAAGCCGGAATCTTTAAAACCAGGAATGGAAAAAGCCGGAATCTTTAAAACCAGGAATGAGAAAAGCCGGAATCTTTAAAACCAGGAATGGGAAAAGCCGGAATCTTTAAAACCAGGAATGAGAAAAGCCGGAATCTTTAAAACCAGGAATGGGAAAAGCCGGAATCTTTAAAACCAGGAATGAGAAAAGCCGGAATCTTTAAAACCAGGAATGAGAAAAGCCGGAATCTTTAAAACCAGGAATGAGAAAAGTCAGAATCTTTAAAACCAGGAATGAGAAAAGTCAGAATCTTTAAAACCAGGAATGAGAAAAGCCAGAACAGTAAACATGTTGCAATGTCTGCAAATTTAAGTAGTTTAATCATTATAGATAAGTCCTCCCATGCTATATAATTCACCATCCATCAAGATTCTAATCGCTCTCGAACATTGTAATTCCTCTCTATTTATAAAATAAAATCAATATATGGTATATTACTTTTTTACCAATTACTAACTTCAGTGCAGTCTCCCATTAATTTGGTTTTGAAATAGTCATTCATTTTTTTGACCTGGTGGCTTCTGGCAGTGTTTTGTATTATTAGTATTTGAATTTGAACCTTTAGTTAAGGCTGGTTATTACGGGATCAAATGTGGTATAGAAACTAGACAAAATGTAAACACAAATTCCGAATTGGCAAGATATCTTGAGAATCAATATTTGAATCAAACAAGACACAGCTTGAAACGGTATATTTTCCACTTTATTTCGAAGTCATCTTCAGAGTTCAGACAGAATGAAATACAATACTTCACAACACACACACATATATATTCAACGTAGAGCTAGAGCATCAATTTATCGGAAGTCAGATGAATCCAAGCGAAGCGAAAAGCTCTTGTTTGGTTTAAATATTGATTCTCAAGACAAGATGTCTTGTCTCTTCGGTGTTTGTTTTTTACTTTAGTTCTTTAAATTGTCGGCGGTCGTGGTTCTTAGACAAAACCTTTCTCGGGTCAAGCTTCCGTTCGGAGAGTTTAACTGAATTTTTCAATGCTGTAAAAGCCAATCAATGTCCTTAATTTCGATTCTTTTAAATATGCGTATATCGATATATTCGTTGTTTTTAGAGATTAACCGCATACAAGGGTCGGTATACTGAAGGGTGAGCATTGCAATCTCAGATGTCTACGAATTTAAGTAGTTGAAAAGGTAACATATACATATGATGATCGCAATTTCGAAAATCAGATGAGGACAGTAGGGCTTACCAAGAAAATCTAAGCACTCCTCATGATAGACCTAAATCTTCTGGATCTGAATATTGCAAGTCATATGGCAAAAAAACGTTTAAGGTGTATAGGAGCGTATTCCGACTTCTGCTATTGACAGTATTGTGCTATTGTTGCCCTACTTGCTATTCATGTCAATACAATTTTCCGACAGGAAACCTAAAAACCGAATTTGGTCCTCTCTGAAAAAAATAATACAGAACACACGCGGGGTAATATTATTCTTTTAGGTTTAATTAATTCGCCAGTAAATTAGAATAACATATATGTTTATACAAATAACAAATTACCAAACAGACGACTGGCAGGAGTTAGATGCAGGACTGATGTCCCAGTTGCCATCCCACCCCAATACATGCATCAATACAATACATCAATACAATACACTTTTCCCAACATGTTTATCTGCAACCTGTTAATCATGCAGGTGCTTCCCCAATTATTTTTGCTCGGAAAATGCTTTTTATTAAAGCATTGCATGGGACAAGTATATATAGCTAATATAGGCACGCGATATTATTATTGAATCAAATGTAAGAGACATCGATTTAATTTTGAGCAATTTTATCTTTGAAGCGCTGTGATTTTTGTTAAATCCGTGCCTAAAATTAATTCATAACAAAATTGATAATCGAAAATTATACTAATTGCGCACATAACAAATTTGGTGCGTGTACATTATATGCATGGTAACAATATAGACATTAACACACAGTCATGCACTAATGACACTGTATTATAAGAAGAACTAGTACAAACGCCTCAAAGCTGACCATTAAACCTCCATTTAGATATCAATCTTTTTGTATTTGTATGTGTTTGCCTTTAGAAACACTTTCACGATCAATTTGCCTTTAGCAACATGATCAAAGATTAACTGAGTAAAGAATACATTGGTCATATGATTGTGACATCGTAATTCCATGGAAAGGCGGAAAAGCCACGTAGCTACATGCATGCAGTACAACACATAATTATAAGCCTGGTTTCTATACAACACCGACCTGTCGCATTGTTTTTCAGGAAAACGTTTTGCAGAAAATTACATAATGACATTTTTATCAGATTTTGACATCTATCTTGTGAGTTACAACATAGCTTTCGTGAAAGGCGTTCATGTTATATAATTATATTTAGTTATTGCAGCTAGTGCAACAATTGTCTCAAGACGATAGTCTGATGTATAATCTTTTTAGACTTCGCAAAACCATTTGATAAAGTTTCAATTTGCATCATATTCGTAAACTACATTGTTTATGGCAGCTTATAAAAGAACGTATTGTCATTGTTGAAGAAAAGTTTAAGTGGAAGGTTGTTACCCCAGGGAGTATTTTAGGATAACTGCTGTTCGTTATTAATGATATTCGGTTCCTGCATCAGGTCTAAAACAGAAATCCTCGCAGACAGTGTCTCATTCCGAAAGGTTGTAAGTCGAGCAGATTGCATTCCTAATGTTTCAGCACATAGACGTAGAGTATGGGGGGCTGAGGGGCTGGAGCCCCCCGAGAAATCTTACTGAGGGGGCTGAGCCCCCCTAGAAATTTTCCAGAAAGTAATAATTGCATCAGAGCAATGTTGAATCTTTCAAAAGGCATCTTTATATACACATGAAACGGTATTATTACAGTGAATATAGCAACGAAATTACAGATTTGGAGCTAACAGTTAAGAAAGAGATCCCCCAACTTATTAAGGATTAAGGAATCCTTAAGGTTAATATTAAGGAATATTAAGGTTTAATCAAACAACGGGAAATATTAGAGCAATTTTGTGTCTTATTAACTGTGGCAGTTAATAGTTTTTTTCACAAATGTATATTTCATATTGAATTATAAGCATATAGTAGTTATAACAATTAAGTACATTGATATTAATTAAATACATTGAACGATTACTAAATGTGCAAATTATATCATTTGCTTAACATTTTCTACAACTATAATTAAAACTACTTAAAATCCTTGCCACTGATATGACGACAAACTGAATGGATAAAAGTATACTGAAAGTATACCAGTCTTTGAAAAATAAAATCAGAAAAGGTGACCTAGTTCCAGAAACGCAAAACAGAGCCAGAGAAAAAACTTTATGGGAGGCGCTCCCAACTGAACTCGTGACTTTAAGATCATGAAATATTTTAAAAGACTGGCCGTTAAAAAGTATCTTGGTTAAAAAATGTGGTTTCCAATGAAAATGAGTGGCTACTGGAGCTCCGAAATCATAATATAGACTTCTTTTCATATTGGTATAGTTTTCGTATGCATGCAGTGTATCACCAGATCAGTGCTCTGGACTCATGTAAATAAATTTTGTATAACTTTTTTCCTTTAAATTCATTCATATAGAACTGACAGAACAAACACATTGGTTATATATCTAGAAAATATCTATCAATAGTCAATTAATGATGAATATAAGATACAGTTGAGATATGAAGTACACGTTAAATGACAGTAATTGTGAGAATGGCCAGCAAGGTAAGAAATTCAAGTGCTCGTTGACCTGCTGCTCTACGTTCAACGCAGATATGGTATCGTATTCAACATCCAGTTTGATGACGATATCATTATAGGCTCAGTGGCGAATCTAGCGGTAGTCAGTTAAAATTACACAGCTAAATTTTAAATTCACAAAACACAAGAATAACAATGTTATTGGTGATGGATTTCTAAAGAATATTTTTAAATAAAAATTGACTTTTATAAAATAAAAATTAATAAAAATTGCGATTTTACTAAAGCTTTAGTAATATATTCAGACTATCCCTAGTTCCGCCACTGACTGAGATGATCGCAGACCTGTGCAAGCCGCGTCGAGCTTATGAAAGTCTTGCGGCCAAACACAATTACTATCAAAAACGTTTTCCTGGTTTTGTCAGTGGTCGTCGTTCAAGCTTGTGAGCGAAACTTTCCCGGCAAATTGGACAACGGGTACTAGATAAAAACAAGTTAGTATATATAAATTGTTTCGAGGGCAATTTTAATACAAATGGGTATGACAAACCCCGCCCGCTTTTAAGGCCTAATTTTAGGATTTTCTCGACTTCCCGCTCTGTCATCGCTAAAGTCTGGCTCAAAAATCCAGAGAATGCTAATACGGTACTTACATTCCACTTCTGATCATTTGAGTTGCACATTCTTTGTGTACTTTATGAGAACACGGCAGAATCTGACATCCTGTGAAGGCGTCCTAAAGAAAACGTCCCGCAAATTGTTTATAATCCATTAAATAAAACATAAAGCTTCGTCATTGTCATAAATAGTGTATATATGTGAAGTTCTTGAATGTGAGAACTGAGAATGTGGCGGTGAAAAACACGAAGCAAATAATTTATTCTGCCATACCTCCAAACATATGCAACATTCATCATGAGCAGATCCTTCACGACATTTATGATTTCCACGAAGTTGTACATCCAGACACACACCACAAACATCGCAATGAAAAGATCGATCACCATGAATTCTAAAATAGAACAACAACAGCGCAATTAACAATCTTTGTTATTTATAACAGGAGAAACTAACGCTATCTTAAGTATTCGAAGTCGTTTCTAACCATTGTTCCGTACTGCTAACTCTTGTTAAGCAAAGTAGAATTTTACTGATTCCACAAAATTCTCATTTACACAATTCCTACCTGCAGATTCCACATTTTTCACAATGATAAGGATGGTCATCTTTACCAGTTAAGTGCAAACATAAACCACAGAAATAATTGGCAAATTTTGCATTGCAGTTACAGCAAAACTCTCCAAACTAGAACATGAAATGAAAAAGATTAAAACACAGAACAGATCCGACATAATTCGCACAAAAGTTTCCTTACTGGTTGCTCTTTGTTACAATAAACGCACTTCACCATCTTTGTGTCACGTGACTTAAGTTTCTTTCTTCCACAAGTACTTTGGTTGTTATGGCAACGATGACATGGCCAAAATTTATCACAACACTCAAATTTCACGTAACAGTGTCGTTTATAATGACTGCAGAGCCAATTATCATCCTGGTCAAGAGCCTGGTGGTTGCGAGAGGTGTCGGGGTTGCGAGAATTGAAGCCGTTGTTACTCTCTTTATCACGACGTTGGGGTTTGGAGTGTTTTAAACCATTGCTACCAAATGTTTGAAGGTTTCGGCTGTTGTTTGGTAGTGATTGGTTTGTTTTTATCAACGGGTTTGCTGTCATTCTTCTCCTCTCGTCTGGTTTTAAACAATAAAAGGGATATTAGCAATAATGTGACACTTTTACTCAATTCAACTTAAAGTTATTTAGCAGCAAAAGATTGACGTTCATACATAGATATAGCGCTTTCTGCTACAATGCAACGATGGAATTGATAGGTTGTTATATGGAAATCTTACTCCAATTCTGGCGCCACAGAGCACAAGAATTGCGGAATCCAAATTATCCAATATATTTCAATTTGTTCTCTATTTCAAGTTTCTAAGTCTGAAATTGAGGCAATCGAGTAGAATTGGGAATGACGTTAAGCGGTATCTTTCTTTTCTCCTCAACTTTAGGGCCTTAATTCACTGTTAAAGTTACTTTTAAATAAAGCAGATTCTGCGCAATGTAACCTAATTCAGGAATCCGAAATGCAATCATGTGCAGAATCCGGAATCCCAACTTTGCAATACGCAAGTTGTAATCCAGAACTCAAGGGTGGAAACTGAAATTCCACATAGTATGATCTGGAATCCAAACAATGGGATATAATACCACCTGGTTTACCTTAGATTGTGCGATAGATTGTAGGAGTACAAAAGGAGTACAAAAAACTTACAGGAAATAGGACCATCAGGAACGACCACGTCAGTAACTTTACTGGACGAAAATCCTGTTGCAGTTGATTTGAGTTCTTGCTGTTCATGCGCTGCGGGTTGATTTTCATTTCGAGATCTAAAAGGCACTTTGGAATTGGAGGAAGTATTTTGGTTTTTCAGAGAGCTTGGAAAAGCAGCCATGTTGCTGCCTAATGGTTTTCTTGTTGCTTGATCTCCGGCATTACCTCCTGCGGTTGGAATTGGGATCTCTCCATTGAAGATGCTCACATTTAAATATCTTGATGTGCTCCGACCAGCTTGGCGAATTTTCGGGCCTGGAACTTGCCGAAGTAGACTATAATCACCAAGAAGGAATAGATCAATCATGTGCAGAAGATCATATCTGATGATGGATTTGAAAAAAACACAAAGATTACTTAAATCTTCGGCGTTTATAGCGCCTTTTTCATCAAGTTTGAAAAATACATCTGAAGCATTTGAAGCGTTCTCAATCGAGAAATTCTGACTTGCCCAATGTTTGAGTTTTATAACATCAGAAGAAAGAAGACCTTGAGCGAGAGTGAGCAACAATATCTTGTAGTTGTTGTATAATATCGCAGCCACGGATGTTGATGGCTTATTACTCAAAGATATGAACTCTCTTCCATTGGAATCATCTTGTTGAACTGAGAATGACAGATCTTCATCATTTTGGTGGCTCGAGTTGCTTTGAACTTCAGATGAAATTTCCACGACACCTTTTCCACTTTCAACTTGCGCCAAATTTTGCGATGCTGTCTGAACCCAATATGATGTCGACGCTCCCACGTTGATTGCTTTAGCTTCATTTCCCTCTCCGCTGCTTGTCTCCCCTCGATCGCGAAGTTGTTTTTGTGTTACTGGACTTTCATTTTCACCCTTTCGGGATTCGTTCGCATTAGAATCGAAGCAGCTTGCTTCAAGACGTTCGGAACGAGCTGGTGTTTTGTAGCTTGGCTTCGGATCATCTGATCTTTCATTGCTGACAATTAGACCTTGCGATGTTGGGAATATTTCATGAAAACGTTCTGTCCATCTTTCTGCGCTTTCTTTTGCATTTTTTTCAAAAAGTAGTTCACCAAGATCAGCCAAAACCTCCTGATGTTCGGTAAATACAATTTCCTCTCCTTGACTGGGAATCTTTTTGCTCAACGCACTTTCTTCGGTTTCCATTCCCTCGACCTGTGCTTCGTAAAGTATTTTTGCTCTTTTCAAATCTTCATCCAAAAAGGTATTTTCACGACCAGCATAATTGTGCAAAGGCTTGGCATTTTCTTCGCTTGGCGATTTAAGATACTTTTGTAACAAATCTAAGGAAACCAAAGTCTCTTCAAGTGATGCTTTCGCTTCGGAAAGACCATTTAAGAAATCGGAATTCACTTTTTGATCAACCGCATTTGAGAAAACTGATGCGCTTTTTTCTTGCCCATGTTTGGTTGAAGAATCGTCGAAACCAAAATCTAGATCGCCTTTAGAGAAATGAAGCTCTAGTTTGGTATTCCTTCTGGATAGTGATTCCCATGCGCTCAGTAACGAATCTTCAATACCGCGGAGAAAACCTCTGAAGAGATTCCATCGATTATTTTATCTGATTTGCCATGTTTGGTGCTGTATTCCTGCCATGTTTGGATGCTGGTATCACTGGTATGGCCATTTTCTGCAAACTTTACTTCAAAAGTTTAAGGACCTAAAAATATAAGTTATATTCTATAATTATAGAGTTGCATATAATATATAGCAAACTGACATGCGAGGGCGCTTTAAATCGATATTACTCTCAATTGAGTGGAAAATGACCAAATGGCTAAATTTTTATGGAGAAAAAGTTTGAAAGGCAGGAAAAAAAATCAAGAGTGACATGCATACGTATATATCCACATGTATACATTTACTGCTCGAGATTCAACAGTGTTACTTGACGTTGCTAAAGACCCTAAAAAGTTTCAGGTGGTGGAGTTGCTAGACAACATTTAGTTCCAGTCAAGAAGGTATTTTTCACCTCAAAGAAAAGCATTTCTCTATTTTCAAGGCAGCGCTATCGATTATGTTATCTAGGAAACGCGTGTAGGTGTTTTGTCTACATTGCGACCACGTTTTGGGCTGACCAATGCCAATTACACCCTTTAGGAGTGTTTAAGTGAACTTTCGCGGTTTCCATTTTTCGCTGTTTCTTCCGATTTATTCCGACTGTGTTATTTTTATAAGCTAATCTGGTTTAAATTTTTTTTGGAGAATCTTTTCGGAAAAATTTTTGCCTATCAACCAAAATGTAGCAATAAAATATACGAATTTGCATGGTCATGTTTTATCCACTACGATTGATGCTGTTCAGCGCAACCGCCGTGAAATAATTTAGGTAGCATTAGTTTCATTAAAAATCACGGTTAAATCAGATGCCATTCCATCATAATAATTCTTGCAGCACAATGCTTGCTCTGCACCATTTCAAGAGCATTTTCTACAAGTTAACCAGTTACTTCGTCCAAATTCAAATAATACATCCTCGATTTAGAGATTTGGCCTGATTTTTCGATTACTTGCCAGTATTTTTGAATGGGAATGAATCAGAAGAGCGCCTTTTTTGTTGTTCGTCGATCATTAATTCTTTATCCATCCATCCATCCATCCATCCATCCATCCATCCATCCATCCATCCATCCATCCATCCATCCATCCATCCATCCATCCATCCATCCATCCATCCATCCATCGATCGTTGTTTGTTGGATTTCAACAGCAGTATCGGCAACAACCTGGGCTGTTATATTTAATACTTCAAAGCAAAAACACAAAATAATAATTGAAGAAGTTAAAACTTAACCGATTCCTCGGACTAAAGGGCATAATCAAGGCAAGCAAAAGTCAACCGTTCGTGACAAATTTCTCAATTGTCAAAAAATTGATGTATAATTTGCAGAATTGGTTAATTCATGTTTGCCCTAATAAATGGCATTTAGCCAGAAAGATCAGTCAAAGTTTTAACTTTCTAACTTTACCTCCGTTTGCATTACATTCAATTTCTCAGCACCGCACGTCACGGCTAAAATAGGTAGCTACCTGTGCCCAATTTCATCTTTGCCCGGCCTTTGTATTGGTAGCCTAAACAGAAATAAATTGGGCACTTGCAAGTGTTCCAATTGCAGCCGTGCCACGCCAATAAATTGAGTGTACCGTAAACGGGGCTTATATTTTGTGTATATTTGCTTTTATTAAATATAATTAGCCAGAAGATGCGATTTGTCGATTTATCGTGTAGCTCCCGAATGACTCTCCTCAATTACATCAGATTTTTATTGTGATGGATCATCCCAGTGATAAACTTCGCCGAGTATGTTTCGAGGCATCCAGTACTACTAGAGATCCGATTCTGAGGTTTTCAACAAGGAAACTAAAAGGCATATCCTCTGTGTAAATATTCCTTTTTGGCTCAGCAGTTGCAAAGACCATAAAGTTGCGATGTAACTTCACAGTTACTTTAAATTTTAGTTTTAGGCACACAGCTTTATCCAAAATATCACTTGGTTGCTTCAATTTCTTCCTCAGTCAAAGAACAGTTAGAACAAACTAATAATCGACCTTCAGGAACGGTTTGTGCCGCCGTGTCTCTTTACAGACCTGATTATTTCATGCCAAGCTATTATTGGCCATGAATAACATAATTATTGCCATAATCAAGACAAAATATCGATCCACACCGATCCAAAATACTGAAAATTGGATGAAGACATGTTCACTTCTTCTCCTTCAACAAAAGGAGCGGTTTCAGTAAACTTTGTATTACGCAGTTCACGTAGTAAACTTTAAATTCGTATCAACAAGGAACGTTCGACCGATACATGAAATTATCTCGAGATTTCTGTATTAATCAGTTCAGTTCTGCTTGAGTGTTGTTCATGATTTCAATATATCCGCCAATGTTTTTAGCTAAGCAAAGTGTGTTAACATATAATTTTGTCCCTCACAAGTGACGGAGACTAAATATAGCAGCAGAGAACACCATTCATATGTCTTGGTTTGTAAATACCAAGCCAAAATGGCAATTCTATTGTTTATCTTTCCGGAGCGCAAAAACAAATAGAGTTTTCAATAGTGGAACATTTTATGGTATTAGGAACATAAGAATTTCAATCCCACTGGTTTTTCAATATTTTATCCTCGCGGTATATTTGAATATCCTGAACAAAACGAATACTTTGTGCCAACGTGGAGTTAAACCATTCCATTCCAACAGATTGACAAGTGAATTGTGTCCCTTACAAGTGACGTATGTAATAAACCAAATAACAGAGAACGTCTTTCATAAATCTTTGCTTGAACATGGATACCATTACGCAGAAATGCTATTGCTGTTATTTTCCCGGAGTGCAATACGAATACAGCTTTCAATAGTAGCACATTTTAATGCCATTTTTCTTCCACATTCTGTCCCATATTTTTGGACCCATTCTTTCAAAGATGATTCAAAATCAATAATGAAATATTTCTTCATCCATTAATCAGATAATCCGAAAGATCATAAAAAATGTTCGCAGAATTTCTTTCGCAGAATTTCGCGACACAGTGATCATTTTTAACAATCCATATAGCAATCCAAAAACATATAGCATATAAATGTTTTTCCCATATGGCAATCCAAAGGTCAATACAAAATAGCGTTCCATATAATAACAATATGATTCAACAAATGAATTTTTCCCCATGACCAAACCCGTTCCAGTTAAATTCTTTTTCTTTTGTTATACCGTGTATACAATCTTTGCAAATGCTTTCAAAAATTTCTTGAACAATGGCAGATTATGGCGCAGATAGATAAACAAAACAAATGAGTAATTCTAAACAATATTAGAAAATAAAGCATTTAATTCAATGACAAAAACTTGAAAGTCATAAATACCTTGACCACTTACACCTATAAGATGCAAAATACATGGGAACCATGCAGTGGCGTAGCCAGCCTGATGATTTTGTCCCGCTATGTAAATTTCGAATTATTATAATTATTCACATCTTTAGAAATCTGTTGTTTTCACATGCAGTCAATGGCCACCAAAATATTAGCATGGCGGGACTGGCTACGCGACTGTCGTGAACTAGAAATACATAGATGCGATAACTAGCTAATTAATACAAGTTATATTTTCTTTGACGCAAGACTGACGCGCCCGGCGATGTCACAAACCTTTAGACTACGATTTTATATTTTCAAATTTTACACTTATGCCGGCTCACATATTGCTGAGCTGCCTTAGATGCTGTTACATGACCGAGTTACCCGAGATTCAACGAAGCGCGAGAGGACTTCGAGGTATTGAAATAAGTCTTTACGACACCAAACAAGCACATGCTATTGTTGTGGTGATTATACGACGGCCAGGATCATGTTATCTGCTCATTTCAATACCTCAAAATCATCTCATGCTTCGTTGAATCTCGGGTAATCTCATGTAAACAGCCCCTCAGCAGTCCCTAGATATTTTTTCGCACTTCAGCCTTTTAATTTCTGTGTTGTTGCATCGTCAAATGCTTTGAGACTAGCTTGTTGACTAATTGCTAGTGTCTTATTTCTAATAAATAAGTAATTTATCTTGTAGGTACACCACGTAAGTAGCTATTTAATACTGCAAAGCTTGACCCGGGCCTTCATTAGTGCAATTACCTGAATACACATTCACACGTCACTTAAATATCACGTTAATCGTGATTTGTTAGCTCGCGCCATTAATCAAACGGTTTCACTTACAAAAAAATTATGAAAAATAAATAGCTCTAATTAATGCGCGTGTCAAACCATATAGCAGAAACCCGGATTTATGGCCATTTTCCACTTGGTGGGATTTTGGGCGCGGAGTGAAATTCTTCCTTCCAAATAAAAAATCCGCTCCCGGCGCAAAATTTGGCCGAGTGGACAACAACCCGTATACAGTATACGTAGGGTGTAGGTGTTTCAAAAATTTTGAAACTGAATCAAACTTATCGCTATGTTTTCCCAGGCGAATTCGCCTGAGAGGACTTAGTACCCTCGCAAGCGATCATACGCGCAGTTAATTTGAGAGAAATTAACCAGCTGCCTGAGTTGCAAATTAAATATTATAATTTTGGCCCGCAAAATACACCGCAATGCCCGCCAAAGTTAATATAATGTCTTTTATATATATATTTCTTTGGTTCCCTCTCATTACTCCCCCTTTCTAAAAGGCCCACTAGGAAGTTCTGACTAGAATAGGCAACCACGAAGAACTAAACAGAGGTACCATAAACAGAGGTATACTAACAACATCCTATATACTTGAACTATATTGATCATGATCAGTCCTGTTTTTATCAACCGCGAGAACAACCTGTAGTCAATACGATAACGACAAAAACAATATTTATCGATACATGCAGTAATGTGCTATTCAAACATAGAGTAACTTACTCGCTTTTCATGGTTCCCTTGCTTCGTTTCCACTGTTTGAATGGAAAACAAACTCTTACGTATTTTCATATATTTTCACTCTGACATATTTTCAACTGTATATCTTTTAGAAACGTCTTCTCCAAAGTAGCGACTGACTTTGAACTTTCTGCTTCGCACACAAATTATTGACATCCGTCACATCAATTGACATTATATTATAGAAATGCATAATAACTACTTATATCACTCCGTACTAGTGCCATTTGTTGATCCAGGCAAAACGAATCTATAATATATGTAAATGATAAAATGTAAGCCTTATATGTAATTTTATACCGGGTATACCAGCCTATATTATATTATGGTCTTCATCCCTCTTCTGTACTTGGCTATATAGAAAAAAAACTTTATATCTGGGGGATCAAAACTATGCATGGACATTCAAATACATATATGATCTACATATACATAAAACTAACCTGATTTATACACGCAACTTTCACTCAACTTATACGTCGGTATAAGTACATCCATGCACGCAGCATTACACCTATCAATTCTGAATACTAAAGTGCGGAGGAAGCAATTAGTATGAGTATGCTAAAGAAATAACAACCATTATGTAAAGAGAATCCCACGACAACTCAAAGAAGAGAATCATATTCAATAACCTGAACTGTTTAATTGTGTTTATTTCCACTGTATAAATGTTAAAAAATATTACCTTCTTCATCATGTCCAAATTCCAGTTCAATCTTCTTTGATATAATTAGGAATATATATAAAATATGATTAATAAAACGTATATATTTTACAAATCTACATTTATTTATTCTCCAAAAATAAGCCTTCCAATAAGGCCACCGCCTGCAAGGACACTCCTTTACATTGCTGAAAACTCAAAAGTAATATTTGAATTAGCTCATGCACGCATGTGATCCTTATACAATTTCTTATTTCTAAAACCAAAATCAAGAAAAAGATTTTACTAACCTATAAGTTAAGCTTGTTTTTCTTTCTATAGTGTAGTGTCCTTGAGGGGATTTAGTTAATAAGTCATATGCGCAATGAATATAAAAGTAAAGGTATACTTCCAACAGAAGCTTATACCTACATGCAGGCAACTTACAGACATAATCTTGTTGCATACCTATAAAACGACGCAAAATTAAAGACAAACATTTTATGTTTTACAAAATTATACACTTGCATCTTTCTCTTTCGATGAATCGACGGTTCGGGAGCGATTAACACTGATCTTTGTCTAAGAAACTAAAAATACCTGCATGCGATCTTCTTTGGCAGAAATTTTGCTTGACACCATACGCGCAGCTTTTAAAATGGAAAATTTGCTATTAAAATTAAAATTAAAAAAAAAACGTTGCTTTACTGGGCCAAAGCAAAGGATTAATTTTCAACGCTCGGAACATCGGTCAAGTTGGAGCCAAATTTGGGCTCCAATGTTCATCAAAGCGCCGTAAAAATTGCGTCTTTTACCTCAAGCCAAAGCACTGTCATGTATTAGTGTTACGCCTTCTACTCTCAGCTGCAGGCTTCATTTCGATGCCTGTTTTGGACTTCAAAATACAAACGAATAATGCGCTCTAAATATTTCAAATCTGCGAAATTAGAAAACGAGTCTTACGATTCTCTCAAGTCTTCAACGGCTTAATCGCTAACAATTTCGAAGCATGAAAGCAAAAATCATTTCACTTTGCGATTCCAAACTGAAACATCCTGCTCCCCTGTTGCAGCGGCGTAGCCAGCATCGATAAGTTGGGGGACATATTTATATATTCATGTTCACAGACCATAAAAACAATGAATTTGAAAAGAAATTAATAGTGTAAAACACGAATATATGAATATAGCCCGTTTACACTACACTCGATTAAAGCCCCGTTTACACTACACAAAATTTATTGGCACGGCACAGCTAAAATGGGTACCCGTGCCCATTTCATCTGCGCTCGGCCTTTGTTTTGGCAGCCTGAACACTAATAAATTTGGGAACAGGTACCAATGTTTGCTGTGCCGTGCCGATAAATTGAATGTAGTGTAAACCAGGCTTATGTCCACCACACCGTTATAAAGCTGGCGACGCCACTGACCTGTTGTACTCGTGAAATATACAATGACGTGTAAAGAACAGTATATGTGAAGAGTGGTAAATAAAACTTTTCATTTTAATTTATATAATTATAAGTTATCGATAGCCGCGTGCATGGAAGACGTTTTAAAATTGTCAAAATAGGCAAAACATTCTGCTTGCGAGCTGCAAACTAATACATTTTGCACTAATACTAATGCACTAAACGTTAAACATATGAAAGCCAAGCATCTCACGAACAAATTTGGTTGTCTCAGCCAAGTGGAAACGATAATCATATCGTTACTTTAAATCGCTAATAAGGGTATAACTCCGTCGGTGCATGTTAACAATCTAAGTAATACGAGCTGTAAAATTCCATGCAGTCTGCCATGCAGACCCAGGATATTATGTCAACATGCATCTTCGACTTCGGTTAAACAGTTTACGTATTTCGAAAGTGCGTATTCAAATTGAACCGCAATACCCGGTCAAAGCTGCATGAGAAATCTCATATATCAAAATATATGTTTCACCTCGTGATATTGGCATATTAAATTCCCACCCGTCTGCAGGGAAATATTCCTGCAATATTGGCGGGAAGAAACAAAATTGAATATCGACTATTTGTGCCATAGAGAAACCGGAGTACCAAAAGATGTTTATACGCTTGGAAGTTTCTTTTAAAAAATACAGTCAATACATTAGCAGATAGTTATATAAACAGCACTTGTAATACGGTCAAAACGCTGAAATTGTTTTACCCCCTCGAATGATGCACGTACTCACCCATAGCAACCATATGCTTTTGGAAATTCCGCGTATTTTTTACCCGCACGTATGACCTGTTATCTTCCCAACTGTCTGAATTTTACTTTTTATCTTTCGGTTATAATTATGAGAATTTTTAAAGCAGGATGTGCAAAAGAAACAGAGAAATTGCTCTTTCAGTTCCCAGTCACAAGCGTTGCTAAGCGTGGTTGTGATGTCGTTATTGTCGTTACGCCCGTTTGAAAATTTGCATGACAACGGGATTAAGTCTTGCCTTTCACGTGATGTTTTTTTAACAAATCAGATTCCGGAACAGTTAACTATAAAACTTCGTAAAAATAAAAATGCTGCCACTTTGCCTTTGGATTATTTGACTGCAGAAATTGTGATAGCTACTTTTGCCATATTTAATTAAGCGTGTGGTATATGCGTGTAAAAAATCGAGAAAAATGTCAGTTCTTAATGCTTGATTTTGAAGCCACAGATATTAGGATAATCTCAGAAAGGTAAGCTAAAGTACATTTGTCGACGGTTTCTGTTGGGGTTTTTGTACTATTGTGAACATTTACGCTTCCAGTTGATATATAATATTGAATAATATATAAATCTCATGGATATAATTATGCATTTATAATGAGTTTTCGCCGATTGGCAAGGTAATGTTCCAATTATGTTTCGGGCAGTATATCAGACAAGTATTAGCACAGGGATCGCATGTTTACAACGTAACGAAACAATTCGAACCAATCAATCTTCAATTGTCGTCGGATCCGAGTTTAGGCATACATATACATATTATTTTTTTCCTAATGAAAGGGGATTCCCCCAAACGGATTGGGTTTTCCCCATTTGTGAACAAAATATTACTGCCATAACACTACTGGATTGTACGCAACAAATCGGCATTGGAGTGACCATATTCTGAAAGAGGTGCCAAGCAGGGGTGCTGCAGCACCTAGATTGACTAAAATTCATAATAAGCCGAGCAAATTGGTATTTGAAATTTGAATACTTTTGCTATAAAATCATTAACTTACCGCACCCCTAAAATTTTTTGGGTCCGCGTACGCCTGTGCCGATAAAGATACAGTAAATGCCACCCAACCACGAACTTAGTATAAATTTTACAAAGTAAGTGAAAATGTTATTGGTACTTTTCGAAAATATCGATAATAAGTTTTAAACGTAGCTTGTTTAGCCCATAAGCCCATATTCCAATGTTTATACTGAAATGACTTGTCATACTGTTGTCTGAAGTATAGCCTAAAACCAGGCGTGTCATCACTTGAAATCTTACGATCATATCTAAGTTTCATTTCTAAGTTTCTAAGACTATTAGAAAAGCATAAATATTTGGAAATTGTTTCTTGGAGCTTTCCACGAGCCATCGCAATGTTATTTTTTAACTCATCGACCTTAGCCATGTTCAGAAGCAATAGCGTGTAGTCGATGTGATATACCATTGCCACCTTATTCTGCTTACCCACCATCCCATCCCATGCACATGGTGAAACTTTTGGTAAACGTAACATATTTTTCAATGTCGATTAAGAACGTTTTGGTGGTTAAGAAGAAACACGATATTTATACCGACTTCATCATAAAGGCATTAGACGGAAATAAATATACCCTCCCAAACCTAAAAAGTTGTCGCGATTTGATTTACTCAAAGTCTTAACATTCCTTAATTGAATATTTAAATAATTAATTGATTAATTAATTATGATTGACACACGAACCTTAAGTTTCTTACCTTCAATCTACATTCACTTGCTTTATAGGTGAACTTTCAAGACAGCTAATAAACGGTCAAAAAAATAAAGTGTTTCATGGGGGTTCCCAGTATACAAAGGGGAATTCCCTTAAAATAATACTAGGAGTCACTGTAACTTGGGAAGTGCTATGTTAAATTTTTGTGCCTTTTTATATCGCGCATTCTTTAAAACGTTTTGTTCATTCCCAGTTTGCTTAGTTTTAATTTCACTTCTGACTTATTTTTTCGAATGTTCATGGCTTTGGTGAAAAATCAAATTCTTGTTAGATTTAGATAATCAATAAAATGGCGTAAATGGGTAGAAAAGTATCGAAGTCAGTTTGACTTTTGAGTTGTGATACGGTTATGCAAAGCAGAAATTCAGCAAGCCTTTCTCAAAAACTATAAAAGTACTTTGGTAACCGACTATCGGGACGTATTTTGTGCTTCAAAGATAAAAGAGAAAGATGATTCTGGACAGGACACCAAGCTGATTCTGGACACGAAGTGGCTTCGCTTCGAATGAATTCAGGGCCGTAGCTAGAAGCGTAATTGGGGGGGGTGTATATTCATATATTCGTCTTATGCCCGAATGATTTCTTTTGTACGCTATTGTTCCTACGGTATATAAACATGAATATATGAATAAACACCCCCCCAATTAAGTCTAATAAACACCCCCCAGTCTAGCCACGGCCCTGGTTAAATTTCTTACCTAGTCTTCAAACACATCGAGTTATTTGAAGGAATCCACATTTGATCGATATTTTTCCAGTCAATTTTTAATTTTTAAATATTTACTATTCCGAGTTTATAGAAGTGTCTTTAACAAAATCAATTGATCGTAATTTTTATATCTTTTTGAAAGTTCTGCTGAATTCCGTTCAATTCCTTACCCGCATGTAACCTAATTATTTGTTGGTGAGACGAAGACCATTTTTAAATATGTTCTCCAAGCTGAATACTTAAACCTAACCCGTATCAATTTCCCCCTTCATTGCCACCTTTATAGCCTATTGATTATGGTCATTATTTAAAAGTATGAAATAATAAAAATCCACAATGTTGGAAAATTCTAGTTACCAATCCCCTCCCCAACCCTCAAAGTAGAGAATTAAAGTAAGAGTTGGGGATGCAGCCGACAAAAATGAACGCAGGAATTTGTGAAGTGTTTGTGAAGTCAAGACGCCCAGCAAGATTATATAGTATGTCGCAACAGTCATGGGACAAACATTTGCGTACTTTCAAAACACTAAACATTTCGTCACTTCCTTTCATTGTTTAAATTTTCTATCACAATTTTTAATTCAATACATTAAATTAAAACTTACCTTCTTGAGATTAATTTTGCTGCAACCTACCGACGTTCACTGAACAACTATATGTTAGGGGTAATTCCCATTCCCGTAGGGGATTACCCTGTCGGGAGAAGTATCTTTATTTGACTTTGACAACTAAACTGCACGCTTGAATAATTATATGAATTTCGGAATAAAATTATTCTTTTTGTTTTTATTTTTCCACAAATGGTTAAAATCCGTGCCTTAACTTTAACTTACTTTACTTAAAGTAAAATGTCAAGTCTACAGTTTTTTACATTTTTCACTTGTATATACTCTTTAAAATACAATACCAATGGCTGTGTGTTAATGTATTTACAGTGCGAACCATGATATTATTAGGTCAAATAGACATTTTCATACACTGGTATTAAATTTACCCAATCTTGGCGTGAAACTATTCAAAGTTGTATATCTTCTCAAATGTTCCTTCTAAAAAATTTAATTGTGATTTTAAAAGTCCTATTGATAAAAATGTGCAGCCATGTCGGAAAAACGGCGTTAATCCCATCACCTAATATTTTATTGATATTGATCTATTTTCAATGTTGGTACATGCACTGACACACAAAATTTTAGAAATTCACACACAGTAATAGAAATGGAACACGGAGTGATTCCATTCATTGAATTGGGTTATTTTTGGAGGAATACTTCTTCCCAGTTCCCATTGGCATAAACCTGGCGCATATATAATAATCGATCACAAGTTCTCAATGGGATTTAAGTCAGGGAAGTTTGGAGGCCAAATCTTGATATCAGGTTATTATCATTCATGAATCCGATAGATTTCGAAAAAGCTGTTGTAGCCTTTGCCGCATGGGACGGAGCATTGTCATGCATGAAGATGATCTTCTTCCGTTATGAC